ACATGCAAATGCCATCTTCACACATACCCAGCCCAACTTCCCAATCTCCGAATATCAGCCTCGCTCAGCACTCACCGTTTCCCCGTCCAACAATCACACTGTCACATCACCCTATCCGCACGCCAGTCACACATACTCCCTTGCACACAGTTCCGATCACTCCCCACCAACCAATCACACCTCCCCAGCTACCCTAGACAAGAAAGAAACCCCACTTCAACATCATCGTAAACTCGTAATAACCCAATCTAAAACCTTTCCGCTGACGTTAAAAAAAAGAAAGTCTTACGGTTACGGGGGGACACGTTTGCGGGAGGAATTCCCCAAAGCAAGGAAACCGCGGTTACCGCCGCGAGGATCACCAGGCTAGAATACGAGATTACGATACCCCCAGCCAAGGTGAGCAAAGTAGGCGACGGGCTTCCAGGCAATCGGAGCGAGGAGGGACAGGGTGAGGCGAGAGAGAGTGACAGTGAGTAGGGCCGGGCCCTAAGGTAAGCAAACAAGCGAGGCGGCGAACGGATTTGCCCTTGGGATGCGCACACACCGTTTCTTGGTCATATGGGAAAGGCCATGTGTGTTGTGTGTGTGCGCGCATGCGGTGTGCGTATGTGTGCACGGTACTGGCAGCAAAAGGTCCCACAGACCACGATTTTACCAACACAGACCAAGAGAGAGAGGGACCGAGTTTACGACGAGCAAGCAAAGTTGGAATCTATTACAGTTTATGGATACGATGATGAGAGAGTCTGGATTCTGACAAGGTTGTTGGATGTAATATAACCAAAAGGAAGGTTTGTTTCTCGGGGCTTTCCGCTATTGCGCAAGATCATTACACAATACACCGCATAGTAGCCCAACTAGCTTGAGATCTGGTCAGGTCATCAGAACACATACACTGGTGCAAAGTGTCGTCGTCGTCATCAGTAGCATCAGCGATGAGGTTTACTAGCATCAGTACAAGTGACATGTAGGTACATATCCGACACGACGTCATCCCCCATGGGAAGGCCTCGTCGTGATCAACCTCGCATAATGCGGAGAGCGCCTATCCGACAGCACTAGGCAGATAGATCCGCGCAGCATCGCCCATCGGACTTCCCGAAGCCCAGCACCCCCAAAGATACAAGGGCGAACGGGACCAATCATAAGATTGCCGCATTAAGAGCGAGGGGGGTGCGTGTGTGCGTGATGCGTGACGTGAAATTGATGCGAGAGGGTGGGTGATGGGCAGCAAGCAAGCAAAGCAGCTAAAGCGTGCTCGGGTAAGCTGTACTAGGGGGGAAACGGGGGAGGCGCGGACAAAGTGGTGCTTGATTTGCTTTACGCACTGGTCGTGCTGACGGTCAGGGGTGTATGCAATCTTTTTGCCCACTTTTTTTCCCACGAATTATGCCGTGTAGCGACTAGAGGGAATCATGACGAGGCTGATCGATTTGTTCTGGCAGGTTAGGCTCGTACCGGTACGTATCGCTGATCTCAGCCTCGTCCATCTGACTGTTAAAAGCAGGTATATTAATCGCAGCGATGAGAGATCGGCTAGTGGGGTGACAGAAGAAGAACCGAAGACCTTTGGTCGTGATAGACGTTGGAAGTGGGCCGGTTATGTCGTCATAGCTTCCCTTGACGGTTTTTCGGACCCCTCCAAAGCCCGTGTGCGGCCAAAAAAAAAGACAGTTCCATCTCAGCACTATTCGGTCTAGTGTCGGGATCGGATAGCTTGCGCTGGCCCCAGTGTGCTGTGTGTCATGTTGTCAGCCGTAAGGTAATCAGCGCAGCAAGTAAGCCTCGCCAGCTCCAGAACCAAGAGACAAAATAAAAATGGAGGAGTCATGCCAAACCGACATTGCGATGTACAGTTACATAGCGTTGCATTGGGGTCCGCTAACCCCTCCCCACCCCATTCCTTCGGCTGCAGGTAGACGTCGAGTGTTCGGCGAAGTGGACACGAATTACCGGTACTCAAGCGCGGCAGTGACATGGCCGTTACTGGTTCGGACATTCTCCGGTATGTAGTGTATGCCATGATGCAGGCAGAGGGGCAGGAGAAGAATAAACAAAGAAAGCCATGGTGTGTCAGCGATGATTGATGCTCGCAGACGGCTGCGCTGAGCTTACCAGTCTTAGACAGTGCTGCGTATAAAACACACCCATGCTCGTGATCCAAGAGAAAGCGTGCATAAAACTGGCATCAACAAAGAATTCGCCATTTGTTGAATGGCCATGGTTTGTTGGAGATCAGGTTTCGATAATGTCCACGTCAACACATCACCCATCTTGGGAGTAGGCATGCTCCCGACAGCCAGGTTGGCTTCAACGTGGATCTGCTGACGTTTTCCACGTTGTAAAAGGACCGCGATATCTTTCTGGCCTTGTACTTGCGCCTACCCTTACCTCACGCCGGCAATCTACTGCGCATGTCCTTCGGCGATATGCGATGCACTGCACCACACCCAATACTCTATTGCAGCAGTAGCTTCGGGGGATACTGTAGCATCTGCATACATGAAGCGCAAGGTACTAGACGTATACTGCACTTTCTGCATCACTTGGTTGCAAGCCCCGACATCTCAAACCCCCTACAGCATGTGACGACTTGGTGCAGCGTGCTTGCACGCGGGAGGGTTCCCGAATGCGAAGTATGCGCGTCTGCCGAACCCCCCCTTCGAGATCTGACCCAGACTGACAAGTTCGTCCGTGATTATCGTCCCTCGTGCGGCATAGAGGAAGGGGCTCGATCTGCCCGTAGCCCCGGGTCTCACGTGTGTTAAGGATTAAGAGCCGAAGTTAAGTTAAGACGGAGATCATGGGTGGGTGATTGACGTGTCGTGGGCCTAGGGGCTAATCCTTCGATTGCATCCTTCAGGTCATGAACATCGTCGATGGCATCTCAATCTGTGACCCGTGGTGTGTGTGCTACAGTGGCTGCCTCCAGATGAACGTTGCGGAAAAAACAACGACAACGGCCCCTTCTCTCATAGGCCAGGGTGTCCGTTATGGAGACAGGCCCGTTGTTTGCGCGCATAGATAGCCGCACACTCGCGAGCTTGGTCTTTCGTTCATTATGCACCTGTGTATCGACCGCTATATGAACAAAACTCTCTTTTAAAAACCCCTGGGGCTATAATTGCGGATCATTGAGGCATTGATCGGCGACGATCACGACCACTTTAATCCTTCTAAAGGATGATATTTCCTCGCGAATGCCCAGTGGTGGAAATCAGTGTGCGAAATCCATGCCATATGCGGGCCTCGTACCACTTCGGGAAAGTAAGCCAGGCGACTCCGCCTGGAAGCACTGTGCCACTGAACAGGTAACGACTCGAACACGACCCTCCGCTCAACTGCCTTGGATAAGGAAAACAGGGAGGGTTGCTGGATTGAAGATACACGGTTGCTGAGATCTGAATCTTGCAGTAAACCGAAAGTGGTGAGAAAGTCCGAGAGCTTGAAGCAGCAGATCTCCTGGTGTGGCCGGTGGCGTTTGGATGGTGCCCGCAAAACGGATGCTAACGTCCTGTCACGCAACGTTCGCGAATAGAGTGGCAGAGCTTCAGCCACGCGGAGCGTACGCTAACGATTCCTGCGGTGACAGGGGACTGAGGCAAGCGGACGCAGACGCTGGTGGGTCAGGCCGAGATGCCTCGCCAGCGCTTGTAAAAAAAAAAAAAGAACCCCGGATGTGTCCAGTCAAGTTCAGCGGATACCCCATTTCCACAATTATTTTCCACTATCGACTATCGGCGGCATCTGATACGCATATCGTCCGTATCTGGCACCTTGAAGGCGCCGGGCCAGGCTTTCAGGTTACGATCTCCACATGCATTGTTTGATGAGGATGTGCTTTTGGAAGCTTGAGGTGGTAAGCGGCTTCAATGTCTTGCAGAAGTGGATCTCTAAGTTTGCGAACAAGTGAAACAGGAGCAGTCGATAGGCCGTCTTTGCGTCTCGAATCAGTTTTTGACTCTTGACGAATGTATCGTTCCGGTAGGGACCGGTGGCAAACGAACGTGGGAAGTCGTACCGAGCGACCTGCTTGGGACCTCTAATCGGCGGCGATTAACACTGTACGAGAGCTGCCAGAAGGATCGAAGATGATTTACCCCTCCCCGTTACCCGGCAAAGACGGCATTGGTGGGCAGTCCCTCGATCCGGCTGATCTGAGACTTGGCCGCATCGTATCCTGGGGAATCTCATGGTCAGCCGAGCGCATCTCCTTCGTGTTGGTGGGCAACTTAACATTGATCTACGTGGCCCCTTGTTGTGGCGTAATGGATCCGGAAAACATGCTGAAAACGATGGGGGAGGGAACAGGGGGTCTGACGCGGGTCAGGACGGTTCGTTTTCGCCGCTGACCTCTTTGGTCCTTTCCTGCCCCATTCGGGCCGTGTGGAGGGCTATTGTTGCTGCTTCATCGAAACCCCTGCATTATGAGAAGAGGAGTCTCTTCGAACGGTATTGGATGGAAGCGTGGAGGACGTATGCCTGCTTTCCCGAAACGCTTGTCGCCGATTATTCGTGACGCCATGTAATGAGAAGTCAATTGTTTGACATATCGCCAGTGTTGCACGAGTCCGCAAAGAATTGCTCCCAAGCGCAACGCCGCACGGAGTGTGACACGCCCGCTCGCAGCCAAGCCCTTGTTATGATGGGGATGGAGAAGTCCCAAGAAAATTGGATGCCGGACGTGGGGAGGCGATATTGCAAGACAATTTCGGTTGAACAAGGAATGCTGAAGAAACAATACGAGATTCACCATCACTTGTCAACTAAGGCAAGCCAATGGGGATAACGTAGTGGTGTACTGAATCACATGAGGCAAGAAAAACGCTCAATGGCTCTTCTAGCGCCGCGATCGATCTCAGAGCAGACCATGTGTTCTCCAACGCGTCCTTGTACCGGGTATGGCTGGTTTGCGTGTGGAGTAGTTCCAATCCTTTGGCGCCTCACTTTGAGTTCATTTCCTTCTCGAAAGTGCACGTGTAAGCGCGGTGGGAAGGTTAGGATTCAGTGTGCCAGACAGTCGAACTACCGGTGCTACTCTACAAATGCGGTTATCAGTTTTGAGGTGGATGCACATCAGGAGCCTTTGAGGTGGGTAAAGTTGTGCAGGATAATTCGCTCCAGCTGCGCACTGAAGCCGCTACTTTCTTAGCCCGAGACGGGTATTGGACGAATATTGTAATGTTGCGAGTAAGTAACCAGGGCCTCGATCGTTGTGCTTATGAGGGTGCTGGAATTGCCGGCAGTTAAGTCCGTTACTTCCAGGATGATCAGCCTGCCGGGTGGTGTTGGCCAGGATGCCAGGGAGCGAAGCGGCGTAAAAGTCCATGTTGGCTCCCTGGGAAATGATACGATGTCAACAAAGTGCCGTAGACGGCGACTGTAGTCTTCGGCGCCAAGATGATGGAGAGACATGTCAGTCTTGGGCCGGTCTAGCTTGAGCGTTTTAGCCGGAGAGACCCTGAGTAACGTCATTGATGAATGATGGGGCCGACGAACATACCGTACAAGGACGGCATTGCAAGAAGTGCTTGGCAAGCAGTAGCAGGTTTTGCTTATAGGAAACTATTGTCAGTATCCTTTGATTCGTTTTGAAGCTCGACGGGTGTCAAAAGTTGGCAGCAAAAGGTCCCAAGACGCGGCAAAGCCTCGGACAAAACTTTGGTGGAGATGCCGTTGTCATGCCGATTCGTGGTGATGAAACACCGAGATGATCGCTGGGATGGGCCACCAGGGAGGCTCTCAGTAACCAAGTTCCCGTTGATGAGGGATCGTGATGCGGCCCAGGTAACGGTACCCCTGCCAGTCCCGCGCACCCTGAGACCGGACGCAGAAGGCCTGGTTGGTGCTCTTCCGGAAGATCATGCAGGCTGCCCAGTGCTGACGCCTCCACTGCGACGGGCTGGTGAGCATGGTGAAGGAGTTATGACGTGAGTGTTGGGGGCGCGCAACATGTCACGACGTGTGCAACAAAGTACTGTACTGTACGAATGGCAGTTCTAGCGCGTCCAGTCGGCGCCATGTAGGCAAGGCGCGCGAGTGCGAGCAAGATTCCAGCATGGCGGTATGTGATGCGCGAGTCGCCCGACGGCCGTCCAGGTCCGAGCGACATGGTAGGTAAATTTTCCATCAACAGCAATCCCTGGTGTTCCTGTCTGTGCGGGTTTTCAGCACACTTAGGATGGCCATGTTTGGTCATATATCGAAAGCAAGCGCGCTGTTGTACACACGGTAGCCCTGCACAGCAAGATGGTTCTATTGTTCTAGCGGAGGGCCAGCCACGCGGTCAAGTTGCACGAGGATAGTGATAGGGAGACGTGGTGCGACGGTGCCGCACGCACAGCTTGCACCGCTTGCGCAGGCTTTTAGGGGTGGGGAGAGGCATAGGTACAGTAGATATTGCACCGGGAGCTGGGCTTGAGGCTGGGAACTAAACATCCGGCTTTGGGTGCGTGATCTGCAAGGCTTCGCCTACGTCGGTCTCTGATGGAACACTGCGGTGCCAGGTCAGTCGCGTGGTGTGCTTCTCGAAGACGATTGAGCGTGGTTGTGCGGCGGGAGGTCGGTTAGAGTAATGATTAGATGGTGACAGCCAACGTGGCCCCCGGGATTAGCTGCATGCGCTTGTTGCTGATCGACCCGCCTCTTTCTCAAAGATCCTCCACAGACGAACGAGGCCAAGCCATGGGATAACGCCGCCATCCCGCCCTGGCGGCGCCGCAGAGACGTCGCGTACCAGGGTCGGAGACGGTCGCTGCAAACTGGCAGCATCCGTCGAGCCGCTGTTCAAGACTTCCCGCGCTTGCCCTCTGTGCTGAAACCGACGTGACGTTTTGGTACGCGGCCTAGTCATTTAGCTGAAGGAGGCTGCAAAGATGCGGTGAGCCGCACCTCTTGCGGCGTGCTGGAACATGTTCGGAAACGATGCCAGGTGGAGGGCAGCCGCCTGCCCAGGCTATGCCCGCCACACAGCCCGCTGGGGAAATAAGTCGCGAGACTGTCACTCAACCCAAGTGCGTGTGTGTGCGTGCAACTGCGACTACAGTACCACCGCGACTGCGATACCGGTACGGTAGAGACGGGGGAGTATTGCCAGCAAATCATCCCGCAACTCCACGCTTCGCTTCGCGGCCGACAAAGGCCCTGTAACGCTCGACAGACTTTTAACAATTGCTGCCGACTGAATGGTCGTGCGATAGTACATGGCTGGCGCACATGCAGCCTATTCACCGCCACTAGACAGCTTTCGCATCGCATCGCGAGGCGCTTGGCTCGCTTCCGAAGCGACCTAAGTAAGTTGGGTGGGACTGCTCGCTATAGGTACGTTAGCATGAGGAAATGTCCCGAGTGTCTTTTTGAATCTGTGTGGGCACGACACCATGGCTCCAGAGGGTGGACCACGACAAAAGCGCCCAAGGACCCAAAGACGCAGAAGAGACTGGTCGCTGGGAAGCAAGATTCATGTCGCGTCTGGTTCGTCTCATGTTCGACTCGACTGCTCCGGCATTGCAGTGCAGTGCAGGCAGCGTCTTCGGTTCCCAAGCCTCGCCCCCTGCGTAATCCTTCGACCAGAGCCTGTTCCGTATTGTTGTCTCGACGTCTGAATAGAGCCAAGTGTGCAGCACCCTCGGACGAAAGCCACCGATCGGGGCCGTAAGGGTCGTGCAGAGGAGGACCCTTGACTCCCAAACATGCTCCAGTTGCCCTCCAGGCCGCCACTGGCAGCCATGTATGTATCAGCAGTCGGAGCCGCAGCTTGCCAGCTTCGCACGCTCCCCAAGGTGCTTGAGTCGTGGGCTCGCGGCAGCAGCGTGAGCACTTTCGGTGAGGGTTGATCCGGTGGGTTGGGAGAACTTCGGCCCTCATTCACTTTGATCGACCCCAGCACGGCGCGCAGCTTGCTTGCTTCCGAACAGGCCCACGAGGATTCTCCTCAGGATTCTCCTGGAACGGTCGATCTGCATGCACGACGGCCTGTCGTTGGATCTCGACCGGGGCCCCTGTCCGAGGCTGTCCCAAAAGCGCTCCTGCGCCGGCGCAGCGTCGATGTCGCGGCCTGGGAAGCGTGGGCGGATCGCTCGGCCAAGGCATTACTACGGGTCGTGCGCATCGTCACTCTAAACCACCTCCGTCTGTCATCTGCATTGCCGTTGCAAGGGACAGAGCGCCGTGCTAGGCTCGAGTGGGACGTGGGCTTTTGACAACGGTCCGCCGCCTCATCGCCCGCTCAAACGCAATTTGGACAGGGAACGACAGGTCCACCGAAGACGCTACGGTGCGAACGGGCTTCGTGCTGAATCTCGCCAATCCACTGGACATCGTACTTGAATGCTGCAGGCCCGAATTCCTGGCACTACATCTGCTCGTACCCGTCGTCTGGCTATTCTCCATCCCGTCGTCATTCACTCATCCCTTCACCCTCGACTATCTTTCTCTGTTACGCAGCCACTGTCGTGACCTGTGACCAGCACACACCCACACCCACACTACATACTTTCTCCATGGCAATGCATCTCGCCAGTATGGTACACGGCAGCGTAAGGGAGCGCGACGCTTTCCAGCACACACAACACCCAGCCTACTACCAACAACCACAGTCTCGATACCCCATGTCGGGTGTTGCTGCCTCCTCCTATCCGGTACAGGCCCCATCACCGTCACACCAACAACAACAGCAGCAGCAGCAGCAGCAACTGCACCAGTACCGTCAGCAGCAACAAACAACACAACAGCGTCCTCAGTCGCCGCCTTCGCCCCCGGCCGAGGAGAAGAAGCCTTCACTGCCCTCAATTTCGAGCTTGCTTGAGTTCGCCGGCAACGAGAAGCCTGCTTCCGAAACTGGTAAGACCTCACGGTTGCACTTTCCCTCAAGTACATCGCTAATCACCATCGCAGCTTCCCATAGTCCTCAATCACAACATCGCCAGTCTGCATCGCCGCAATTACGGCAAGCACAGCAGGGAGGGTCAACCGCCATGCAGCAGCCAGCGCAACCCCAGACAAGCCGGCAAGAGCAGTTCACTTCCTACGCGCCCGCCTCGGCCCCAAACAGCACTAGGATGACACTGCCCCCAACACCACCAATGCACCCCGACATGGCGCACGACGGTAACCAGTCGCCTTCAGCTGCTTCTAGTCACTCGGCCACCTCTACGCCTTACTTCATCGGTGGCTCTCTCAACAACATGGAGCCCCACCAACAGCGACAGTCGTTTTCCTCCATGCCTCCTCTGAAGCGGGACTCACTACAGTCTCACTCCATGTCGCCTTACAGCAACTCCGTGTACGGCCAGTCACCTTACCAGTCGTCACCGGGCGCCATCTCTTCAGCCTCGTTCTACTCACCAGAGCAACACTCTTACAACAGCCCTGCTGCCTATGCGCAGCGCCCATTGCCTTCAAACTTCCAGCCCCACACAATGCCTCTGCCTGTACCTGTGCCCAGCCCTGCTGCCAACGGCTCAAACCCATGGCAACACCACCACTACATTAGCACTTCGAGCCAGTCGCAGTTCCCTCAGTCGCAAGACCGCTACATCTGCTCCACTTGCAACAAGGCCTTCTCGCGGCCAAGCAGCCTTCGCATCCACAGTCACAGCCACACTGGCGAGAAGCCCTACAAGTGCCCGCAGCCTGGCTGTGGCAAAGCCTTCAGTGTCCGCAGCAACATGAAGCGCCACGAGCGAGGTTGCCACGCAGCCTCAAGCACCACACTTTCGACCTAAAGGCCTAAAATTCATTTTAATCGTCCATCGTAATCGGCCTGACAAGCCTAGATCTACCTTTGAGTAGTCTTTTCCCCGACATACTTTGCTCTGTCGAATCTTGCCAACGATACCATCTGCACGACTTTTGCATCGGCGTTCCGGATATAACTTTATTTTTAAGCATTTTCTGGAGTTCATTTCGTCACATCAACGATATCCTACATCGCCATGGGTCGCGATGATGTACCCTTATTTCCGTTTTGGACAGAATATCCGTCTCGCTTTCTTCGAGCACGGCATTAATTCGACAAGTCCCTTGCACTTGTTTGTACTATAGTAGGCAACCTGCATGAGCCTGCAAGGCTCCGACATATGTCAAACCTACCAAATCAATATTATCACAAGATTCAAAAAACATCTTCATGCTGCCAGTGATTGATCATGTCGAAGGGTTATGCATGGGAGCGATGTTTAGCATTGAATGTCAGTCCCTCCAAACGTAGTGGAAACTGCAAACGTCAGGGCCGCATTGGGCCTTGATCGCTGCGGACTGACGCGCATACGTGGTCGGCGATGGATTACCCATGTCGAATCTCTCGGTTTTGTGAGTTTACGAGATGCAAAAGGCCGTCATCGTTTGGTCTGCAACACTTTGAAGCTGCTTGCCCACGCATCTACCACCCCACGTCGGCCGATCAAAGATGCACATAAGCGCAGTCTCCTGGCTTATACAAAGCCATGTTATTGATTTTGTGGAGGCATGAAGATCCCAAGGGAGTCACAGGTCCATCTCCCGTACCCGATGACAGGTTGGCCAACGCATAATGCAGGATGCTATGATCAGGCGCGGATCTCAGGCGGACAACGCAAGCCATGTCCGCACTGCTCTAAAACACAGCCTTGTTGACAGTTGACGTTTGTCATGGTCGACACTGTACCCGCTGAAAGCCGTATTTCGTCCATGCCGCGCAGTAGACTGGCAGACGGAAACCAGTCCCAAGACTCACCCCCGCTCCAGAACAAGGCACAAAAGCTCATCCCGGCCACCAATACGACAAGACTAGTAAAAGTCATGTCAGTGGATTGAAACACTCTTGGCCCTATAATACAGAAGTAATATTATCAACAGCCGTCACGAATGCCCCCTTTGACCCCCTAGCTGACAGCAACTACAAAAGCATAATCTCGACGGGTATACGGCTTTAGTTTGTCAGGTTTGTTACTCCACATCCCGATGTGATGAAGCTGCACGGGCAAGACCGCACGCAAACGCATGAGCATCGGGCGACGATCGTCACTTAACTATTCTCCGCACCCCTGGGGCGCTCATCTTACCGTGTTCCCAAGCCAGGCCTTCGAACGATAGTGTCGGGTTTCCAATAAGTCTGAAACGGGCGTTGCGCGGCCATGGCAATAGCAGCGGCTTTGTAGTCCAAATTCATCGAAAAATCTCCACACATGGTCCGACGTCACGTTAGAGTAGGCTCAGTTGGTCTTGGTTCACGGGCTCCCGTCAAAAGCAACCAAGTATTAACATATTCTAGACCCTTGCTGCTCCTTTCCCTCTCGGATAAGATGGGCTTTTGAATCCTTTTGAACGGACGTGGTACGGCACACTGAGCCCAAATGTGATTTCCCCACAGAAGGGCAAAAAGCAACTTGTTCGCATAGTACACTCGATTTGAACAAGCAATTTTGGTCCTGGCGGCATAAAGAGCTGAAAGAGAGAGCATACGCTACCCGTTCAGTGGGTGTTATACTTTAGGCGAGGTCTCAGCCGCCGTTGATGGCAGCAAAAAAGCAAAGTGTGTGAGGCAGGTGAAGGTGGCTCCCTTGATTCGAGCGCGCACCCAAGTTCCTGCCAATCGGGTCCATGGTGCCTGTGGATCACAAAGGGTGCTCTCAAGCCCTTGGATCGTGCTCGCGCGAGATCTGCGCATCATCAGTTCTGGCTCTGGGACTTTTCCCAGTTTTGCGGATGCGTTTCAGCTTGTCGTCCCTCAATCTCCGTCTCGCTTACAGAGCGATGGCGCACCGAGAGGGGGAGATGGTGATGATACGCGCAATACGAACGGCTGGCACAGCTGCGCCCTTCACCAGCCACAAGGAGCCATGGCGCTGCGGGACAGGACCGGCGTTGGCCATGTGCTGTTATGCTGTCACCTTGCAGCCGTCGCTCCCGGCAACCAGTTTCTCGATGCATGTGGTCGAGAGCGATGCGTAGAGGACATGGTACCATTGTGCTGCACGTGAGATGCAAGTCGAATATTGAAGGCAGAAGGTACCGAAGGAGAGGGCCCTTGGCAAGGCCACCCGCCCAATCATGACGATACGCATCTACGATCTCTGGCCTCGGAACCGACCCGCGATTGTCGTGGTTAGTGATTAGCGGGAAGGTGCGCATGCGCTCGAAATAACTGCAGCTGCCAGCGTCGTCATCGCCTGCTATCCAGCTATCCCATAGTGCCAAGCATTTCTCCCCCTAGCAGCCCAATCAGGCCGCCCCAGTGTCATTTGTTTGCTGTCGTGCGCAATATGTACTAGTAGAGGTAGGCATGCTGGCCTCTCAATCTGTTTGCAAGATTACCATCTTTGGGCGACTTCGCTGCGAAATTGTTGCTGGCTACCGCCCTAAGCGTAGTACTACTCTACGCATAGTCCCCCTCAATCAGCCAACACGCATCATCCCTGGACGCCAACCTTCCAGAAGGAGGTTTGCACGGAATTACCCATACCGCCGCGCGACCGCGACCGTTGCCCCTCATTTTCCCCATGACTTATCATGTCCAAGTAAGGCAGGGACCATGGCCTCGCATCTCACCCGTGGCCAGGTTATCCTTCCCTCTCAGCACGAGGGACCCCGACACGAGGAATGTGACAAGAGAGAAAACAGTCATGGACAACAAATGATTTTCCTTCGAACCGGCGATCGACAAGAGCTGCAGGTATGTATAGCACCGCAGTACGATAACTGCCGACACGTGCTATCAACCGCGGTGCTATTGTGGAGAAGAGAAGATCGCTCTGGTACTGGCATGGTACTGGTCTGGTACTGGTAGCCGTTAGGCGGTAGTAGAGCGGTGAGTATCAACGCTTCGACCCTAAGCCCTTAGTTAGCGATCCAGAAACGGGCTATCTTCTATTACCTTGGAGCATGAAAACACATATTCGAGACTCCGCGAGACACGTCAATGTCGGAGAATATCCACCTCGTGCCGGCACGCTTCAAGAGTCAGACACCGTACCCGCGCTTGTGTGACAGCTGTGATCGACCATTTACGCCCTCGCGCGAACGCCCAAGCCCACCTTCTGTCCGTTCGCATCCTGGACAGCATACGAACCGCTTATCCTAGCGCGAGGCGGGCGAATGCTCCGAGTCTAAGACTTGATGGGGCCTGACCGTGCAGCCAGACATGGCATGAAGGGATCATCCCAGCACCGGAAGACGGACATCGCTTGACCCTGTCGAGATTATCGTATCGTCCGCCTAGCCATCTCACGTTTTGCTCTCCGAGAGGGGAAAACCGTTTGAGTCAAGATATGGAGATGCCTTTCTTAGGCCCGACTCGTGGAAAGTACCATTGCGCCATTCCCCGATACTTGGTCTCGCGTCGCGCGCCAAAACAGCGCCATGGTGTGACGTCGCCGAAGTCGTTGAAACAGCCTCACTAAACGGTCGCTTGCAACACCATCGCACTGCCTGGGGCAGAAGACGCGTTGTTATCGACAACAAAACAGGCTTCGGCGGAAGGGAAGAAGCTCGACTATCGAGCGGGAACTAACATGGCGCAAATCGCCCAACTGTTTTGTCAAGGGAACTTCGTCGCGACCTTGCCTACTCCAGCTGCTGGCATAATGCTTGTTTGCCTCAGGCAGCCATGACTAGAAATTGGAGCCGCTGGGCCCGTTCCCTTCCTCACCGTCATCTTTGTGCACGAGGCCGTTCATACAACGGGGATACACCACGTCGTGACCCTGCGCGCGTGATACGGCGCGTTTTCACATTAATTGTAGGCATTACGAGCCGGGACCTCCTAGCCGGCTTTCCTTCTATAACTCAGTCTTGACCATTGCTTTGGTTTCGCAAAACACGGGGCGGGTCCCTTGTTCACCAAGCTGTCACAGAACCCCAGAGGACTTGACCGCAATCCTACGACCAGGAAACACCCAGTTGCGCGCATGTCCTAGGTGCGGAGAGTGCTCCAAGCCGGATCATGAGTTGGGCAACAACGAGGCGGACGGTGAGCATGGTGGGTTTTCATAGCGACGAGGCGGTCAGCGACCGTGGTAGTTTGGACAGCAAATGTCCATGCTGCCCATGGCGACTCAGCATGACTCCATCGCAAGACTGCCGCGTTCCGTTCCTTCCTTCCATCTCCGCAAAGTCAAATTGTTCCCGATTGTCAGTTCATCGTCCACGACTCCTTGACCAGCGTCATCTTCTCTGCCCCACACACAGGGAACCGCAACCCGAGAATTCAAAACAACCAAGGCAGAAACACCCGCATCCCATGGGCACCTCCGAGGACGCGTAATGAAGTTTGGAAGGACGGGCAGAGTGAGACCTAACAGTCTCATCTGTTTGATCTCATCCATGAAAGAAAAAAGCAATACCAGTACCAAGTGAAAATGCCGCTGCCTAAGCCCCATCATCCCCTAGCAAGCTTGTACTAATGATGCCTAATCCGTCAGTTTTTTCCTTAGTTCGCATTCACATTTCTAGGAATGCTTTCACTATAGTGTACGTATGCCCCTTGTCCTAGATCCAATTGCCCGGTTATGAAAAAACCCTCAACGGGCCGACGTTTACAACGACAACGGAAAAACCGGTGTAGCAGTAAAGAGTGAGAAAATAGTCACCTAAACGTTTTGCCGCGTTACTATTTCCGTGTCTGCCAATCCGCTACCCGGGGTCCTGGCTGTTTCAGTTTCTAGTCCCGTCATCTACTTTTCTTGCCAATTTCTTACCCTCCTCCGCCTCTCCTATACCCGCAGCCTCCGTGATATAGGTGCTGACAGGCCCTTTATTGATTTTTTTTTTAACTTTTTGCCGGTCGGCAGGCCGTGACGACTTTAGACTTGGTGTTGTTTGAGAAAACGAGCGGGGGACTAGGGGTGTCAGCCTCCCCGAGCCCAAAAAATCCCTCCTTGGCTACCCTGAAAGCGGCGAGGCGGATGTGGAGGCGAAGGAAAGTGAGGGAGAAGACTTGGGCTTGGCGACGCTTCCGTATCCCAAGGACATGTCACTCTGAGGATGTCGTTATCGGCGATGGTGAGGCTCTCTGTCAGCGACCGCCCGTATCGCGGAAACAAAGAAAAGAGTAAAGTCCATGTTTGGATATTTGTTCTGACCTTCGTATCGAGGGGAGCGGCGTGGAACAACTTTAGCGCGCGCTTACAGTAGAAAATCATATCGAACGGCGGGCGAGCGATCGTACCGTAGTCGCTAGCTGTCAGTCAGTCAGCCAACGCACGTCTTATTCGTATGGCGGGAGATGTACAGATGACAGCGGAGCCATTGTCTGAGCTCTTTGTTGGATGATCAATCATACCGAAGACACTCGGTGGTGGTGTTGGTCTTTGTCAGCTCCTCTTCGGTGTTCTCCGTATTCAATCGGAGATTGGATGGTAAGATGGGGTGGTTGTAGCGTTACTGTAAGCATTCTGGAGTAACCCGAAGCTTACATTTCTTACAAACATCTTGGTATGAAAAGTTGGGAAATTAACTTGGCGATGATTATGCTTGCCACGTGTAGAGTTACTGTAAGCATCGGGAGCAATCTGAAGCTTTCAAGATGAGGTAGTAAGATGTGGTTGTAGCGTTACTGTAAGCATCGGGAGTAATCTGAAGCTTGGAAGATCGGAGAGTAAGATGGCTGAAGCGTCACTGTAAGCATGGAGAGTACTCCGAAGCTTACATTTGTTCTTACACACCGCAATATGAAAATTTGTGAAAATGAAACTTGGCGATGACTCTGCTCGCCAGGTGTTGGTTCCTTTCTTTTCTTACTCTCACTTCATGTTGGTAAGAAGCTTAGTGAGGGTGTTGGAATTTACCGATCGATTACTCCTTACTTCCTACGCGTGCTGATGTAGAATGCTGATCTTAGTCTACGGGCGGACTCTGGTATGTACTGTGCACTGCACCCTCTTTTGTTGTGCTTACCTCATGTTAGTAGACCATCAGTGAGAGTAAGAGCGAGGGAAAAACTTACCGACTGGTTCTCCAGATCTTTATAGTTGTTTGATTCTCCCGAGTTGCTGATCTGGATCTACGAGTTGGATCTACGGTGGTGTGTGCTGCCGGTGTGATTTCTTGCTTCGATCGATCTGAATGCTTGCGTGGATTGTTTGTGGGGGGTTGCTAGGAAAGGGGTGGTTAGACCGTCTTTTGCGGATTGGATGTATGATACAGCGGACAGACTTGCCTTTTTTGTGACACCCGTGCTGAATGCGGCATGTGTTTTTTTTAGAGATTGTTTCTTGGCATATTGCGATTCTGAGTAGGGAAAGAAGATAGGCGAATATATGTACTGCTGCGTATGGAGGTGTGGGATTGTGTTGAGAACACAAGATAACGATAATGATATGTACTTGTGTGAGAAGGATGAATGAGTGTGCATAAAGTGGTGTTCCTGAGTTGCGCCTCTTTGCACGATCTGTAACCGGGAGTATAGATACTAGTGAAAATATGTGCTATAGACAATAGATATGTTCCAGATTACAAAAAACAAAACACATATGGTCATAGTTATATGATAGGACAATGACAATCACATCAAATCCAAATCTGTTTTATACCTCACTAGAGTCGCACTATGTGCGCCGCTTTAGCTTCCTAATATTTATTCTTTATAATAGGAGCTGGCGACCCTTCTAACTCATACAGCGACCCTTGTAACTCACAGACTTCCTTAAAGTTAATCTTGACAATTATTATACTTATCCCATTTTCCTTGTTTGGGCCAATGTGAGCGTAGGCGCTGAAATCCATATGGCATTCCGTGATATCATATTCTGTGTTAGATGGGCCGTAATGATCGTGCATGAGATTCCAACTGAGACTTCGGTCAACTTCATTCGCAAAAACCTGTTGTGCTTGAAGCCCCTGGAAGTCCGGTGAGAGTGCGTCATCTTCCCGCTCTAGGGCCGACAATACTGTATTCGCCAGGTCTTGCACCAACTTTTGCGACGGTGTGATGTCGTCTTCGTAAATTCTACTAGTAGATGGTTCAAGAGTGCGGGGGTAAGGGTTTGGTATATCCAGGAAATGCGGCTCGAGCAGGGGGCTGTACAAGATCTTGCACGCGTATCCTCTCAAGTTCTCCATTTCGGCGTTGAAAAAAACTAGCAGGTGGGAACGATCATCGCCTTGCATGAGTACTGCGCCGCGGCGATGACCTGGAGGGAAAACATGAATATCGCCGTAAAGTGTATCTTCGGATATGCCTTGGGAGGTAAGCGCTGTAACCTTCGCACTCCAACATCTCGGATGATAGAACCTCCCAATTCTGTCAGGCATCCTTACAGCAATTATTGCAGATTGTTGTGCTTGTTGAGCAGGTTCTTGCTTCATATATATAGTCATCGTCTTGATGTTCTTACACTCAAGCTTAGGAGCTGATTCCTTCTCGGAGCGTGATATGTCTGATGGGGACACTCGAATAAACCGTGTTTAGAGGCCCGATGTGGCGAGCATCCCGTGCGTAGCAGTAACATCCCGGTGGGCCAAGGCGAACGATTGGTAGTGCGAGCTGTTCAGGAACCGAACTATAGGTGCTACAATTTAGGATAGCCACTCCATACGGACCATCATCCCAATGAATGACCGGGATCTCGATTCTAAGGCCTTTGTTCGTCATGGAAAATGGACTTTGAAGACCCGAATCTCGTGTTGGGATCAGACTACCAGCTCCTCGAAACTTCGACGGATGCGAAGCCAGAGGCCGACATATATCATCCTTCATGGCCTCAAACCCGATCTTCCATGCAAAAAGTGTCTGATCATCCGTTTGTTTCATGATTTCCTGCTATAGAATGTGAGTAGAATGTACAGTCTGTTGAACAAGAGACCCACCTGAAGACGAAGAAACGCTTTTGGACCCTCCCCATATAGTAACGGCATATTGACACCGACTATCCCGAGTAGACAGTATGCTAAGTCTTCAGTCCGCGTAGTTTGTCGCTCGGAAGCCCAAGATAGACGTTCTGCGATGCTGCATTCACTCACATCCCGAACACGTAATACGCCATGATTGATCCCAGTCCTGCTTGCCACCAGTTCCACAAGCGAACTTTTTGTACCGATTTGGTTCCAACCATACGTGCCATTCACAAAGAAAATGACTGAACGGGGCGCGATCAACTCTTGCAACATCCACCATCTTGTCCACCATTTGCTTCTCATGACAAGCAAGGTAGGCTGCTCATGCATGGGACGAAGGTTGCTCTCTCCAGCAAGGACATAGTCATCGTTATTGACCCAACGTCCGTTGGCATCCTCTGCTTTGTAAGAAGACCATGTTTGTACGTCTGAAAGATAGACATAACAGACTTGTGATTTTTTGTACCACTCGTACATGGAATTGATAGCTTCCGAAAGCTCAGAACTTGAGGTTTTGTCGATACAGCAAGTATCTACCCAAACGAACCCAATCCCGTCATTCAGCGATAGCTAGCAGGATTGTTTTATCTTCCTGTAGCCAGATTTGTGACGCGTAGCCCGTGTTGAAAGCTTGAGCTCCTGGTATGTGACTTCCTCGCTCTCCCATCGATGTGAAAGGATTGCATACGGTGGGGTGGTGTTGCCTTCGAACTCGCTAAACTGCATGACCGTTGCACGTAGGAGGCGCATCCTGGCATGATAATTTAAACTAAATTCCGAGAGAGTGTTCGAACAGTGTCGCAAATAGGATGTGCTGTATGGCTACTGCCATACGGGATCAATGATTTGTTAGAGGACTTATGGGGGTACACCTAAGAAGTGGCTTATATGTCGTTGAGTGGGGCTGTGCTCCAGCCTGATGAGGCAACCCATTCAGGTTCATTGGAATCCTGCACCATACATACGACCAGGCTTCATTTTCGACTTTTGGAAGATATGAGTCGGGGTGCAAGGTGAACGTGATGGTGACATGGTAATGATGAGGATTGCGATCAGTCCCACCTGCTCCTGCTCTTTTCGCATGCTCGGCACCAATCGGCTGTACGCTAGACCTATCTTGCACCTAGTATATGACGACCAAGAGACCTAGATATTGAACTGCAACACTCGAATGAGAGGATATTGCGTTGCTACATTGGTTAGGAGAAGCATTAATAGTAATAGAGCGGAAGATAAGACTCTGACAAGAGAAACTGGTATAGTACTAGGTCGAGCGGACGATGGCGTTGAGTATAGACTAACGAACCCTCACACAACTCCCAAGTTCGAGGCAAGGTGAATCCTTCGTGAACATGGCTTGATACATCTCCTAAGTTTAATGCCTTTGGCCTGGTCCAACATGTAGCACGATTTGATATAGATTTACTTAGTGATGCTTACTCGAATGAGGTTCCGCGTTTATCTGATATGAGATGTCATTATGAATGCAGACTCGACTTACTTAACAAGAACTCGCGCCTTCCAAAAGTCACGATGTCCACATAAGTATAACGCGTGTAGCTCATCAACAACTTTGAGGTGCCACCTACAGCTCAACAACACCAGCATCTTGTTCTTGGCTACCAAGGCCAAACCAACTCTTTACAGAGGTCCATGCACTCTGACTCTTCTCGCCGGGCAATCGAACGCCCTCAATTTCTTCCGGGGTGACACTAAACCACTCCTCCTTGGGGATCCAGCCAATATAAGCGCGATCTCCAAAGCCCCCAATCCAGTATATATCCTCCACGACGAGTCTTACCCACTTGCTCTCGTGGATCATGTTGCCAGGCAGCCACCAGGCAGCATCCGGATGCTTCTTGACGTAGCAAGCCGTCATACCCACCTTCTCCACAGCATCAGCGTCAATATCCTCCAAGTGTCCGACGAGCGAGAAACGGGGAAGCGACGCGGGACTGCGCCATTTGGTGTCTTGCGGATGCCAGCGCATGCTCAACGTGATATTCGATCCGGCGTCGACGTTCTTGAACGACGTGGCGATGGTAATGGCGAGAATTGTCGGATTACCGGTTTCGGGCTCGCAGTCGCCAAAGTAATCCATCAAACCAATAGGCGCGCCTCCGACATCTGAGGGGCGTCGTTCGGTAGCTTGGGTCGAGGGGAAGACGGTAGAAAGAGTACCAATGTTCTCTAGGCGCATGATTCTGCGGGCCTGAACTGCAGACTCATGAACAGTTGGGATCTTGTAAGTGGAACCATGGCCGGATGGAGGGTTCGCAAAGAGGTGCTGTGGTGATGCGACGTTGGATGCTGAGGTTAGAGAGACAAGTCCGAGAAGGGCAGTTTGGAGATGCATATTGATAATGTTCGAAGCTGTGTAGCTATGTAGCTTTTAGAGACACTTGATGAAAGAATGATGCTAGATAGCTTGGGTGAGCTGTCGGTGAAGTGGTGGTCGATGGCAAACAACGACGCGTGCAAGTGAAGCTACGGCCGACGGGAATGCATCATGCGATCCCACAGCGGCGGCAGCGGGGATCTCCGGCTGGGATGGTGATAAAGTTCGTGTCTGGGCGAGCGGTACTGCTGTAGTCGAGAAGCACAGAAGCTAGTCGACGAAGCAACAAGATGCCCTGACGTACACTGACATGAGAGACGCGTATATTATCGAAGGTTTGTGTTCGATGCAATTCGCATTCTGATCGGTTTGGTTACTGATGATACGCATTATCTTATCAGATGATCTCCATGCAGAAGCCAACATCGCCGCGCTCTTCAGCAGGAACCCTTTGTACAAAACATTGAGCGCATAGTAGACTGTCAAGTCATCTCTCTAGCCTTCTCTGGTGCTGCGTCCTTGAGCCTTCTACTTTCTAATTTACTGCTGAAAATCCATCTCCATGTTCAAAGTTGCCTGGGTACCAATTGACGCTAGTGTCTCACGTGATCTCGGCTAATCCGCTGGGCCGCTCGTACACTGGCATTTTGAACTCCCTCATCGCCGCCGCCAGTCCGAACAACCCAACGATCGCACCCCCAAGCTGTACGTATTCCACCTGTTCCTGCGAGCTCATCTGCCCAAAAATCGACGCTTTGCGACGAGAAGACTTCGTTCCCACATTCGACGTGAAGTACCAGGAGAAAGACCGCTAATCGGACTTCGCCACCACACAGACAACTTCGAACGACTCATCAACCCCATCAACAACCGCCAATATGGGAAAGGTCCACGGATCCCTCGCTCGTGCCGGAAAGGTCAAGTCTCAAAGTAAGTCTTGGCCCGCTTTCGAAGATGAAGGCGAGGAATGCCTACTAACAATGACTAGCTCCTAAGGTAAGCCTACCCATGTCGATAAGCCGTTGCGACCGAAGGCCCATACATCAAACGGCGATAGTGAATTCACATCAAGATGGAGGATGACTCAAGATGGGCGATTTGGAAGACAAGAGTTGCGTCTAACACATAACAGGTTGAGCCTCAAGAGAAGAAGAAGACCCCCAAGGGCCGCGCGAAGAAGAGACTCACATACACCCGCCGCTTCGTAAACGTCACCATGACTGGTGGCAAGCGCAAGGTCCGTAGATACGTGTATGTTGAATAATGGGCAAGGGCTAACACATGGCAGATGAACCCCAACCCAACCTCATAAGCCAAGCATGAGAGGGAGGCCAAACGAAATGAGCACGATGAGCTAGAGAATACGGTCATGAATTCGGTTTCCTCGGGATGGCTATGACTCTGGATCAGAGTGAGTGGGAATCACGGACGTCGCCACGGCGCGTTCTTTTGCAGCAGCACGATCCCACACTTTGGGAGGATGGGGGCATATTCATGGCGTAAATGTACATTCGGCTTTCTGCACGGCTGCATCACGAAATCTAGCTGCTTGTGTTCCCAATTTTGTGTCCCGAGCTGTGTTCTCGCCATATGACTGTGTTGCTGATATGAGTGATGCTGCTTGTTCGACACATGATTTACTTTGCTCGTCTGTGGCAACTTTTGCATACCACTTCGTGTGAAGATGGCTAGTCTACAGTATCGCTCTTAGGAGTATATAAGAGGTTGCGCGTGTGGACAGCCGCAAGCAGAAGTAAAATGTGATATGGCAGACAATTAACGTGTTGCAGAATTTAAACCTATTATTGCTCGCATCCGATCCGTTCTAGTAGCTCCAACGCAGCTTTCTTGTCGATAACGTTCCTCACATGCTGCGGGTACGGTAGGCCCAAGCGAGCGATCTACGTCACATCTGAACCTCACCTCACCTGAGCAGTTACAGCGCCATCTTCCATTTCACTCGCCACATCCCAAGCTACTCATTCGCTGAAACAACATGTTCAAACGACTATTCGGAGAGGTACATGTTCTCCCTATCGTCAGCTAGCTTGATGTACTGACTATGCATTCCAGCATGGTGCAAAGAACGTTGTAACGCTCTTCCATGCACCGTCGAACCAGGCATCAACCCGCGTCCTCACACTCCTCAAACAAGCCAATGCGCAATCGGTTGCCCACGCCACCGAAGATCAAGCTAGCTCTCACAAATCGCAAGACAAGGCCGAGCGCACCGAATTCGAGCTTGATGTCACTGAAGCTCCGCCTACCACCGACCAGCTCAAGAACATCCTTGACTACTTGGGTGGCACAGGTGCAGCAGGAAAGGTCATCAGTGGCGCAGAGAACGAGAGCGATGCTATGAGGAGGCTGAAAGCGGATGGAGGCGCGTTCCAGAGACCACTTGTCGTTGACTGGAATCAAGGAAAGGCTGGTATGTCATACGAGGAACCCACTGCTGTGTACAGATACTGACAGTTGCAGTCGCTGGAGATAATGAGTCTGAGATCATGAAATTGATACGCTCAGTGCCTAAGGAGACGGAGAAGGTGTAGAGCAACGGATGATTTGATTTGTACTATACCCACTCCACTCTTCCCAACACTGGGACTAGGGCACTGTAATTTAATCTTTGCTATAGGGAATCTTTCGGTTCTGGAGCGTAGTTGATCGTGCGCTTCACTGTGTAGTGATCCAAAGAGACGCAAACCTTCCAGCCACGGGTAACTGCATATGGTCGAGAAGCCGATGCATACATGCACATATTAAAAAGAAAAATGGGTTTATCATACGCTTGTTTCTGTAGTCTGCAACGTGAGTATAGTCTCTTCCGTCGCTTGTCGGGTTCCAATGCTATATCGCCATCAGACTGTCAAATGAGCTACTCTCTTCTTCGTCGATTTCCTTCTTTCGGCATTTGCCCATGTAAATATGCAAACGCTCAAACTCTCGCACTGGGTGATAGCAAAGCGGCAAACGCAGCGCACGCGGAAAATTGCGCGTTAGCCACTCACGCTCTGCTCCTTCCCCATTGCGCCAAGGCTCCACTGCTCCTCCCACCTGAAGCGACGACGAACTTCCATTCTTTTAGCTAGTGCCTTCTACGACTCTTGCAGTAATCTTGAGACCCTGCCCTCAATTTTACCCACACGCATTTCTCCGGTACGCTTGCACCTACCCCGACCCACCGCAGTCAATTGTACCTTCCGCAGACACGGTCACGGCCTCCCTCAATCCTCTCTTCTCTCTTCTTCGCGATTTACACGCACTTATACGCATATTGATTTGCGCAAACGGCACTACATCCACTCAGACCCCTGTTGTGCAACAGCCTGCATCGCGCGCGGCACCGTTTTGACACTGACATGGCGGAACCTGGCCCTGCATCTCCTACGAGTCCGCCGCCCCCGGTGAACGATCAAGCTACTAGCAGTGAGGTAACGCAATCTACAGCTTCTGAAAACACGGCAGATACTGTCGATTCACTTCTACCAGCTACCACGGGCGCGGTTCAACTGCCTGTACCTTTTTCCACCACTACAGTGAACCCTGTCGCCGATCCTGTTCAGCATGCGACCAGAGATCCGACCAGGGATTCTCGATTTCTGCCAGGCGCTGGTCAAGCCTTCTTCTCCACTGAGCTAGGCATTCGAGCCCCGCGTCCAGTCAGCCAGGTCTCTATACCTCCTATCGCACGCGGGCGCAATGACCCTGCGACTGTGGTATGCGCGGCAAGGTACTGGCAGGACAAGTATCCGAGAGAGTGTCTCTGTATCCTCCCTACCCAAGGATGGACTGTTGAAGATCTCTGGGATGCAGAAGACCTCCATGTCGAGGACCGGGAGTTCTGCGAACAGATGTTGGCTTTCATTTCACAAGAGACTTACCGGGTAGCACTCCAATACGCCCATACCTGGGTTCATGAGCATTCAGACCGAGTAGAATTCACCGACCTTCGGATGGGCAGTGTCTACAATGTCAACGACCCGCTCGACATCATCGACCAAATCTTTATTTTCGGCGAGCCTAACCAATACCCGCGCGTCTTCCTTTGGCACGTCGCCCATATCATGATCGTTGATTGGATCGAGAGTTGCAAAGCGAGAGCTACCCCAGTGGCTACGGGGCAGATGCAGCCATCGTCTACTATGGGATCTCACCATGTAAGAGAAGGAATAAGGATTTCCTCTACAGAAGTGAACCCGTCTGACGGTAAGAAACGCACCGGCACCAGGAAGAACAACAAGCGAACAAGACCTCGATCGAAAACGCTGACAGCACTGACAGAGTCCGCACCGACTGTCAAGAGCCCTAAGGGTATCCCAATTGTGGCACCTACTGCGCCAAATCAACCTCATATGTACACATCTTCCCATCGTGTCTCATCACACGGTCATCTACATCCCGGTACATTGTACATGCCACCAAGGAACGTCAACATTGGTGCCGTGGCAGGGCCGTCCATGTTGTCGCCAAACATGCCTGTACCAGCCGCTGGCATGCGTAGGAGCAATCGCGGTGCCGCATCTGCGTCATGGGCCGAGAACAATAATCGCATGTATCCTGCGCCAATACAGAGACAGCCATTTCCGCAAGCGCCGTACATGGCTCCACAGTTCGCGATAGGCCAGATGGTTCCTGGAATGATGGCGCCTTTTGTTCCAGCACCACAGGTTGGGCTTTATCCACATCCACAGATGGTCAATCCTCAGCATGATCCAACAATGAACGCGCGAGGCCCAATGAGCTTCCCCTCAGGTGTCATGCACAATCCGTCTGTTGGCCCAGCCATTGTACACCATAATACAGGACCTCACAATAGCTCCATGGGAGATATGACCAACATACACTATCAGAACCAGATGGGATCTCCATTTGCGGATCCTCGAGCACCGATGCCGCCCCGTCCTAACAACCCACCCATGCCACAGCTGTACGATCCCTATAGCGGCAACAACCGCAAATTTAGCGGTGTTCCAGCATATAATAACATGGGAAAGAAGGGTGGACCTGGTAACTTCACAGCTCAGACGAGCCGGGGACGTAAGACATCAAACCCTGCTGGCCGTGCATCGCAGCATAACTCCAACGTTGATCTCCATCCGAACTCTCCTCGCTACCAAGACTTCGGCGCTCGATATCGCCAATCAGAGGAAGACCCGAACATCGTTAGCGACACTGTCTCTGGTTGTGGTCATACGTGGATCGGGATCCAGAACTCCACCGTCAATGAGCTCTGGGTTGGGGATCTGCCCGCAGATACGTCCCAGGGGGAAATCGAGCAGATGTTCAAGCAGAACGTGAAAATCACTCCCACCAAAGTCGTTATTAAGACCAACGGCTTCAATAAGGCTCCCTCCCATGCATTCGTTACGTAAGTTAGCTATGCTTCGCTTTTCCGACCTCGCTAACACTTGCAGATTCGCATCGTATTCGGACGCTAAGACAGCCTTGACCATTAACCAGTTCAACCCTCGTCTAAGCAATGGCGTCCGGCCTATTGTGTCGGTACCTAGGCGCTTTTATCATAAGGGATTTTCGCCGTCTCCAGGTCAATCGGAACAGTTGGACAGCCAAAATACCAGTGGCGTTCCACGCTTGGCGCCCACAGAGGAAAAGGGGAAGCAGGCAGATAACGGCGTGACTATAGCAAAAGGAAAAGTGTCATACTCTCCCCAGGATGTTAGAAGCGGCCTGCCGAAGAAGCCTGTTGTGGATCCAGAGTCTGGAGAGCCTGCAGAGACGACTGCAAACCCCGGACTAGACAGGACTAAACGGCAGCAGAAGTCTCCCACTAAAAACAGCAAGGCTAAAAGCAAGCGAGAGTCACCGGTAAAGGATACCATTCCCGAAAAAGTGGTGAAAAAGACGGATGGAAAGTCCAACACTGGGTTTCATTCAATGGTCGCAACCAGTGGCGCAGACAACACCAAAGATAGCCAGGCCAACAAAAAGGCTAATCTGAAAGTGGATAAGCCCAAGGGTTCGGCGACTACATCTGCTGCTGTTTCATCTAAAGAAAAGGTGGCACCAATGGCGATTCTTGCTCCAGATACCAATGCGGTTCAGGGAAAAGCACCGGCGGGTGACATACCTTCGCAGTCGCCCAAACACCAAGAGGCGGCAGCGATTATCCCTAGTCAAGGAAAAGTACTAGTGATAAGCGATGACGAGTCCTCGTCCATCGATAAGAAGACTACTGTAATGGCTCCACTGCCCCAAGCTACGGATACCACTCTCTTGGCTACTCCAGGTGTCGACTCTGGGGAGCACCTCAAGAACGTCGATACTAAAGTCCCCAATGCGGCTGTGAAGGTTCCGTCACCAGAGTCGGCCGATGAGAATAACTCGGATGATGAGGCGAAGAATGACGTTAGTTTCCACTCTGCACCAGAAGTTCAGTCCGATGCTGGGCAACCCGACCCTCAACCAGAAGTTCCGAACGAATCGCTTGAGGCGAACCAAGGTACAAGCAAACAGCAATTTATTTTTTAAACTATAACTCACAACACGCAGATACTCCAGTGCTACCGAATATAGCTGACGAAGGCAAGCCTAATGCGTCTGAGACACAACGATCCGCACCTGCAACTACAACATCACGAGGCGCTACCACTGACGACATCACACCTACACAAGACGCTGCAGCTACAAGTACCACAAGCACTGCAATAGACTCTACAATGGCGGTGGAAACTGCGTCAACAACTACGAAAGTCTCTGCGATGGAAGCTAGCAAGAAGAGCGGAGTTTCGCAAGTGCAGTCGCTCCATCCCTTCGCAAAGAGCAAGTCACAGTCGAAGAAGGAGAAAGAGGCCAAGAAGAAACACCAAAAGAAAGAAGCCGACCGAATTGCAAAGGCAAAGGCGGAGAAGGGGAAGCAGACGAGTGTTGACGCAGATGCTCAGGCGAAGACTGAACTGCCCATCGACTCCGGAACGTTGCCCATAGCTCCAGATGATGCCTCTGAGCCGGAAGCAGCTGAAATCGGGACTCAAAAATCTCCAAACAACACGAAAGCAAAAGGAAAGGACGAGACAAAAACTGCAGAAGCTGTCTCTGCAGGGCGCATCAAGAAGCATAATGACGAAAATGAGACTGGTAAGCCAGACGGAAATACTGCCAGCCAAGCTTCTTCAGTAACTCGCGAGGTGGGAAAGATAAATCCTCCAGCCGTCAAACAAGTATCTTTAACCGGATCTGGGGTACATGGTCTTCCTGAGACTACCCGTTTACCTGTACTACCCCACCCCGCAGATACTCCAAAAGCATCTGCGAAGAATCCATCTGCCAAGGAAGTAACAAACTCCCGCCAAACTCCATCCGCAGCCCCCACTCATATTGCGAGCCCACATGAACACCTTTCTCGTCGGTCTTCGACTGCAACCTTGGTTGGAGAGGATGGCACTGCACTACCAACTTCCCCGACCAATCCCTCGCACAACCTCAGCACTGGGACCGGCATCACCGAATCCAAAGCTCCAGATGAGGCACCCAAGAAGAAGAAAAAGCCCAAAAAGAAGAAAACCAAGACAGCTGTCGAACCTGCCCCAAGTGTTACGAACCCTCCAGGTTCTACCTCATCCGTCCATAATCCAACCAATCTCAACGGCGAAGACTTTTTCGAATACGATCCGTTCACCTCCCAGATGACTCATATTGACGCCATCCGTAACGCTGTCGAGCATGACAAAACTTCATACTTTGCGCGCACTAATGCGAGTATGCAGGCGGAGAAAGAGGCTGAGGAGCAAGGAAAGGCCCAGGAATCGTCCCAGGTGCGTGGGCTGTAATCGAATTCTCGATTACACGCTACTAATACTTATATCCAGAGTGACGATGGGGATTGATTGGTTCGGCACAGGTTCATCAGACTTTGAAGAAGGCATGAATCATCTGTGAAGGAGTTATAAGCTACGGGCTTCATGGAATGTGGGAATGAGGGTTTTGGGTGACGATCGGGTTGTGAACTCTCATGTACCCGTACGATAGAAGGAATGTTGCCATGAAAATGCTACAACAGAAATGTCAGCTGTGTGTCCATGATGACACAAAACTGCCATCTGACATCTTGTAATGTATGCGATCCATCTCTTGAGCATGCCTCTCGTGATCCTTTTGACCAACGCAAGCGAGAACTCTATAACCACAATTGAATTGATACAGGCATGCTGTTTAAATATGCAGGTAAAAATGGAATTTAGCGTCATGGCATCATTTATTATCTATTAATCATATGCAACATCATCAGAATATCAGGATCGCTACCTGTGTATCTATCTTTCAATAACCTCCATCAACGACCCTCTAAACAACCATGAAATCAGCACAACCTCGCTCCTCCATCCACTCACCCCATAATGCCTCAATCATCTCACGTAAATTGCCAACACCCCGTTCTAGCTTACCCCTCTCTTCCTCCACAAACCCAATGTCAAACACAACCTCCCTCCTCGCATTGCTCTGGCCAAAGAATACTGCGCCGTCCCCGTTCTGCGACCAGTTCGTCCTAAGGCCGTCGACCAAGCTCCTGCGCGTGAAGGAAAGGAGATCAATAGTGTGTTTAGACGACGGAGAAGTATGTGCAGATGCGCTGTAATGCGGTACCCCCACCTCCAGCGCCGCAATCTGATCCCCACGTAGCACATGCGTGAGAAACGCAGTAAACTCGTGGAAATACGCCACCAACTGCGGCGGCTGTGATATCATCGCTCCATCGCAGCTGCGCGCGCAGACATATTCAAGTGTTGGCAATAGAGAAAGCATGGCTTGGCACATATACCGTATCGCGGCTAGTACATGTGGTTCTCGCAGGGCCTGTGGCTTGAGTTTCTCTGTTCCGCGGATGAAGGCGTGGGATATGGCGACCATGCAGTTTACCACTGTGGCTAGATTATCCGGGTTCGTGACGCGCAGGTCGAAGAGGAGTGTGTCTAGGATGGACGGTAATGCAGATAACAAGGGGCCTGCAATGACGAATGCGGTGGTAGAGGAGAACGATTCTTCTATATAGACGGGGAAGATGGACTGTAGCAATACATCGCGTAGGGCTATGCGATCAGCAGTTGGCGCTTCGTTTGTGCAAAGCGCAGTGCGGAGTTGATTGACGAGATATGTTTGCTGAGTATCTGCAGCCGCTTGCTGAGCCACAGTTTGTACGAAGACGGATAGCTGTTTCGCGGTCGCTGGGTCCAATAGCTTGGGCGCGTAGCCGCAGAGGCGGGCGACGACATATGTGGGGTCTGCGGCGGGGAGGGGAAAGGCAACAGAGTCCGTGAAAAATGGCAGGACGGGGCAGATGTCGCTGGTGTATTGTTTGAGGAACTGTACAATTTTCTGCACGAATTCTACGTAAGCGCCTGTGACGGTGGTACCTTGGCGGAGTTGCTGGTAGTTGTGTCGCATTGTGGTCATGAAATCTTTGAGCATCGAGGCGTAGCTTCGTTTCAGTTCGCTGACGTGGGCGGAGTCGGACAGTGATGTGGTGAGTACGTGGTCGCGTATGTTGGATAGGATGCTGGAGATGAGGTTGAGGCGACGTGAGCGTAGCGTGTCAGGTGTGATATCCCATTCGCCCGTATCGAGATCGCGGAAGAATGGAAGATTCTGCATCAAATAGTGATTGTCGTCTGTTCGTGCTATGGCGAGCAGGAGTTTCGACTGGAACCTGAGCATGGATTCGCGCTCAACTAGACACGTGAGTAGGGCGTGGAAGAATTCGTGTCGGTGCTCCTCGTATACGGCTGCGTCACGATCGACAATCGCGGCCATAAAGTAAGGACTGAATTTACGTGTCTGTTCAGTTTGTCGAAGTTGGCCCCATGAGACTGGGCTGAAGGATTCGAGAAAGTATGGCCATGATCTCTCGCCCGATGCAACCTGGCATTCTGCAATACGGATCCAAGTATCGACACAATCCAACAGCAGATTCTCATCTGGTGGATTTTCAGCGCCAAATGCGTTGGAAAGCAGGTGCCAAAGTGGTTTATGGATAAAGTCAAGACCGGACTCCTGGGCTGCCCTTGCTGGAACGTCCAACGCGACTCCATCCAAATCATCCATGTCCGGAAAGTCACCATAGTCTTGACTTTCCTCACTCGTCTGCTGACTGACTTCTCCTTTTGACTTCGTTTTCTGCAACGCTGTGAAGACTTGGAGAAGCTGCAGAGTGTCCCGAATGACACTGGCGAGGCGGCGATCCTCAAAAAGGGGGAGCTCGAGCAGATGCATAATGTCGGAGTCAATTAGAAACAGCCTGAGAAACGACTGATCATTCGCGTTCTGTGTGACCTTTTTCATGCCCGCGATGGAGTCTCGAAGCGTGGCGATGACCTGTTCTTGATTCCTTTCCATTGTTTGACGAACCATCACCATAGATACATCGGTCGTTCCGTCCAGAACACCCGACTTCAGATAGTCGTCAGCCTCAGATTTCGCGAGCTTGTACTGCTTCAGGGTTTGGTGCATGATGTCCTTGTGCCACAACGCGAAAGGTTGTGCAGAAGAATACGGTTCATCGGTCGAGAGTTGGAAAGCAGCAAGATTGGCCCAAGCACGGACACTCACTCTGCAAGCCTCACGATGAGAGCTCTCGTGGTTGACCAAGTCGCGAATGTTGCCGAGATTGGGTCGACATGCTGACGGTGCAGCCCAGTAGAGTGTAGAGGCTAGGTCGTGGTGATTGCGAAGTGCCACCAGATTCTCTTCGTCTAGAGGCTGGTCCTTGGGATATGCCCGTCCATGGTTAGGTACAGTTCGAAAGACAAAGCTACGGACCTTCTTCTCTGGATAAGCATCTTTCATTCCCTGAAGGCCCAAAGCGAGACACTTGAGTGTGATGTGAAACGAGTTCTCACTTTGTTCAATTGTCAACGACTGCTCTGCAACGAGGTTATTCAAGAAAGGGACTGAGCCACCACCTGCTTCGCGTCGAAGGCTCTTCAGGCCATTTGTGCGGAAGAAGTCAATTACGACATTGAGCATCAGCTCCGGGCGTCTCCAGTGCCAGTAGGTCATGAGTCTGTGGCCACGTGCGAGGTTGGCGCGAACGTAGTCGTTGAGTGACGAACTATGCTTCCTGTATGTACTTGGGTACAGCTCAAACAATCTTCGCAACAAGTCCCTGATGCATGTCCAATTGTCGTTTTGAAATGTCTCTCTTCGACTTCTTAGTGGGATTCCGGACACATCGATTTCGTTGAATGGAAGAAAGGTGAACATCGTGGCCCATGTCGTTTCGATGACAGATACATGAGTAGCGCTGGCGACTCTAGGACAAAGCTCTTTACTGGTGAGATCCCAGAAGCTCCAGGCTGGCATCTCCATCTCATCCAATACGTGCATACAGATCACAGTACTCTCGACGACAACGTCATTATCCTGTATGCCATTCTCTCGTACCGAATGTCGCTTGTTTCTTTCGAGAAAGTTGCCAAGCTCTTCGATGCTGTGTCGTACGAGATTGTTCACAACTGTCTTTGATACACTCTCGACCAGAGTTTTGGTCCCCATTTGGCTGCTTGGATCAACAATGGTATGCTGCGCGATGCGGTATAGTTGTTGACTCATAACAAGCAGATAGGTCATGGTGCGTAAAGCACACTGCCCATTGGCAGGACTTAGACCGCCAACCAGGTCACTGGCAATCAATATGCCATCGAAGATCAACTGGCAAAGGTGGGTAAGCTTGACCACACAGTCTTTTCTGTCAATCGGATCCAAGAAGCTCAAATAATCGGAGATGTACATAATGAGCGATCGTACCAATGCAGACATATGGAGCAAACCGTCTTGTACTGGTGATGTACTTGTATCGGAGGTATGGACTTCTGTGGGCGCCAACGCGGACCTGACCAGATCGGACAATCTAGAAGATAACTCGTCGTTCCAGGGACCGCATCTGACTGATTGACCGAAATGGCTAATGGTAAAGTGACCGGCGCTGTCTTCAAGGTCGCGACCATTCGGCTTGTCAACGGACAGTGCCCGTCGAAATTCCTCGGACCCAATGAAGGTAGATGAGTGAAAGTACGTATCAGACGCCAGCGAGTGTACATCAAATGTAATAGGGTATCGCGTGCCATAAGGGCCCAAGCCATTGAGCACAGGTAGGTTATGCTCCGATACCGCTTCTGGCAGTTGAACAACATCGACGTTTTTTAGTACCTCTTGAACGGCTGGCTCACTGGGCTGACGATATTCTCTTGAATCGACATCAATCCTTTTGGCTGTAGGCTTTCTTTTCAGCCGTCTTTTAACGGTGGGGCCTGGTTCTCTGGGACCCTCGGTAGCTCGCTCACCTATATCCTTGGCAGAAGGAAGTGGTGGTAATTCGGCACTGTCATCTGCAAGATATCGTGCTAATTGAGGATTTACGAAATGCTGATCATTGGGAAGCTGAGGGCCAAATCGTTGATCGGCACGCAGGAGTCCCTTCTCAAACGCAACTTTCCTGTGGTCACGACCAAAGTCATCCTCATCACCCTCTAACTGAGCTGTTCTGAAAGGAAGTGATCCCTTGTGGGCTGCTCGTGCAGGAGGATTGCTGGGCAGTTTGGTCTTCTTCCCTCGTTGGGCAGATTTCGACTTTTGGGTTGAAGAGCGCTGAAATATGTGAAGGCCTTGAGGAATGTTTTTACGCCGACGTGAGTTGTTCGTATCGGGCTCTGATTGTCTGTCGAGACCTTTGGCAGACATCGCATCCTTCCGCGACTGGACATCCGCATGTTGTTGATTATCGGTCCTGTTCTCCAAAGGGTGTCGGTACTTGAGTTGTTGCGATTTGGTACTTGCTTTTGGTTTCAAAGTACCCTGTCGCCATTGCTGAAGGATGACATTGGCTTCGCTTGTGTCCTCAGCGTTATACAGTCGGATTTGTTTGTTTTTGGGACTCTGACGGGCTAGGTCGGGTCTCCGGAGCGCTTGACGCCTAGCAACCTTGATGAATTGTGGCACGTTGCCACCTGCTTGAGTGGATGAAAGGTCGACATCAACCACGCTCATAGCGGGCGGTGGAGTCCGGCGAAGCGTCTTAGGAGCACCGGATTTTCTCCTGCCCAACTGACCAATAGACGACTGTTTCCCATGACCAGCAGCCCTTGTGACATTACTAGAGGATCTTACTTTCTTCGATTTAGCGAAGGCATCTGCGAGCTTCGTCTGTCTTTTCCGCTTTGCGCCAGTCCCTCCAAGTGTAGGGAGAGGTAAATGATCATGCTCCATGTCTGATAAGTTGTCGTCGTCGGCGTAGCGACTATCAAAAATCGCAGCTAGCGCAGACGCATCTTCCACAGTAGCTTGGACATCATGTCTACGACGCGAGACAGGTGGTGCTCTAAGTCCGTCTTCAGATTCGTCAGATATGACAACAGGGTCTTTAGAAGGTGTATTGGAAGCTGAGAGTTGCCGGGGTCGGCCGACAGGCTTTCTGACCCGTTGGGCGACTCCGCGTAAAGGCTCTGTCGGTTCTGGGGAAGGAGCAACATTCGCTCGTTCACGTGCACGTTGTTGAGCTTGTCGCCGCTCTTGTGCCTGTCGATCAAATCTCAACCACGATGCCGGCAAGACACCCTTGATCTTTCTGCCCACGTGCTGCAACTCATTGTCACTTTGCTCTGCTTCACTGCCAGACTCGGCGGAAGATGAGCTATCAGTGATGATAACCCTGGTAGGCCGGCGAAGCTCGCTGCCAGACCTTTGAACGCTACGTGGGACTGGATCAGAGTCGGATTCGGGTAACTGTTGAGGATCCTCCTGCATCACAGAAGATGTTGATGGCGTAGGCAGATTTGGAAGTGGGGTCATCACCCGAAGCCCACCAACCGGACGAGCTGGTCTATTCCCATTCAACGGCGGACTACTTGAATCTGGTGGTGAATTTGGAGGCATTGACCATATGTCATTTGGCAGATCTGCATCTTCGAAAATGCTCCTCGGTGGTGCATCAGCTTGTGTGGATGCAAAGTTGAGCTTCCGGCGCTTGGCTGCGTGTGGATGGCGGAGCTGGGTAGCAGGAGGACGTCTGTTGGGCGCAGAAACAGGAAGACGAATTGTAGTTATGCTGTGCGCATCTTTTCTTTGGTGCGGCACTACAGGTGTAGAGACCGGGATTTCGGCGTCAGGGGGGCTACTTCTTGGACTATGATCTGGATTGAATTCCTGCTCCTGGGACTCATCATTCTGATGCCTAGGATGGCGTTGGGGGGACTGTGAACGTGCCCTTCGCACTGGTTTTAAACCTCTACTCTCCACCTTTCTTCGATACATCTGGTCCTCTAATACATAGGGATGCAATTGGATGGGCTTCCGCTGGCGAAACTCGCGTCCTGCCCTATCATCGGCGATTTGCCTCTGTAAAGCGGTTGAGGAAGGTATAACTACCTGAACTGCAGTACGGCGATGGGGCATGACGAATGAGAGGGGCGGCGACTCTATATCCGTAGGTGGGTCTGAGAGATCATCGTCAGAGTTGTCTGACAAAGGCGCAATACCAAAATCATTCAAGGCGTTCGGGGCTTGTGCGTTATTCCCTGTATTATCTGCAAACGCTACGTGAGGTGGAATTGTCGGGGTTGATGTGAATTGCGAAGGCAAATTAACGCCGTCATTGAGTTGAGGTATCGACACTGCAGAACTTGGCTGAAGATTCGGGCATGATGAAGGTGGAGGCAGAGGAGGTGGCAGTATTCGTCGAGTCTTTGGCGTAGGGGAGCTTTGTAGCGGGTCGGGGCTCTCTGTAGGCACTCGGGGCGTGAATGGTGAAGGCGTAGGACGTCGCAGCGAGATCTGTTTCGTAGGCGTCTTAACAGTAGTCTCCTCCTTTTCTGACTGTTTGATATTTCCAGTGGCATAGCTGTTGGCTCCACCATCTTTCCTGTTCTCTTGGACCACTTTTGTTGTCGTCTCATGCTCGGCGCTACCTTGGACGCGCTCGACGCGTCCACTCAAGGCTGCATTGTGCTCGGAAGCCTGACTCTCAAGCTGCGACTCATCCTCCTCTTCATCCGAGTCCTGGACAAATCCTTTCTGTCGCCATTTGGACATTTGGGCGCGCCTGCATATCTTAATTCCGTTCGAGGTCGGCGGGGCGAGGTTTGAAGTGCAGGTTGAAGGCATGTCGCGTTAACCCGTGCCCGCTTAGCGCGTACTTGAGCGGCAAGGCCGAACTTTCTGCCCGCGGAAGTGCTTTCGTCATACACGTTCGAGCCAGACAACATAGTCGATTCACACAACGATCGGGCGAAATGGCGGGACGTATTCTTCCGGTTGCATTGACGACTATAGTGGGTGTTTCGATTGGAGTTGCGACCTTCGATGGAGAATTCAAGAAGCAAAGAATAGCACGGCTGGAGGAAGAATACAAGCGGTACATGCTCCACGCTCGTGCCTTCTCTAGCTTTCACTCACCCTCTTTTAGAGAACTTGCGGCTGCCTCTGCATCAAATGCGGCCGGATCTTCGCCTGCCGCCACCAATGCATCCGCCGCTGCAACGCCCGAACAGCTTCAGGCCCACAAGGCACGGGCAGTCGCCTCTGCCCCAGCTGACAACTCGTGGTCAAATATACTCGGATTGTGGGCATGGAAGCAAGACCCAAAGGCGCAGGCAGTACCCGTATCGAACAAGAATGAAGATGCAAAGGGAAAGCCCTGATGGCTACTACCATTGTACAACTATCAAAGATTCAGTCGTTTCTCTAGGTCGTCCCACCGTCCCCGTCGCAGCGGATCCAAACGCTTCAACTCGTTCAGCCACAGCCTCATATCTCTTGTTGTGAATGACCCGGTACCACTCTCGACATCCATATACGCTTCCGCGAGCCCGAGAAGTGCCTCGTATATCCATTTGCAATCTGCTTCGTCCTCCAATATCTCCCTTATATACTCCATTTCGTGCTCATAGTACTGCTGTCGCTCGCCGTTGGTTAGATCTTGAACGATGAGCTGGTCCTGAGGACATGAATCAGACAAAACTGAAAGTAGATATTGGTGGTAGAACCATATGGATTGGTCGAATGGGTCGGTATTGATGGCCTCGCAAATCAAAGATAATTCCGAGTTGAGGAAGGCGCGACGTGCCTTTGCGTCTGCATTGCGATCGCGAAGAATCCGGGGAATGAGCTGACTGCGGTTGTGCCAGGCGGAAAAGTTGGAGAGATTAGTCTTGATCATCTTGGTTGTATATTCGAATTCGGACTCTGCAAGGCTCTTTTGCTCTGTAGAAGCCTCAGAAGAGGTCAAGCGTTCGATTTGCGAAACCACGATTCGCCTATACCCCCATGCATGAAAATTTCGACTGTCTGCATGGAGCATCTTGTTTATTAATTGTAGTTCGCCCGACCAAAGCTTACGTGCTGCTTCCGCCCCCATAAGGGCTTCTCCCTTGCGTAGGAGCCAGTCGCGATGATTCCATATCCAGTAACACTTGGGGTACTTGCGCAGCAGCGAAAATGTGAGCTGCAGATCACCTTGTAACAACTTGTCTGGTGGTTGCTCCGGAGATTCCTCTGCGACGAGAGACAGTAAGACGCGCCTTCGGTGGTTCCATATCGTATAGTATTCGGGATTCTCGTTCAACAATGTTGTAACCAAGCCTAGGACTTCTACAGTATACTGCTTCTCTGCGATCTGTGCGGACAGTCAGTTGTGATTTACTGCACTGCCGACAATACATGCCCTCAAGTTCACCAGATCTACCAGACTTCTGTATTCGGTAATTTGTTGGAGTTCTTTCTGTCGCACCTCTTCTGATCGTACGACAGGGCCTGCTCCGCGCGATATTCCGTGCTACATGTGTCAGTGTATGGCTTCAGCCAATACCAGTTGAACTCACGCTTGCCATAGTTGCTTTGTGCCCGCTGCGTTGGCGTTCGCTGCTTCCCCAAGGTGCAGCCTCGGGGAGAGGTTGCCCCACCATGCGCACAGAGCTCCTACCCCCACTTCATCCCTCACGGAAGGTTGCCCTTCACACTCCATCTGTCAACCCTACATAGCCGCAAAATCCTAGCCATATCACAACTATCATTGCCATTACTAACCCAGCAGTACTAACCAGGATACCAGGCGGCCACAGCCCGTGTCCGAACTTCCCTCCTCCAAGTAGCTTCCTATGCGCTGAAGCCTCCAGTCTCATCCTCCAGTTCATTCATCTTACCCCAACATGAATAACACTGACGACGAAACATCTCCATTCAATTCCGGTTACCTCACGCCGCCCTTGTCGCCTACCAAGACTGCCAGCACTGAAGACTGGACGTCACCTAGGACGCCTGCTTCGCCCCGCAAGAGTCGCAGCTGCCTCTTCTTCCGGGACATTGATAGTGCCATAGACGACCCACATCTGACCTCGCCACCACTCTCTCCTACCCAGTTTAAACTCGTCCCTCATCTCGAGGCACTTTCGGTTCCAGACCTGAGTCCAACTAACCGCGAGTCCATTTCCGCACAATCCACTCATGTTACACTAGCAACAGAACAAGAAGAGACGAATAACGACCAATCTCTTTCGTATCGCTCTTGCGTGCTCACTCGCTTTCATACACGTTCATCGCCTGTCACAGGCGACCGTTCTCTTGATAACGAGGTTCCGATTTCGACGTTTAGAATACATTGTCCAACCACATTGTGGAATGCGTCACCTCCGTGCAAGCGGAGACACAGCAATTGCAGTTCTTCAGACAGTACAGCGGAGAGTTTGGACCTTGCGCCTTCCCTCTTACCAAGTCCTACTACAACGGTCATTACAGACGAAAGCCCGAGCTTACCAAACACACATCACACTGATACATCTACTGAGGAAATCTCTTCTCCGAGTAAACTCAACAGATTCCCCATCCGTTATGCCACCTCTCCCTTGAGACCAAGTCAATGGGTAGCAAGAGGTGGCTTGCTGGCACCGCCTCGCCAGAGTCAATCAAGCACTCCGGATCGTTTCATCGCTGGCCGACGGCCACTACCTATAGTGCGCGAAAGCTTCGAGCTCAACAATCCTATGGAACGTCGGAACAAAGAGCACACCGTCAGCCGTGGTACTCGTGTAGGTCAAGATGCTTTCAGTCGCCGGCTACGTAGAAGCGGCAGGATAAATAACGAGCTACGAGGACTCCGAGAAGCTAATTCAGTAATATCGGAAAGAGCAAGTGCATACAGAAGGAACGTCAACTTTAGGCACAGATCTATCACTCTAAGTGCTCGCCAAATCAGCACTGGTGCTGTCTGGAATGTTGGTGGGCCATCTGCTGTAAGCGATACGGTGGTAGGTGTATCTACTGGCAGAGGTAGGATGCTCGGTAGTGGAACAAATGCGCCGCTGTACAAGTCTGCTTTTCTCAACCGAGCGGACCCTGAAGCAGAACTAGAAGCCTACGAGCGACGTCTCGCTCTGGCGCTCGATGTGGACCAGACCGATCGGATATTCCAACATTCGTCACTCCCAGCTCCCCAGTCCCCATCACATGGTGGTCCGGTGCCACAAACAACGCATACCTGGCGCGATGGGGCTTGGGTAAACGACGAAGAACTTGCGTGTTTGTCTACTTGATTCCCGATATTTTGTATTTTCTTGATGCTAATCATAGGACAAAGCGTCTCGCCAACCTACAGCAAGAAATAGACCAGTACCGATTTTACCGTTCAGATATGTCCCTAGGTATGTAACGAGATCTACAGACTGATGTGATTTACAGTTCTCGATGCTCCTAACCTTCGCGATGATTATTACTGCACCTTGCTAGCATACTCGTTCACTTCAAAATGCCTGGCTGTGGGTCTCGGGAACTTCGTGCATCTGTGGTCCGAGCGAAGTGGTGTGAACACCCCAGAGTCGCTCAACTCTGTTCCAGCGAATGGATCTCCGGATAACCAGCACGTCACGTCCTTGGACTTTTCATCTACAATAGGCGGACAAGCAATTCTTGCTGTTGGCAGAGCTGACGGTCGGATTTCACTCTGGAGTCCGTTTGACTCGGAACCACGTTTTGACGCTACGCAACCAAAACCGGTATCTTGTGTATCCTGGAGGCCGACTGTCGTTCAGCGCTCTTCTCTGCGTGACAAAGCATTGTCCGTACCCACCGAAGAACTGCTCATTGGAGACGAAGCAGGATACATATACTTCTACAGTGTAGAATGGCCCTCGGAAAACCAGAGTGCGCTTTTTGGCTGGCACGGAGCTATGACACTTCTTGCTCGCCTGAAGATCCACACTCAGCAGATTTGTGGACTCGCATGGTCGTCAACGGGTGAGCTCTTCGCCAGCGGAGGAAACGATAACAATTGTAACCTGTTCGAGACCAAGAAAGTGCTCCAGCCAAGTAGCTCAAGCGAGAACGGATCAGCTGTTGTTGATGTCCGCGAGGGCCCTCGTGGTGAATCCATCTACACAGTCTCTAATCGTGCCAACGATCCTGTCCTCCATCTTGCCCAATCAATAGCAAAACATACATGGACACTCAATGCCGCCGTCAAAGCGATGGCATTTTGTCCTTGGCAACGCGGACTCATCGCCATCGGAGGCGGTTCCAACGATCGTTGCATCCACTTTTACCATACCCGTTCGGGCACTTGTCTTGCTACCATTGACTGCGCCGCCCAAGTCACAAGCCTCATCTGGTCTCGCACACGTCGGGAAATCGCAGCCACATTCGGCTTTGCTCAACCCGAGCATCCATACCGCGTCGCCGTCTTTGCGTGGCCCAGCTGCGAGCAGGTCGTGGCCGTGCCGTGGTATGACGAGAACCGTGCACTATGTGCAGTCGCTTACCCCGGTGGCCCTACGAGAGGTCCACACAGTACGGATGAAGACCGCGATGGCGGGCGAGCGAAAGGTGAAGATGGTGTCTGGTCGCGACGAGGGGTAGAGGAAGGCTGCATCGTGGTTGCAGCTAGCGATATGGCGATTCGATTCCATGAGATATGGAGCGACCGGAAAGGCAGTGTGGGCTCAGGCCTGTTGGGGAGCGGGGCTATGGGGTTACTTGGGGGGAGCGATATTCTTGAAGGCCCCTACGCGGGTGGTATAGAGAGACAGGGTGCTGTGATTAGATGAAGAGGTAGGTAAGTAGGCGTCGGGTCCTACCTAGACTGGCACCTGTGCGTTGAGACTATCAAAGGTTCTGCCTATTCCTTACCATGTATGATTCTGGGATGTGGGCTACGAGCATGGTCCGTCCCATCTAAAGGAATACAGTAAAGGGATATAGTAGTAACATCAAAGTGCTTTGGCAGAACCTACACGTCTTCACAGCAATCACAAAAACACATTGATGACCGCCCAACAAGTGGTAGTGCAAACATTTAAGCCGGTCGTGAAGTGATGCAATTGTTTATTGAGACAACTGCCTTAAGCAGTCAGTGGTATGAGAAGCGCCTATCCCTAGAATGCCCGAAGTTTTCATTCAGAAGGAACCCACACCGATGTTTTCGTGCCGGCGCCAATATAATCATTTCACGACCCAATCATGAACTCATGACTATCCTCTAGTGCTTCATGGAAGACGCCCTCCTCTTGCGGGCCTCGTCGTGTGCGGCCTTGGACTCGTTGATGCGCTTGGAAAGGATCTGAGCGTACTCGTTCTATCTCATGATTAGCTTGGATTCCTAATGTAGTAATAGGTTGTACTTACGGCAGCATCCTTGGAAGCTTCCGCACGGCGGCGCTTGAGTGCGATGCGGTGACGCTTGTGCTGGAGGCGCTGAGGAGTAACCAGACGCTGGATCTTGGGGGCCTTGGTGTATGGCTTGGCACCCTCCTTCTTGGGCTGAACCTCACGGCGGATGACGAACTTGCGGACCTACGATTACAATTGTTAGAACTTCATACCTTTGTAACTTCTAGGCTCACTTCTCGCTCAGACTCAATACGCTGCTTGGAGCAGGAATGAGGAGACTCAATCCGCTATGCGAAGCAGGATTGGCGAAGAAGCTATGAGAAAACTCACATCATCTTCCTTGCTGAGACCGAAGAAGCGGCGGATCTTGGTCGCGCGCTTGGGACCGAGGCGCTTGGGGTGGACGACGTCGGTCAGGCCGGGAATGTCCTCGTCACCCTTCTTGACGATGCTGAGGGCAAGGACGGAGAGGTCCATGCCGACAATGCAACCGCGAACGGACTTCCTCTTGCGCTCACCAGTGCGGCGGGGGCGGTAGCAGGAGTGGCCGTCAGCGAGCAGGAGACGGACACGAGTGGGGTGCATGACACCCTGCTTCATGGGGAAACCTTGCTTGTCGTTTCCTCCGGTGATCCTCATGATGTAGCCCTTGAACTCGTCGCCGATGCTGTCGCCAGGAACCTCATGGCCCATACGGCGGTCCATGAAGACGCGGAGCTTGCGCTCATCGTCGACCTCGATCATCTTTTGGGTGCCATTGTTGGGGTAGGAGATGTTGAGCTTCATCTTGACTGCGGCGTCTCGACGGCGTGTGGAAGCTGCAACGTTAGTAGATTGTCGGTCGTGAAGTTCGCGATTTCGAATCTGATGTTTTCGCAGTTCTAAGCGAATGGTGGGCGCGCTAACTCGTTTTGTGGGTCACATGACCGTTGCATTCAACACCAATTTCGCGTCGCGTACTTGCGGCAGACTACTCCACTGGCGCACAGATTGTGTATTTTCATATTAGACATGCTTTGGAAATCTCTATCGTGTGTGCATGCTGTATTATGAACATCAGCTACAACTCACATGATGCGACTCAACACGTGCTGTGTGGCCATCAAGTGGGCAACGATATCGACGAGTGCATGACAACCGGTAGCACTTCGCAATCCTCTAATGATTATATGGGGTGGTATTTACATTGTGCAGCTGCGTATATATTCACATGTCTGTATGTAACGATGAGCACTTTGAAACTTCCGCTATCTTGTGGGGATAGATCATTCAACAGGGAACATTCATCACATTTGCAAAAACAAACTCAGGTAAAACGTATTCAAGTCGATTGGATGGGATATCGTAAACAGGTAATGGAAACACATATCTCGGATCCGTTTCAGGTCTGCTCGTCCCCAGCGTATAGCATTGAAAAGAGCTCCTTCTTAGAGCATGATTGCCCAAATCGCAAAGCCACCAACGCCGAAACCATGCTCGCCTCCAAGTCATGGACATATGCTGCATTTTGATAACACAAAGAATAAAGAAAAGTAATGAAAAATGAAAACCACTCTAGTGCATGAGCTCGACAGGTGGTCGTGCAGTGCTGATGGGTATGCCCTGTGCTTTTTGTGACGCAATCGGTCCCTCCAAGCCCTCCATCGCATCAACTGGTGTCAACGGCTCGGGAGTCTCTGTTGTGTCATCGACAGAGATGACCGGAAGGTTCGGAGAGTCACCATGGTCTTCGGGGTGGTAGACGACAGTGATACTGCCGGTTCGCCTCCTGGTAATCATGTTGCCTCCGTGGTCGACTTCAGGTGACACTGCCTCGTGGTTGGCATGTAGCTTCGCGAGCGCCGCTGCGAGATCCTCTGGGTGCACAATTTTGTTTGGCGCATCTTCCTCCTTCACTTCCCAACCCATGGGTGGCGATGGCGGTGGCGAAATGAAGAATAGTCGGTCTGACTTGGGGAGTGCGAGATGCTGGTCTGAAGGGTTCATGGGCGTGTTCACGCCAAAGTATACGCGGATGCGGAAGCCCATGAGCTGTGAACCGTCAAGCGCCTGTCGTACTTGTACTGCAGATTCGACATCGAAGAAAGATACCACTAGGCGCCGGAATGACTTGAGAGGCGCCCATGTGTGTACTTTGGCATGTTGATCTATTGTCTCGCGAATCTCGGTGAGGGTTGAAAGTTGGAAGATCTCGGGGGCGAGGAGGTTCTATATGGTGTTAAATTTTTTTTCCGGGTCAAGTCGCATAAGAAACTTACTGTGATGATGAGAGTGTTTGACGGGGGCGATGGCTCGATCAGCGGTGGTAGACTGGAAAGGTCGAGAGAAAGTGGCGATCGGCTTCCAGAAGATGCCCGAGAGCGCAGCGGCGATGGTAGAGTAGCTTGCATGTTTGCGATCATAATGTTGAAGCGCGAAGATGTTCAGAGTATGCAGTATGTGTGAGTAGCTGTGGTGAATGGATGAGGAATACGTGACAGCAGCAGTCTTATATCAAAGCTGGCCCTGGTGGGCCGGATTGGTGGTGGTGCCAACTTCCGCAACTATGCTCCGCCTCAATCCGCCAAGCCTAGAATTCACCGTCACATCGCCGCGTCAATGTCCCATGTTCTGCTTCTTTGGCGCGATTACTGGGCATGACTGCACTGCCCCGCGATCCGCTGTTCAACGCACTGAGCCGTTAGGGGCCTTCGGCCTTCGGCGACGCGTCAATGATGGCTTCTAACTGACCATGTCACAGCGCGCAGAGAAAAGGAGTGAGTCTCAGCCTCACAAATACACATTCGCCCTCTACTCAGCCCCAGAAAACGGAAGAAACATCGATACGTGTCTTTTGGGTTCCACAAAAGATTGTTTACCAACAATCGAGCCTTGGAAGGAGCCGACCTACTGCTAGTGTCCGGCTTACCCACATCGGGGACATGCGACCTGCACATGCTACTCCCACTCCCATACTTCAGAAAATACCAAGCCCATCAGTCTGTCCGACTGGGCGTGTAACAGATTACCTCTCGGCAGCGCACTCGTTCATCCTCCATCTCACATTGTGTCCTCAGTCCCGAGGTGGTATCACACGGCAGGAAACTGTCAGCAGACAATATATTGTATCTGATATCTTAGTTTCATCAGCAAATCCACGTAATGCTTGAAGGGTGGGCTGCCGGCAAGTAATGTCTCAAGTATGCCACTGCACGGATGAGTAGTAGTCACACGGCTGTCGCGCAACTGTTTCGAGGGCTGCCTCGTAGCAAAGCATTCCAATATGTATACTTTGATGTATATATCTGTCACGTTTAGGGCATTGCAAATCTGAGATTGATTCCATTCGTTCCAAATCCATCTGCCAATTAATCTATTCGGGATCCATATGCTATCTAGTGGCTCATCGCAGTCCGCGAGCGACCATTAAAGTATTATATTACAAAAAGACTGTGAACAGCCGGATTGCCACTTGTATGGTCTTCCGGACGCAGCGTCGCTAGCATCTCAATCACCCGAAAGATGTGGCGTGCATGTGGCGCATACCTGCTCAGCCGCAACGGGCTTAGGCCTCTCACGGACCCAGACTCACCTCAAAGAATCTCGATACAGGAACACGTCCCTAGCCCACACCACCCCACGCGCACCAACACAAGCATTTCTCTCTCCGCCTTCCAACCCAGTCGCCTCCCCGAATCGTCTCTGCCTGAAGCTCCACACCTGCTGCGCCCTCATAAATCCAGAACACCGACGCGATGGACTACAACCCAGAAGGCGACTCGATAAACGTGCGCTTCCTCGAGGTACACAGCCCGTTCTGTCTGCTGCTAGGCTTTTCGAGCTAACACGGTCACCTAGGCGAACAGCCAACGCGCCAGTTTTATCGTCCAGAACTTCAACCTAGAGACCGCGAACTCGCTCCGGCGTGTAATGCTCTCGGAGATCCCCACGCTCGCCATCGATGTCGTGGAGGTGCTCGACAACACCTCAGTTCTTGCTGATGAGTTCGTCTGCCATCGTCTCGGTCTCGTGCCCTTGTCTTCAAAGGGCGTCGATGACCTTATATACTCGCGCGACTGTGATTGCGAAGGCTACTGCGACAACTGCGCCGTCGTACTCTCATTGAACGCAAAGTGTACGGGTAGCGAGATTATGAAGGTGTATGCGCGAGATTTGGTTATTGAGTCCCGGACGCCGAATGACGAGGTCGGGAAGCCTGTCATTACAGATTCAGAAGGGACGGGCAGCTGCATCGTGAAGCTGAGGAGAGGCCAAGCCATCAACATGAGGTGTATCGCAAAGAAGGGAATCGCAAAGGAACATGCAAAATGGGCGCCCAGTGCGGCGATCGGATTTGAATACGATCCAGCCAACAAACTGCACCACTTGGACTACTGGCACGAAGAGGACCCAGAGAAGGAGTGGTACGTTAGAATCTAAACTCTTGGCTTAGCACAGTCTCGCTAACAAACTTACAGGCCCAAAGACGAAGCCCGCATAAACCTTGACGGCGGTCCCGAAAACCCAGACGAACGATTCGATTTCGATGCTGTGCCCACGCGTTTCTTCTACGACGTTGAAACCGTCGGCGGTATTGACCCCGATCAGATCGTCACGAAAGGAATACATCGTCTACAGCTGAAACTCGCCGAAATTGTTCAAGGGCTCAACGGAGGCATCGCAGGCCCGGATGACTTTGGTGGTGCACAGAGTCCTACAATGAATGGTGCAGGATATGGCGGTGAAGCCGGGGGCTATACGCCTGTTGGTGGACCGGGAGGCTATGGCGGGGGGAGTGCGTGGGGTGGCCCGCAGCAAGGGGCAGCTACGCCGTATGGTGCTACACCTTACGGGGGGCAGAGTTGGTAGATGGGGTATAGATTTGGATGAAGAAGAGTGGAAGGCGTACAATAACGGCATAGACCGGCGTTTTAAAATGGGATGGACATCATGAAATTGCGGTAGCAATTCTTCCAGATTAGTCACACGAATCTTTCAACGAATCAAGTTTTTTTGAGCAAAGGAAAGAGGAAGGAGTGAGAGAGAGAGAGAGAGAGAGAGCGCAAGAATGCAACTGTGTAAACCTCAAAGCAAATACAACTGGTACATTTGCCTATCACTCAACTCTCACAATCCCAACTCTCTCTGTAGTCCTCTTCATCCTCTCCCCATCTACCACCGCCCTATACAACCCATCATACTCCTCCATATCCCTCCATACTCCTCATCTTACTGTGCGGAAACACACCATATCTCTTCTTTCACCCTCCTCCCTATCAACATCGCCATCTGCTTCGAATGTGTATACCCCGACCTCGATTTTAGATACATCCTATCTCTATACTTAAGATCCCATACGTCGACCAGTACCCGTAGATCTAAGTGTGCGTCTTCCATAAACACTGTGTGTTCGAAAACTAAGAATACTATTTTGGATGGTAGACTATAGCGTACAGCGAGGTAGACTATAGCGTACAGTGAGGTAGACAGTATTACAGATTTTCAAAATAAACGTGTCGTAAGAGGGTGTTGAAGTCGCGGGCTTGTCACGGGGATAGGCTGGCAGAGAGGATAGATGCACGTAATCGGTATATTCACTACGTATCGCTGACAGTACAGGGCCGGGTTATAGACAGGACGTAGCTCAAGGAGCTACTATCAGACAGCTCTCGCAGGTTTTGTCTACAAACGCTAGGTACGCTACGAAGGAGCTCGTTTTTATTGAGTCAACACCCCTAGGCCAAATTTGGTGTAGCGCGAGGACTCAATAAAAACGAGCTCCTTCGTAGTCGCACCTAGGGTTTGTGCGGCCAATCCTCGCCTATCAGGTCTTGGCGCGTCTCTATTAGCCAGCGCCGTGACAATACAACTTTAATAACACTAGCTTTATGATAGGCGTTGCAGCTACGTCTAAGGTCGTCACTGTGAGGGATCGATCAAGAGTGTGGAGAAAGATTGGATTTGACAAAATACAAGCTATCGAGCTATCTACGTTGTGAGCCCGAACTTGTGGTGTGGGCACCAAGGCGCTAGTCCGATAAGATAAGGATCTTATCGATATGGGGGCCATAGGCCGAGTCTATGGATCCGTAACAGTTAACCATCTTATCTACGCTGGCAAATGGGTCGGGGTGTGGTTGGGGTTGGGTTAGAAATTTTGCGACCCCAACCCAACCCCAACCCATTTGTCAGCGCCAAGCTTAGGGTTGGGTTGGGGTTGGGTTGGGGTCGCACGGACCATGGGTTAGGGTTGGGTTATAGTAAAAAAATTGCAAGATGTATAATATAGATTTCAATAAAAGAAAAGTTTATATAGTATCACAGTAGATTAACACAGTGTAGCATTAACTAGTTTCATTTATAATATACAGAGGCTTCGCCAGCTAGCATTTAAGCACGTGTATCTAGATATATCTTATAATCTAGAGAAAAGCTAGTAACTCGCGCGCAAAGTAGCGCCTAGCCAATTGAGAATCCTTCTCTTGAATAGTAACCCTCTTTGCGTGAATAGCATTGATGTTGCAGTCTATAAAAGTTATTAAATGAAAAATAGTATAGGGTAGATAGACTATACCCTCAAAATAACCAACTAAGAAAGCTTCTGTAGCTTCCTGAAGAGCTTCGATTGCAGATCGTTGAAAGCGGATATCGGCCTTGTGCACCTGTGCAAATTCGCGCACTACGCGGGAAAAGGGGAGTTTTCGCAAGAGTAGTTCAAAACCTCTCTGGTATCTCTTGATTTCCCGTAATGCGACAGCTAAGCTAAATTAGAAAATAGCTGTGATAAACGACTGTGATAACCTACTGCCGGCCTTAAACTTGCGCTTCTTCTTAACAGCTACAGGTGCCTTTCGCGTAGACTTTCCTGCTACTTGACGTCTAGCCTTACTAGCAAGGGCCTTCTGAGCCGGCTTGCCGCCAGTAACTGTCTTGCCATCAGGACCACCCCGGCCGGCTTTACCGGTGACCTTAGGCCGTGGTTTTGTCCTTGCCATTGCGTAGTAGAGTAGATGATGAACGTAGGCGACGTATGTGATTAATTACTGTGATAAATGTGGTCGACAATTAAGAAAGTAGTAGGCTGAAAGAGTTAGGTAGCTGGAAAGTTTGGGCGACGGCAATTTCCCGATTTCCGCACTAGTAAAGGCAGCAGCGCACGGACTGCATGACGTAATTTGCTGTTTCACGATCGCATACAACCATTTCTGTTGCAAAATCAGTAGCGAGCATATCATACAAACGTGTTAAACTGCTGTGATAAACGCCGAGCTCGCGCATGCGTACAGCCCAAAAATGAAGGAATCATCGATGTGTTGATCATTTTGGGTAATTTCCGCGTTTTCGCGCTAGCGCAGGCAGCAGCGCACGGACCATTTCTAGGTGAGCATAATGCTGTCTACCCATTTCTCCAGCCCCTGACGCCCAGTAACTCCCAACACCTAATAACTCTCTTTACTACATTGAAAACACCCCATTTACAACAGCGCATTATCACAGTCCCCGCCATGCCTGTCGCGAAAGAGCAAGTCGGCGACGTACCTGAAGGCCTAGTTCCAGCCATCAAACTTGAACCTCCGCCTGGGTTCGAACAAGATGAGTGGGAGCAGCTTACCGATGTAATAATCACAGCCATTTATCACAGCTTATGCTAATATAAGCAGGGATTTGCGTGTGAAGCTGACGAGATTGACGGTATCTTAGATCAAAGAGGTAGTGGGGGTTCACGAAAAGGCCGACCTATCAATTTGAGCGTCCCCTATACTGGCTCTCTGAGTGGTAGCGCCCGTGCTATTGCTCAACGTGAACGCAAAGCTCTTTTCGATAAAGAGGAGAAGGTACTTGAAAGCGTTAGAACAGCCGACCGCTCCGCGAAGTACCAACTGAAGAAATCGCTTTTGCAACAGCCTAAGTATAAATTAGCAAATAGTGCTAGACAGGCTAAGCTGCTAGAGAAAGAGTGGGATATACTTTCAGAGAAGCGGTTTACCCAGAAAAAGTCTGGTAAGTTATCACAGCTGTTTATCATAGACATCTGCTAATAGACTATCCCAAGTGGCGAAGGATATACTAGCAATACCAATTGCTCAGGTTGGGGTTGAAAGAGTTTTCAATGTTGCTAAGGATGTTATTGGTAGTCGGAGGCACCGACTATCTGCCCGGACAATACAGCAGATAATGGTTCTTAAGGATACAATATCTCAAGAGGAAGAACAGGGTCTAGACTACCTAGTTGCTCAATTAGGGGAGGATGGAGAGCCAATTGACGAGGTTAATGATCTTTTTGAGCTTCCAGCCTCGTTAGAGCATACCTTCGATATAGATGAGGAGAACCAGACTACAGAAGAAGAGTCGGAGGAAGAGGTCCAGGAGGAGCGTCAATTGCCACCTCGAAAGCGCCAGCGTCCTCAGCGCTACCGTGATAATTAGCTGTGTTAATATATCTCGTTTTATGTATCTACTATATCATCAACGTGTACACATTATCTTAATTAAGTGTTGTTCCGTTAAAGTACCCAAAAAATATAACCCAACCCCAACCCAACCCAACCCAACCCAAGCCCAACCCTACCACTTGGTCTGTGCGACCCCAGCCCAGCCCTAACCCATGGTCTGTGCGACCCCAACCCAACCCTAACCCATGGTCTGTGCGACCCCAACCCAACCCCAACCCAAGACTGGGTATACCCAACCCATTTGCCAGCGTAATCTTATCTATACTGCGATTGGCGCGAAACTAAGTAGGCCACTATCACAATCCGATGGCTCGTTACAGGATGTTATAAGTTCTAAGCGTCGCTTTCGGCAATTATAACTCTTCGCTTTGCAACAGGGTGAATAAGCGTATTTGGTCCAAGCGTCACTTTCAGTTCGCGATTCTTCGCTTTGCCAATATGGCAGTTAATCGATGGCCATCCAAGACTTGCCCAAAGGAGTAATTCTAGACCACGTGCAAAATCTAGCGTCTCTTGGCACCAGGCGTCACTTTTGAGATTCGCGATTCTTCGCTTTCCTCACGCTGCAATCGATGGCTAACCAAGACTTGCCCAAAAAGGTAGTTTTACACTCCATGCAAGACACGCTAACTCTCCTAGCCTAAGCGTCGCTTTTGGATTCGCGATTCTCCGCTCTGCTCCCTTGTGTGACACAGCAATCAATGGCTGATGGATACTTACCCAAAAGGGTACTCTCGTATCACATGAGGAGTCTGCCAGCTACATACAGCACAAGCGTTACCTGGCGCTGAGGCTCGCGAACGTTCTTTCAATGTTCACTTTCTTCGCAATCCCGCAATCAACGGCTGAGCAAGACTTGCCTAACGGTGCTTTGACGTGAGGCATTAGTCCTAACGCGCTGAGGTGAGTTCTATGCACCAAGCTTGGCTCCCCTTTGCACTGCGCTCTGCGCTCGCGATTTTTCGCTATTCGTTTGACCGTCAATTGATGGGAAGCCAACACCTACCTAAAAGAGCAGTTTAGTAACAAGTGCGCTATTCACGGCGGTGTGTACATATACAGGTCTTCTCTATGAACTATGCTCACATGTGAGAGTTGATCATCACAGCTTCGGAGCGCTACTTAGGATGATAAGTTTCTCACGTAAGTCATCGCTCGTAAGGTTCTCCTATTGTTTGCCGCGTACTCCAAGCGCGCAGCAAGTACTGTATGCTGAAAACTTGAGATGTGATAGCATCTATGTTCTATTGCAAGGTAGGCTGCAACTGTGATTTTGTGTAGTTACGTCCAAATTTGTGATAGCCTGTCCTTGTGGGGAATAGTGGGTGCTGGAGGAATTGAAGGATTGAACTGAGGTTGTATTGTCTGAGTCTACAAACTGTATATGCAGGTGGGTGACCATAAACAGCGCTAGTCCTAGATAGGCATCGTTCCATTACAAAGGTAAGTTGCGACTGTAGGAGCAGAGCAGGAGAGACCCCAAACCGTGACAGTCCTCCATCTTCCCTCTCTACGAGAAACCCAAGACCTTGGGTTTGGATAATAGGAAAAACTTCTTCCAAACTCTTATCTATTACTCAAGCCCTTGAATCAGCCTAGTTTAAACATGATAGATTCGGGCTCCAGCGCCTCCAGCGCATCTGCGCGGACCACTCCAATCGCTCTTCTTTCAGCAACATCTCTTACCCACTCGATCCACATGACATTCAGGCCAGCATCAGCATTTTCGTACACGTCTTGAAATAACTTGTTCTTAAAACCCAGACAGGGGTTGTGATGCGAGCAGAGTGGCCAAGCGAACTTTGTCACCTGTTTGGGGTCCGATATAACAAATGACGAGAGGATGATCAGCTCACAGGAGGTGCCGGTCATGCACGTGGCTTTCTGTTCGGGCGAATGAAGGGTAAGATAACCGACGTTGGTGTCATGAACACGCAGACTGGCGAGCAAGTGCATGTCGTTTTCATCCTTTGATTCTTCTCCAAACAGGAGCTTTACGCGAGGTGCGGTACAGGACAGAACACGTGACTGTTGAAGATGATCTTGGTGGCGTGTTGGGTCCACGGTTGGAAGGGGAAATGCGTATGGTATCTGTGAAGTCGATGATTCGCTCGTGAAGTAGATGCCATCCCGGTGAAAACCACGTTCCCAACCTTTCGGAAGATCCTGCTCATTACCTATTTCCCGTAATGCTTGGTATTGGTAAAATCCGTTGAAATCGGTGCTGCCTTTTGGCACTGTGCCATCTATGGAGACAGTATTGAACTTCGCCAGTTGCATCAAAGGGGCGACCGCTAACCAATCCGACGATTTGCCCGTCGCGCGGAAGAGACCTGCATAGAACGGATACCATGGATGCAAACATTCTACAGCACCTTTCCATCCTGTCCATGACCAACTAGGCTCTCCATGCCGCCTGACAATAGATCCTTTGGGCTGCCATAGCAACACAATGTCGAAGAAAAAGCACGGCATACCATGAAGAAGACCCTCAGGAAAAGTCGGGCCCATGACTTCTGTTGCACCCGCAAAGGCATTGAGAGCATCACGGTCGTACCTGAATTCCCGGGAGGTGAAGTTCTCCACAATCATGCCCCAGCGTCCGAGAGACGGTATGCTGGGTAACAAAGACATCATCCCCATCGGAGCGCCGAGATGGGGGCGTTCGACATCAAAGCAAGAGTTTCCAGGGAAAGAGTACGCTTTAATGACGCCTTCACGCCAGTCGTAACGGCCACACAACCACGACACTCGGCGATCGAAGCACAGCAGGCGACGCGAGAAGAGCGACTCCTGAAACGTCCAGCCCCTGGTCACCCATCTGGACTCTAAAGGATAGCCGCCATAGAATCTCAGATCTGTTGATGTCGTATACAGTGGTCTATCTTGAGACGGACCGCCAATTCCTCTTAGACCGTAGTTTGCGTCAGAGCCAGTAGCAACGATAGTGAATTCAGCGCTTGCATATATATGCGCCATGGCTCGTAAGGTTCGATCCATCTCGTGAGAGGGCGCATCCTGTATGACGCATAAACAGTCTACCCAGAGGTATCGCTCCCCTAGTGCAGCTACTAGATACATTGCATCTCGGATCGTATTTGGAATGGTGATTTCGGTGTTGGTACTGCATATCGCTCCTGGCTGCTGTAGTTGCTCGAAGTTCGAGGTTAGGGTCTTGCAGGTGTCCACCTCGCCCCAGACATATGACAGAGCAATGAATGATATAGGCGTCGTATTCGGCAGTTTTACAAGCGAACGGTTCACTACATCGACTAAAATAAGGTGGTCAAGGCGAAGTGCCAAGGCTTCTGAATAACGGTCGTTGCAGCAGTCGCCATGAGTATCGTGGCATGCTTTTCGCCATTCCTGAATTGAGTTGAGATCGATTCTTGGGACCGGGGGTAGGACTACCCTCTCCTCGTCTGGCTCTTCCTCTTCCCCACCAGAGACTGCAAAGTGCGCTTTAGCAAGGATGCTTGTACGGCGAGATGCATCCAATTCTTCACCGATCATTATGATGATAGAGCCGATACTTGAAAGTAAAGATGAGGTGATACCCAGAGAGCAGTTGTATTGCGCTGACGATGTACAAGTTGCTGCCTGAATTCCGCCCCCACTCACGTGAGGGGCTTGCTGACAACCCGGACAACTGCAGGGTAGCTTCGGTTAGTTGTCAGATGGCTCAATAACAACGCTACCGATGCTGAGCTATGTGTTCACCATACTGTGTTGTGCACATTGCCAAAAGAATCCGTTCGGTGCTGTAACTCAGTGTCCAAGGTGGAGCTAACAATTGAATAGTGATATAGAGTATAGGCGCATTGTGACTTCAAGTGTCGTCTCTGGAGTATGACTTCAGAAGAAATCGAATCCATTCCACCAAATGTAGCCAAGCACAACAGCGGCGTTCATGGCGGCAAAAGGCAGAGTCATCTCGACAACGCTCCAAACCCAGAGCGTGCCAACTGGAGGAGCTGACTTCATGACATAGAAGTATCCATGCTTGTTCCCCGCGTATACCAAATAGCAGCCTGCGGCGATTGACCCTACAAAGAAGGTGACATCTCGAAGTATAGGAAAGCGGTATGAAAAATCGACGTGGGTAAGGTAGACCAGCACGGTGAATATAGGCAACGCGGTAGCGGCCCGCCAGATAATCTCGTTCCATATTATGTCCTCGCGGTATTGGCTGTAGACGATGACGTCGAGGGTGAGGTGCAAGGCTGCCATGGCGGTCGAATAAAGAATCGAGTCCCCAAGTGCGCCGATGGGAGGTAGTTCGTCGTTGGATGAGGAGGGCGTAGACGCCAATGGTACTTTGACGGCTCGTATCGTCCCATTGGCCTTGTCTAGTTCCCGCTGTCTCTCTTCGGCCAATTCGAACAGCGTCTTGCCCTTCGGTCCGGAGAAGTCGGGGTGCTTTAAAATCATCTCGACACCCTCCTGGTCGAGCTCGGTGCTAGGCTGGAAGCCGGTTCCACTGCCTTTTGAGTCGGATTTTAATTCTTTTGCACGCCGCTCTTTTCTGTTACCGGACGACATGATGTTGGGAGTAATGGGAGTTGTGGTGGTGGGAGTGCAAGTGTCGTGCGTGCGGCTCTGAGGAAGGTCAAAGATGACGTGGGTCAAAGCTCGCTCCAGAACCTCGAGCGTCTCCTGTTCCACACCTCTTCTAGCAATGGACATTGTTGCGACTGTCAGTTCATTGGAACCACAGTGCATCTGATTTATAGTAGCTCACTATGCATTGGACTGCGTGGGCATCGCTGCCCGTTCTTATCTTTGTGTTTTGGATGTATACCAGCACCCTCGGTGCATCCTTCCCTACCCTCAACAACAAGCGCATCCTACTGTTGATAGCGCATCCAGACGACGAAGCCATGTTCTTTGCCCCGACATTGTTGGCATTGACGCGTCCAGAACGCGGTAACCAAGTCAAGATACTATGCCTGAGCAGTGGTATGGTCCCTCAACATGTCTTCGATAGCAACCACTAATCTTAGCCGGACAACAGGCGATGCTGATGGGCTGGGCGAAGTGCGCAAGAAAGAGCTAGTCAAGAGCGGGTTGCAGCTGGGTATCGGAAGCAAGGAGGACATTCTCGTGGTCGAGGACAAGTATGCACTGCATGTACGCCCGTCTGCACCGTGCTAATCTGGGCCCAGAAACTTCCCAGACTCAATGACGGTAACATGGCACCCACGCCTGATTTCGAATCTGCTCACAACCGCCTTCGCACCAAACATGAAGTCAATTTCGTCCGAGGAAGCACCGCAGGCGACCATCGACGCCATCATCACCTTTGACGCACACGGCGTGTCGGGTCACCCCAATCACAAATCGCTCCATGGCGGAGCGCATACTTTCTTGAAGGCGCTCATGCATCGTCACAGCGGATGGAACTGCCCCGTCAAGCTGTACACCCTCACCACCACGTCAATATTCCGCAAATATCTCAGCTTGCTGGACGCGCCTGCTACAATCATTGGCGCAATTGTGCGAAAGAAGGAGCTCGGCGGCTTCCCTACTCCGCTCCTGTTCATCAGCTCACCGGTCGGCTACAGGACTGCCCAAAAGGCCATGACAACGGCGCACGAGAGCCAAATGCGCTGGTTTCGCTGGGGCTGGATCACCATGTCGCGCTACATGGTGCTCAACGATCTGAAGAGAGAGAAGGCGGGTTAGCAGAAGCCTTGAATCTCCTGATGTTCATTCAGCTGCAGCGATGAGAAGTCTCCTTGCACTCGGGCTCGCAAAGTTTCTTTGTAAGGCATACACGACAAAAGTGTAAAATCGCCGTCTATTTCCAACTCCATTGTTTGTGTGGGGCAAAGCTGTTGTGTTGCCAACAAACAGGGAAGGCGTGAGCGCAACGCCATTTCCTTGCCAGAAGTCTGTGTAACATACCAAGAGAGGCAACTCGGGGAGCACGGAAGCAAAGCCGCGCAGGCCAGGCTCCGCTCTTTGTGGGCCTCAGGCAGGTTACGGATGGACGGGCTCCCAGGGTCCGTGTGACATACGACGTGCGTTCTGCAGTCCTCCATCTCACTCCTTTCTGTTCTGTAGCACCACATTCTTGCCCAATTGTCCTTCTGATGCGCCTTCTCCTCAACAGCAGACGAAAGACTGCTGCCAGTCTGCCTGCACCTTCGGTACTCGCATTGTCTTTCTCGTCGGCAACAGGTAGCAACGAGTGCGTCGCAACTCACGGCTCGGAACTGCTATCGTGACGGCAAGGCCTCAATCGTAAGCCGGATGAGCGACTGTTCAGGCACTCACACTGACGCACCAAAAGCCACGACGTCGCGCCTTTGCGAGACTACTCAATAAAGAAAAATTACAAACGATGCCGTCAACACCGATACTTCGCTTGCCAGTCGAGCTCCACCTGGAAATTGCAAACCTTCTGGACCTGGGCGATAATGTCAGACTCGCGTCTACCGATCGCTATTTCAGATCAATCATCCCAGCACCAACGCACAGCGAGTTTCTGGCTGCCGAAGAGTGCGCATGGGCAAGGTCAAAACAGTTGTATGCCTGCAAGTGTTGCGTCAACTTTCACACCTGGGAAAAGTTCGCCGACAATATGAGGAAGGGAAAATGGTGTCGCAGTGGCACGCACGCCAATGAGAGATTCTGTCTCAAATGCGGGGTAAACAGCGCGTTGTACGCCCGCGGCACCCTTCTCACAATCTGCAACCGACCACATGTGCTCTGCAGTAAATGCGGAAGTCTTACTGACCAACTGGGCCATCATGGCATGTGCGCTGCCTGTTCTCCAGACACAAAGCGAAACCGTGGTAGCCAGCACTTCGACCACGAGGATCACTGGACTTACGCGACTAATCGTATGTCTGACCGGAACCACGTACGAGAGTTCTACAACTGGCCGGAAGACGGGCGATTGCCTAGATTTTGATTAACCATGTACGTTACAATCGTTGACGGCCAACACGCTCCCAAGATAAGCCGAAAGCAACTTTGTTCACACGTCTAAAGTCATGGGAGCTCACAACTGCAAAAGTCTTGGAACACAAGCATGGTCCTTCATACGACTGGGAATATCTGGCGCTGTCCTCCTTGCGTTGTTTTTCATTCACATTTTTCGGTAGTGATATGAATATACCGTTCGCCAATACCGCATCACTCTACCACGTCACGGCTGCTGTCCCTATTGACACGCAATATACATGTCTGAAGTGGCCGTATGCAAGGTTGAGATTGAGATTTCCACACCTCGCCGATACCTAGTCTTCTTAATTTCTACAGACGCGCTATTACTCAAAGAACGCAAGCCACCGTCGTTCCGGCAGCTATTTATCAATCGCCACACCTTCCGTAGCCAAGTCCCTGACATTGTGAACATGCCAAGATCAAAGAAGCCTGTAGTGGAGTCTGACCTTCCAGAACTACAGAGTCCTACGCCTCTGCAACCGCAAACCCTCAGAGGGCGTATCTCAGTGACGTTCAATACTATCCTGGCAGCATTTCCAGCACGAAGAGGTACCCCGCAACGAGAACCAGTTCGACGCTCCAGGACAGCGCCTGTTCCAGAATGCGAAAGTGTGCTCCAGTTAGGTAGTGGGATTGGTCAATCTCCAAATAACACACAAACTCCTAGCACTCAAACACAGATTCCTTTGATTTCTGTTTCTGAAGAACCTTGTCCCTATGACCCGACTGTTTATCATTCTTTTCCTGGCATCGAGCGTTCACGGTGCAACTTTTGTGGTATGCGACCTCCAAAATCAAGATCAAGCACGCCGTGCAACGATTGCCGGTCTAGAAGCCCATTTTCTCATATGAAGTTGATTCTGCAACGAAGATCGGGTACTGAAATCGAACTCCAAATGCCTACCAATGGTCCCAGTCCTCACCTGAGTCATAGTTCTTCATCATCTGTTGAAAGCCCACGCATAGTGCCTCCTGATATTGCCGCAAAGAGAATCGGTAACCCGCCGAGAAGGGCATCACTTCCTGTTCCCCGTCCTGGTGCTATCAACACACTTCTACAGCCACCTTCTACTGGTCGTACATCTCATTCTCTAAGGCAGAATACCACATTGGATACTCATAAGCCCAGACCCAAGAGCGCACTTGCAACCCACGAAGTGAGACCCACCAGCCCCAAACTACACTACATTCACGGCTTACCAAACTCAAAGGCATATCCATATGTTTACAAAAGAGAAGTAACACATCATCTAGCTGCCGTTCGTGCCGGCTCACCAAGTCCACTAGCAGATTTCGCCCTCGCAGCTCAGACCAGAACCAGTGTGAATATGACTACAGACTACTCGGAAACAGTATATTATGGCTCGCGAATGTCATCTGCGTTTTCGCCTACGCCAGAACAACATCGCTCGCGGCAGCCGCGGCGCGGTAATGTGGTTGTGGAGCAGACTGCGAACAGGGATGGATATGTCGTGACCGAACACCCGCATCTACATCAGCAAGCTGGCATACAGCAGCATGTTGATCATAGTAATGGACATCGTAGGCGAGCGCCCGAACAGCAGGAAAGATCCCGGACGGCTTCGAGACCACAGCCAGATACCTCTAGTCGCACCAGAAGTACAAGTACAGGCAGCGAGCCAAGCACGGATCGTCAGACCCCCGAGCCAGAACACTGTTCCGGGGAAGACCTAAGGCCGAGACTACGAGGTGGTGATGGCGGTAGAGATGAGGATTTCCATACTCCCAGTTGCGGACTCACGCTCAAGCAGCTCCTACTCACCTGTCACAGGCCCAACTACAGATACAGCACCAACAGTATAATCATCGACGAAACCCTCCAACCAGCACGGGTACCAGATGCATCACAGATTGCACAAGCCATACAAAAGACACAGGGAACGGCGAGACTCCCTCGTAATCTCTTAAGGAAGAGTAATCCCCACGCCATACTACGCACAACGCAGGTTGAACTATGCACTGGAAACATCGCTACTACTTATTCAGAATGCACACCCCCCATTCAAACCCCACGTTTTCACCACCTTCCAATATCATCACCCCCACAGCACTATCCCGCAGCCTCTCCAACCAATCCCCATACTCTCGCAATCCTAACCCTAAGGGGCGGCGCATCCACACCCTCCACCCTTTCCGACGACTCCCCTCTCCCGTCCACACTCTTCTGGCTCGCCGGCGGACGAGGACCCCCCATAACCACCCGTAGCTGGAAGCGTCAAAGACCGAAGAAGAGAATGGGTGGGTTGTTTGGAAAGTTGATTTATGGGACGCGCGCTGGGACGTTGTATGAAGGGAAGAAAGAAGGTGGTGGGGAGGGTGATGCGGGTTCTGCAAAGGAGTCTGTGGGAGAGGGTAGTCAGAAAGGCGATAGTAGTTCTGCAGAGGAGGGAAAGGAAGCGGAGGCGGATGGGTCTGACGCTGGGTCTAAGAAAGAAGAGGCTGATGCTGAGGCAGTACCGGATAAGAGCGAAGATGCAGCAAAGGAAGGCGATGGAGCCTAAGACGATATCGTGAGCGCGGAGTTAATGTTGGATAACAAGGACTCTGATGTGTGATGTTTCATCTTTGCATTTCTCTTGTACTACGTAAACCCATAAACTGACCTCTGGAAATCCCAACGCTGGCAGGTAATCTCGCCTATTTCTTTTTTCAGATCATGCCAATGCCAACGCATCATTCATACCCTAACACTCACATCAACTCATAAGCCCATGAACTTGCTCCCCACTCAACGTAGCCTTCAGTGCCGGTCGCTTCCCCGTCGGCATACCCGCCTTCTTAGGCGTAGCCGTCGCATTTGTCTTCTTCCTAGCTGCCGTCAGTACATTGCCGCTTCCCCCTCCACCAGCAGTCCTCTTTGCCTCAAGCGCAGCCTCATGTTCAATCTTGCCCACGGCCCTCGTAATCGCCATACTGTATCCGCCAATCCACTCGCTCCAGCTCTGCTTGCCCTCGCTGTTATCCACGGCAACTTCTAGATTCGAGCTCATACTGCGCTTTGGCCTGAGCGTTTGCGAAGTTGTAGTCGTAGTCGCAGGTTTCTGTTTCGCAGGCCTGGTCGTTGATGAAGGCGAAGGAGGGGCGACGTCTTGACCTCGCAGCGCACGCCGTTGTTCAAGAAACGAGCGTGCTACATTCTGTGCTGCAGAGACACCGGATTTGATCGTCTGCACGTCTTCCAAGTTGACGTTTGCGGGAATGGGGATGCGGTAACTGCCACTCAGTGTGACTTGCCGACCAGTGCCACCAGTCGCGCTCCTATCAACCTCTTCAACCCCGGATGTGGCATTGCTTGTAGTATGGCGGGTTCGGGGACGGTAGGATTCTAGGTCCTGGCGGGCGACTTCGAGTTCGCCTTCTAGTCTTACAAGCTCTTCATCAGCTTCTTCTTCCTCTTGTACCTGGACCACTTCTTCTACGTCGTCATCATCATCGTCCACTTCTTGAACTCTGCTAGATGTACTCAGTGTTGGGACTTGTGTTGCAGACGAGGTCTTGCGACCTTTTCCTCGTCGACGAGGTGAACGACCGGGACGTGAATCGGATATTGCTCCAGCTCTGTACAATTCTTCAACCTTGGCTTCGAGGCCTCTGACGCGAGATTTTAGGGCTTCAAGATCGGAGGCGGTGGGTACGTCTGCAGATGTTTTGGTGGGGGTTGGAGGCTTTGTAGTGTCTGTTAACGTTGAGGTTGGCTCCTTGTTCAATTTTCTGGGCTTCCGTTTCTGTGTATTAGCTGCTGGTGCAGCTGTTTCCTCTGTGGTAGGGACAGCTGTAGTCTTTTTCGTCGTAGATGTTGAAGGCTTTGATTTAGCTTCTTTTGGTAAAAGAACTCCCCCTGCTGATCCTGCTCTTCCCTGTTCAGCATTGCTTGCAGGGACAGCCTTTCTAGATCGCGCTTGTTTTGCTGGCGTTGTTGGCGTTGGCTTTGGTGCCGGTGATGAAGGTTTGGACGCCATGATAGCGATAGTATCGTGTCTGTGCCTTTGGATAATGACGCAGTACGTATGTTAACCAGGACTTCGATATTTCAGATGGGAACTAGAGGTGCGCTCAATGTTCAATTTGTAGACAAGTGTGTTTAAGAGGAATTGATATCGAATCTATACAACCCTCTTGAATTAAGTGCAGTCATGTCACAAGATAGGAAAATGTGTAGAAGGAGCAGTCGTTGAGACCAAAGCAGGGCATAGTTGGACACAAGCTGAGCACATCTGACGTATGGTGGCGGATGGACCAGGATCATCGTCCATGCTGAACCCTGTCACTGTCGGAACGCGGAACGTCAACCGCTAATTATCGTCTACGCATTAGTGTGCTTGTCAGATCTTACCCTAGACGATAACTATCCTCAACATCTAGTCGGTTGCTGCGCTTGATCACAAAAAGTAGTTGACGGATTACAACATCCGCACCTCTCAAACATCATGCAGACGACCCCAATCACAGTCAAACACGTAATGATACATCAAGCAAACGCGACAGAGTGGATAAGCCTTCCAATACTACATCTGCCATTAAATACATGCCTGCGCACTCGTAATCTAGTACTGAAGGAAAGATTCAATATGTATATTCACCTGATAACACAGTTTAAGCACACCGGAAGTGCAGCCTACGCGAGGGGAGATGTTCGAAGATATGGCATGTCCTATGTTTTTACCGGAGCCGGAGGGTCCAAGAGGAGAAGACCAATACTTTTGCGGACGAGAAGCGTCAGGGACAGAGTCCATTATCGGGCATAAATAAAGAAGTTCATGAAACGTCCAAGGTTCGTGATCAGCCACAGGACGCCTTGCAGATTGCATCTCATGAACGGGGCCGTCGAACCATAAGACAAAAGACGATGATGGTGCAGTAATGCAGCAATATCGGACGACCGCCAAATAAAACACAGCCGCAACAAACAGCGCAGGCCCAAAGAGACAAAGGACGCCACTACGCCATGAAGATGCGTCGCGATCATCCCAGATTTAGAACAGGACCGAAGGGTATGCAGGACCAGTCTAGCCAGAGGAGACGCCTACCTAAGACGCAATTGCGCGAGCTGGAGCTCCCCCACCTCCGCGGCGGTTGGTCTTGACATTCTTGGTGGGCTTTGTGACGGTACTCCAGCCGTCATCGTCCATGGCCTCGGTGGTGGTACCTTCAGGCGCGGCAGGTTGGGTAGACTGTCTCCTCCATGAACCGCCCTCGGACTTTGGAGGGTCGCGTACAACCTCTTGTGGCTTGACGTCCTTGTCGTGAACAATCTCGCCCTCGGCATCCTCATCTTGGCCAGCAGAGTTGCCCTCGTCTACTCTCTGGAGAATCTCAAAGTTGGATTTGGGCTTGTCCTCCACGCCGTCCTCGTCCTTCTTTGTTGGCGTTGGCTGCGCTGAATCCTTGGGTGCTGTCTTTTCCGCAGCTTCTTTTGCCTTCTTCTCTTCACGGGCCTTGTCATCTGCCTCCTTTTTCTGGCGTAGGGCCAATTGCCTCTTCTCCTCAATCTCTTTTTCTCGGGCAGCAGTGTCGATGGGACGAGCGGCACCGAATGGGTTGGGCTTGTCTGAAGGGGTAGCGGGCTCTGCGCCTGGTGCCTCGGAAACTGTTCGCTTGGCCAGGTTCAACCGAGGGCGACCGGCAGGGGCAGCAGGTTGGGGTGCCGGCGATGATGGTACACTGGCATCAGGTGTGGATGTGGGTGACTTGACCGGAGCGTCAGGGCGCATCTTGGACCGCCATTGGTTGTCGGTGTCAGCAGCGGTAGGTGCTCTCTCAAACTGCGGCCTCTCCTGGAACTCGCGACGTGGCCCACGAGAGCCTTCGGTACCTTGACCCTCACCCCAAGCTGGGGACTGTCTGCGGCCCTCACGGGGACCTCCTTCGAAGCCTCCTCGCATGCGGCCACCCTCACTAGGAGCGGCTGCGGGAGCTGGTGAGAGAGGTCCTCGGCGCTCCCAGTTGCCAAAGTCGCGTGACTTGCCATCGCCCTCAAATGGAGGTGGGCGGCGACGTTCACCGCCACGCTCGCTGCCGGCGTCTGATCCTGCATCAAAGCCGCGGTCACGGCCCGCTCCAAAGCCACCGCGTCCAGAGCTGCTGCGTTGGCCGGGCAAGTCGGGGAGGGGTCCCTTTCGGGTCCAGTCCGAGATGTCTCGGGCTTCTGGGCGGTCCTTGGCTGTGTTGGAGTTAGTAGCTTTCCTGGGGTGCTGGGGAATAGCGCAACGTACGTGGTTCGGCGACACTAACACGAATATTTCTACCCTGGAAAGGTGTGCCCGACAAGTCAAGAGCCTTCTTCAGCCCCTCAACGCTACCAAATTCGACATATCCGAAACCTTTGGGCTTCCGGTCCAGCTTGTCCTCGACAATGCGCACATTGGTGACCTCACAGTCGGCGAAGAAGTCATTCACATCACCCTCGGTGGCGTCAAAGGAGAGGTTACCCAAGTGGGCAGTGTACGGGGGCTTCGAGGGGAGGGGAAGCGCCTCGCGAGTAGCAAATCCACGGTCGGCTGGACAGTGGTTAGCATATGTAGGGCGATGTATTATATGTCTTCAGTCTACGCACCAAAGCTGCCGGCGCGATCAGCACCAAAGCCTCCTCCACCGGAGCCAAAGGTGGGCCTGTCGCCTCCGTAGCCGGCACGGCTGCTAGCACCTATTAGCGGGTTAGTATACCCGTAGCCACATCTTCGCGCCGCGAGGGTTGGCGGGGTATATTTTACCAGTTCCTATGTCGGATTAGTTGGTGAAACTATTCGCGAGGCTGGCTATATGTGTGCAACTTACCAGGCATTGGCGCATCCTCCATCTCATCAGCCCATGATCCCAGCGCTACAGTTTGTTAGTCTTGGGCACCCTCGAGGGCATGGAGGCGGGGGGCGTACATTGGTCTCCTAGGAAGTCTCCCAGGGACATCTTCTGCTGTTCCTTCTTCTTGGGCGCTGCAAAAAAATATCGTCAGCCTTCATGCTTCTTTTTCCATTGCAGTACAGAGAGGGGCAAAAAAGCCGGCTCGCGAGTGAGGGCTGCAATTTGCGCACCCAAGGCTAACTTACCCATGATTGCGGTTTTGTAGACTACGCGCGTACGGGCTTCGCGCGCTGTCTGAGTCGTGTAGAGAGAGCTTTCTTCTGCTCTCGTTGGTGGTTGTAGGTGGTTGCGGGGTGTGTCGCTGTTTCGTGTGTGGGGTGAGTTCTTCTTTCCCGAACGGTGGAAATCTTAAGCTGTGCGTCCGTTGGGCACTGCTTAGTCATGCCGAATATCTTTGCACCCACGGAATGACAAACGCCGAGCCATAGTTCGACTTTCTCCCCGGCACTGGTTCCCCATCCCAAGCGGCCGACAGCATCCATGAAAACATGGTAAAAAACATATATGGTCCTAATGAGGTTGCTCGACCTTTGGATATTGCCAAAGAGTCGCTCTTGATAGGTGGAGCCGCAGGTACGTATACACGACTCATCACTTCACGTAGTCTCGGTTCGCGGCACGTCTTGATTTGTGTTTTCCTCGGCTCCTCTTTAACGTTGATCCCATCACGCAAACCGCCAACTCCATCTGAACACATGTATTGCGTTTGAGCAGCGCAGATATAGGCGTGAATGCAAACTTCGACAAACGTCGTTGGGAAAACGAAGAACGGCTTGTGATTCCATCTGTTTGTTTATAGTGTAACTGCCATTATTCACGGACAACGTGTCACATTATTTGCAACATATTCAATTTATGCATCGATTGCTAATGGGTTCTTTAGCAATTCCTGGTACCGCTTTGGGTGCCTTTTTCGGTACACTCCGTACTCGGACCCCAGTTCTGTTCGCCGTTGCCTCAGGAGCACAGTGGTTCGCTATTGGAACAACATTCTGGGCTATCCGTACCTCCACACTTAATCATACCGGCCTACGCAACTGGTGGAGCATTAGTCGAGGTCTACCCATTGGCCCTCGAGATGATCTCCATCCATCTCCCTCCGACAAAGTCCGCGCCTCTGTCATCGCTGGTGGACTGACTGGCTTCAGTCTTGGGTTCCTGTTTCGCGGACCTCAAAATGTTATTCCGGGTACCATTATGTTTAGCTTGTTCGGATGGGCGGGACAACACAGCTATGACTATCTTGATGAGAGGAATTCCAGGAATCTCCGACAAAAGGCTGAAGCAACTGCAAATGGCGAGGACAAGCGCAAGGGCACCATCATGTACAAGCTTTCGCAGTACAAGTGGAGCCCAATAAGAGCTTTGAATGATGACGAGTATGAAAACATGATGCAGGAGAAGCTCTTGAATATTGAGGCCCAGATAGCAGTCATCGATGATAAAATTGAGGCACACAGGAAGAAGGCGGCGGAGATTGAAGCACAGCGGAAGATGAAGGAGATGGAAGAACAGATGCGAGCGTCGAAGTGAGGGAAATGTCGTGTGGTAATTATCCTTCCAAGTTCTCACCTCGTTTCTTGGCGTAAGATTTATTCCACCACGTCCCAAGTCGATTTCCGTGTATCTTTTCCCATCTGGATAAACAATTCCCTATCACTAATGAATAACAAACTGTCGGCATAAAGTAAGAAAGTTGTTGCGTAAGGTGCCATTTGCCAATGCTGCGTCGTCAGCATTTTGATGTTAATGTACTTCCAATTCACTTCATCTTATCAAGATTTTATGTTCTATAGTGTTGCCTATCCCTTGGCTGTCTCTATCAATCTTTCATACATTGTCTGCTCAGGTCTTCCTAATTCCTTTCCGTTCCTGACATCGTCCAGTGGCTTTTGCGAGAACCCGACTTATTCAACACCGCCACCACATGATGGTGTCGATGTATCCTGGCTGACATGGCGCATCATACCATGAAGCATAGCTATCTGCACCAATGCAGTCATGTTGCACAATGATTTATCTCAAATTGCTGTGCATCCCAGTGCACTGGCTGTGTTTGGATGAAGGTATCATGGCGGTGCAGCGATGACCATGACGAGAACACCATGACCACCCAAAAGTCCTCTGAAGCGCTCTTCTGCCATCTCATCTCAATTGTCATGCCATCGGCGCATTGGTTCTCCGACCTTCCAAAACCTGCCAGGCAACCGCGCAAACACTCGCAAATTCAGGGTCCAACCCACGCGCGCAACGCCCACACATACCACCCAACACCCACAATATACATCGTGTGTAAGTTTTAATTAGCGCAGCCTTCTTCCATCAAACAACGGCCACCAGCTGAGTTCGGAGAGGAGCGACCATACGGAAGATTGGCAGTCTGACTAATAATCTTCACAACATGGTTAATCGCTCCAGACCCGAGCACACCTGGAGGTCCTTGTTTCGAAACCAACGGAAAACGGCCCTTTGGCATAAAAACCAAGGACGGTACAGTTTAAACGTCGGGCTCCGCCGGGAATTTCCCTCTCCTCAATAGGAGAAGCCTGCTTTTTTGCGATTTTTTTAAAATGCTTTTTTTGCTTCATCTCATCTTATCTTCGGAAGAGTATAGTGAATGTTACCTAATACTATCTATGAGCAGGAGTGTGAGCGGTAGGGCCGTAGAGTGTTATTCCATTATTTTTGCTTCTATCTAATCCTATTCAATCTACTGCTTAACATCTATGGGCTTACCGCCCTGTTCACCACTCATCAAGCAAACTTCGAGAATCTCCAAGTCCTTCAAAGCTTCCTCAGGACTCTGCATCTCATTCCTCTTCCCCTCCTCTAGACTCTTAGCCCAAGCCTTGATCTCCTGGTTTACGCCATTGCCCTCATCCGGGAACTCCTTGGTCTCCGCCTCTTTGCCGTCTCTCGTAACAATAACCTTCCCGCGAGATACATGCACAGAGCCCTTTTCACACGCAACAAGGTACTCAGAGCCCGTGTCCGTTGTTCCGAAAGAGATGGAAAGGGTACCAGACGCGCCGTTGCCAAGCTGCATTGTGGCATTGAGCGTGTCGACGGGCGGAAGATATTCTTGCAGCTGCGCAGTAAAGGCACTGACCTTGTTGATCTTCTGTCCACCGCCCTGGAGCAGCAAACGCGTCGCGGCAACAAAATGCACGCCGCCGTCTAGCAGAAAGCCACCCTGGTGCTCGGGCTTCTTGCGCCACTCCGTCTCATAGTACTTGCTACCAGGCTGCACCAGGAGGGCTACACGAACTCTGAAGGAGAGAATACGGCCCAGCGAAGCAACTTGCTGGGAGCCCCAGACGTAGGAATCGATGAAGCGGAAGTTCTCGGCTACGGTGTAGATGGCGGATGTGTTGGATGCGTCTTGGGTCCATGAGAGGAGTTCTTGGGCGGTGGCGAGGTCTTTAGCGATGGGCTTCTCGGCGAAGACGTGTTTACCAGCTGCTAGGGCCTTTTTGATGTAGTCTGGTTGGGCGGGGATGGGCAGGCTTGAGTGTGGAATATTAGCGCCTGTCGTATCATTCCGTGAAAGTTCTACTTACGCAATCACCACGCCTTTTACGTCGTTCCTTTTGAGTAGGTCCTCGAACTTCTTGCCATCTTGATCGTCGCTGTAGAGTTCCACGTCCGAGAGCTTCTCAGACAGAGCCTTTGCAGATTTGAGGGAGCGCGAGTATACAGCCTTTAGGCTTAAATTGGGAGTGTCTTGGATAGCTGGGAGATGTTCTTCTTTGGCGAAGATGCCGCTACCAATAAGTGCGATTCCAATTGCCATACTTGGTGATAATCGTGAAAAGTTCTATAGAGCATTCAAGGCTACACCCCTCTCCTAGATATATTCTTCTTGTATGTCTCTCGCACTCGGCTGTACTGCGGCTAAATGGCAATTAATAGTCAATGATGCAGTAATTTCTTCCAATCGCACCAACGATGCGAACCGTGGCGGGGTACATGGCGCTGCCCCACGCTGCCGATGACGTCGGGAGCTATGCTGCATATAGCAAGGGTAACAGTCCTTCATGAGGCCCCAACTTCATCTTCTCCACATGCGTTCTTCGACACTTTTGATTATGTGTTCGTCTTTCTCTTTACTTTCCGTTGTTACGCGGCTGAGAGCACAATGTAACACGAAACGCTGCCTCGGTAGCATCATGCCGGCTCGGTTCACGTCTCACCGCGTGAAATAGGCCAGTTCCTTGCATACTACGCAAGAGCGCCTTCTTATCTTACGGGAATTGAAACAATAGAACTGAGTTATCTCGAATCTTTGCGACTGCTTTGCAAAGCCTCGTGTACGCAGAGCTTGGGGTTTGGGTGTTCCTGTCGCGGGACGGCCGCACAGGCAAGCGCTGTCTCGTGTCAAAACTGGACCCATTCAAACGGCCTCGACGCATCCAACGAACCCTCCACTTTCCGACATGGTAAAACGTCGCAGTGGAGCTCAGATGTACATCGTCGCACTCTGACGCGTAGTGGCGCGTTGCTTTTGGGCCGCGCTGTCATCAAGGTGTTGTCTCATGAGCGTGACAATCGACTGATTCGCAAACCACCAACATTTTAGTGGCATTGCGACGGATGTTGACAATCACTTCGTCCATCACACGGATTTCAGCTATATTTTGTATGCGTGATGCACGTGGCGTGTCCTCTTATTGGATTGTCTCATGGAAAGTTCCGACACAGTGAAACACCAACTGTGTTGGACGTCATCGGCAGTTGAGAAGCAACGTGCAGCAGTCATGCTTGCGCAGCGACTCCCATGTAACAGGACCATCAGTGACCATCTCCGGGTCCAGCTTTGCCTGCAATGCCTCAGGGCTGTTTCGTTGGTGCTGGGCGGACCCTGACCGTCGATATCGGGTAGACGAACCTAAGGTGATAAAGGTGGATAGTGCCCGGATGCATTACTCCAAAGCTGGACTCGTCTGCAACAAACTGTTGATTGTTTACTCTCTGAAATTTTCGATTCTTTCAACGCGGGTCGTTCTTCGAGGCTGCTGGTAGTCTTGTCGATTCTTCTTCTATCTATTCCTTTTTTCTCCTTCACAATTTAGCCAAGATGGGTTTGGGCATTCTAGACGACCGCCATATGGCAGCCCCTCCGGGTACATCTACCATCAACGACCCAGGGCCGGAGATTGACTCCAAGGTGGATACGAGCCATTTCAAGCGTGACGGCGACACCATCCTACAACCACAGCCATCTGATAGCCCCAACGATCCGTTAAACTGGTCACCTCTCAGGAAGGAATGTCTCATGTGGTTTCTTGCTTTCAGTTCGGGAGTCACAACATCTCTCGGCCCAATGGTGTCACCAGCTCTCCCACTCCTCGCCGAAAAGTACAAAGTCAGCATCGACATGGTGGCAAGTCTGCTCATTGGATTCGTCGCCTTCTGGATCGGCTTCACGACTTTCTTCACGGCAGCTGGAGCAAATGTCTGGGGCAAGCGTCCGTTCTTCGTTATCTCGACAGCCGTACTGCTCGGTACCTGTGTGTGGGGGTTCTTCACTGGGGTATGTTGGATTCGATGAGGTTCAAAACTGTATAAACTGACCGCATGCAGTCATTCGTTTCTCTAGCCGTTATGCGTGTTGTCCAGGGTATCGCATCAGCTCCTCTCGAGACCCTCGTCACTTCCACCGTTTCAGATATGTACTTTGTTCATCAGCGTGGTGCTCGTATTGCAGTATGGGGGTGCATGTTGGCCAGCGGTGTTCTTCTCGGGTATTTGCCATCCAAACCACTTCTGAACATTGCTGACATTATTTCCCAAGTCAAACTATCTCAGGAGCGATCATCCAGAACATCTCCTTCGAGGCAACCTTTGGTGTTGCAGCCATCGTTTTCGTCCCCATCATGTTCGGCATGTATTTTTTCGCCCTCGAAACTAGCTACTACAGCGAGCGCCCCAGTGGCGAGAAAAAGGTTGCCGGCGACGAGAAGCGCACTTCTTTCATGGAAATCGAGGAAGACAGAGTGACCTATGCTAGCCAACTAGCCCTTTTCCGCGGTCGCTTGTCGAAAGAGTCTTTCTGGAAGAACGTTTGGAAGCCAGTCCCGCTCATCGCCTTCCCAGCCGTGCTATTCAGTACTATGTGAGATATCCCAGATATGCACTCAACCTAGTTTACTATACTGACTTCACACAGCGTCTACTCAACTGGCTTCTGCTGGCTCCTCACCTTCTCCGTTCTCTCCGTGAACGTCTTCTCCGCACCTCCCTACAAGCTAAACCCGCTTCAAATCGGCCTCACCAACCTTCCCCTCCTCGGCGTCGCGCTCATCTCCTCACCTCTCTCTGGCTGGTCCGCCGACGCAATCGCAAAATTTATGGCCCGCCGCAACAAAGGTGTCTTTGAGCCTGAATTCCGCCTCGCCCTCATGATCCCCGCTACTGTTTTCTCCACCGTCGGCTTCCTCGGCTTCGGCATGTGCGTTGAGCAGGGCCTCCCCCTCGCCTGGCCTATGACATTTATGGCTATCCACTCGCTGTCTGTTCCGTTTGCTTCGACAGCTAGTTTGACCTATGTCATTGATTGTCATCCCAGAGACGCCAATCAGGCGTTTGTCACGATCAACTTTACAAAAGCTGTGCTGACTTTCATCGCTACTACGTATGCCAGTGGTATTCTAATAAATTATGGGCCGACGGCGACATTTAATGGCATTATGATGATGAATTTGGGTATTAGTGCGTTTACGATCCCAGCGTACATTTTTGGAAAGCGGTTTAGGAGTCTTGTTGCTAGAAGTGCGTTTGCGCAGAAGTTGTCGGGTTAGAATTTTGCACTCCTTTGTATGGAATGTGAATGACAGTTAGAGTTTCTAACGATATTTTTTTGGTTATTTTAGCGGCGCTTTTGGGTGGAAGCGATATGGAATGGAGTGGAATACCAACGCCCAGTAGATTCAAGATATGCCTTTCGACTTACTTATGGCTATGTTTTACGTTGAAACTCGCTAACCCAAGATTTGCATGATAGTCGGCGGATACCTACCAGACAGATTGAAGGAGCTTCGCAAAATCGTTTAGAAATGGACTTGTACCTCACCACCCATCTTTTCGCACAATGCCTTTGCCTGTAGACGACGCAGTAGCTGCCGCATTCATTTTGGCAATCAATGCTGTTAGGTAATATACATGCGCGATGTCACCATCATGGGGTGATTTCCAGCTTCCCCTCCACGGATTGTGCGTGCGGATGCAATCGGTTCGTATTCTACCAAGTCATCTTCGTCATCTATAGCGCCAGCGGATGTATAAAACCGATTCGGGGTTCCTTGCAGGCATTCGCAGACCCTGGATGCAACGGCCCGAGCGGGGTAAGTCAGGCACAGAGATACAGTGATTCACATACCGCTTGTCGGATTTATTTCCGCTGTGTCGCAAGCGCTGGAGTCAGTGCTGTAAGTTAAGGCAGCTGCAGGTGCTAAGTCTGAGCGCATCAACGTTGACTAACTATCGTATGTGGGGCCATAGTACAGCCGAGAAGACGGAACCAATGACCAAATGAATATTGGTCTCCACAATAGAAGTCGGTAGCTCCCATTCGGATTACCTCATCAGGCAATGTCAATGGGAGAAGAGAAGAACCCCCGTGCATGTGTGGGCGCATCTTTTTTTTCCGATTCCTATCCCATCGCCAGGTAACACCGGACCTGCAGATTGTACTTAGAGTTCTATAACGTGTCCGTGCGCGTGATGCGCGGATTCGCGTGATGCGCGGGGAACACCATATCCACTACTTCAAAAATGAAGCTATTAAGCCACGTATATAAGCTGTTATTATACGAATTTATAGAGGGGGAGTAATTAGATGCTTGCGATCAACTTGTACTATCTATATTTTGATGGGAGGTTGACGTTGCGGCCACGTGATGTGAGCTTTGATGGAGGAGCTGGAGGCTCTTCTTGAACTTGAGCACCAGCGCGAGCAGCCTCAACGCGTTTTTGACGCTTGTTGTTCGATGAGGTAGCTGCTGAAGCTCTCCTCTTTCCCTTTTGGGGTAGTTGTATAGCTTTAGCAGCGTCTCTCTCCTCCTTCTGGCGCGCGCGTTCAGCTGCTTTCTCAGCTCGCTCAAGCTCCCTCATCTCCTTGAGTCTCTGCCTCTCCACACGCCTCTCCTCGAGCTCATCTTGACGCTGCAGTCGAGCCTCCTCGCGCTGCTTCTTGGACCGTGCTTTTTGGAGTTTCTCCTCCGTCTCATCTCGCTCCCGTACTGCTTCTCTAGCTCGAGCCTCACGCAGCTTGCGAGGAGACCAGAAGACAGAGCCACCGTGATACTCCTGGCGCTGTTGAAGGTCAAGAGCTTTGCCCTTCTTCCTGTGCTTCTTTTTATGTTGAAGAGCCTCCTTTAAGCCCTCGTTCTCATGCTTTAAAAGCTCATACTGCACAGAGAGATGGTGAACGCTTGAGCGCAGCTTTCTTGCCTCATACTGATGGCTATCATTAACAGCAGCTCGTACTAGCCGATCGAGCTTTCTCCAGTCATGATCAGAGAGCCCTGACGATGAGCTTCTCTCAGCTTCTGGCGTGCTAGCAAATCTACGAAGGATAACGTTGGCATCCATCGGCCAGATCCCAGTGGCTTCGAAGGCCTTCAATATGAGGCTCTCTGTGAAGGAGGATATCCAGGCGCTCCAGAAGAGCGGGAAGAAGTCCCCTTTCTTGATTGGAATAAGGCCTTGAGCCTTATGGAGATGGTTAGTGAGCTCGTTAGAGTAGGCTTGAGAGAGTGGCTTGAACAGCACTACATCTAGCGGCTGGAGCGTATGGGTCGAATGGGGAGGAAGGATCATGAGGAGGATCCTATGGCGATCGCAGTACTTAATAAACTCCATCGTGAGGTGAGATCCATGGCCATCAAGGATGAGCAATCTCCATCTACCTGATCGTTGCTTTGTAGAGCGATCAAACACCTGCTCCAGCCAAGCTAGGCCTACGTTATCATTTGACCAGCCTGTTGGAGATGATGAGACAAAGACCTCATGTTCTCCTGCCTTGATATCTTCTACCCAACTCGATCGTATAGCTCCATTTTTAGCTGCGTAGATAAGGGCTGGAGGCAGCGAGCTCCCATCAGCGCAGCAGCAGGCCAGGACTGTCAGAAACTCGCGTGATCCATCCTGGAGAGATGCTCGAACCTCCTTCTTCTCCCATTGACGCCTGCTGAATATCCTCTTACTTCTGCCTATCAAGCCAATTAAGAAGCCCTTCTCATCCATATTGTATATATCTCGAGCCTCTAGGTGATATTCGGTGATCTTTCGATGCAGCAGCTCGAAGTAGAGTCTATACTTTGACTCAGAATCAGCCAGGTGGCGCGTACGATCCATGGCGCTGGTCCACTTTGAGATGAGATGGATCTCGTGTCGGTTGATGAAGCGAGTAACCCAGCTCTCGCTGAGCTGCTGATGGGCTACTTCTGATGAGAAATTCCTGATCATCTCTCGTGTAGGAGGAATGCCTCGCTTTGTGAGCTTTTCGATATATCTCACAAGCTCTAGCTCTTGTTGTGGGTTGAGTTTCTGCTGGTTGAAGTTCTTGTCTCTTTCTGAGCTTGTCTGGCCCTGGTGCCTTCGGGTCAACGTAGATCTCACAACACCATGCTTAGCAGCAATTTTAGTATACGAGAACTGTTCTCCTGGCTCTAGATTTTCAATATCTTCAATCGCAGCTTGAATTGGGTCCATATTGGTGGAGTTAACGTGTGTTGAAGGTGAAGGGGTTTGACGTGTTTTGGTGTTCCCCGCGCATCACGCGAATCCGCGCATCACGCGCACGGACACGTTAGTGAGGCTACGGACTAGACCGCAGAACTCCAACACCGATACGAAAATCACAAGGTATGTAATGCAGGCCGATGTTAGATGCTTTGGCAAGATGGGATGTCACACCTGGGCCTATCTAGGAATTATCCAATTACACCTGGGCAGGCGCGATGTGTAACATCAGGGTTCAACCTAAACCAAGTGAACTAACGACCCGGAAACGTCTATAACTGGAACGGTCCGATCATGGAGACTAGATTGACTACGGTCTGGAGGTAATCGTCAGACCAGGCCGAGAACACGTCGATTTCTGCTCCGGAGTGTCTGTGGAGACTGAGTACGGTTCCTCTTTTTTTGCTGAGTATACTGACTCGGGTGCTGATACGCCTGGGTATAAAGACCCCTAAATCCTTTACCATTCTACGATTACCTTTCTCGTTACCATTCTCATACAAATTACAAGCACTTATCTAAAGTAAAGATGAAGCTCATCTCGATTATCACTCCTGCTTGCCTTTTGGGCATAGCTGCATCAGTTGACATGTCTAAGTACACTCCAAAAGGGTCTGGAGTGGATGTGGGATTCAAAGCTTTCCTTAAAGAGTACGTACACCATCCCATAAACTCTCTGGCAAAAATTACCTAGTGTGATCGGAGTACATGACTAAAGATTTGCAGACTCTATGCATCGGCTGAGGACCCAGCTTCGACGACAACCTTCACCGACTTCTTCACGAAAGACGGAAAGCTCATTGTTGTCGAAAACGTTGCCAGTAACCCCAAGGACATCATCGCGTTGAAGCAGGAGCTACTGCCAACAGCTGGCACCAAGCATTGGAACCATCTTCCCAATGTTACCACAGTTTCCTCAGAGACGAGCGCTCAAAAGACCTACGAGGTGCTTGGTATAATTGAGTCACGATTTGATGGTGGCAACTGTTCTCAGGCATAGTACGTTCTAAGCCCCCAGCTATCTCTGTTGCATTCTGGTAGTTTTTGTGGAAGTATGCTAACAATGGGACTGCCATAGCTACTCGAGCCGCTTTACTGTCACGAAGAACACCGCTGGTTCACCTAACCTCACACCCCACAGTGGAAGCCTAGTGGCCTATGACGACTTCGTCGTAAGTCCAATGCATTCGCCGACCGACATAGCCTGTGAAACTTAGGGTGGGCGTTGGAGAGCACGATTTGGTGATTGAATATTTCGGCGAATTCGATCGGTACGCAGGCCGCGTAGGATTCTTCTAATAGATATGATCGTAATGATATTACTGTACAGGAAAAGAGCATTCTACAGCTTCCTCCATGCTACTCTCCTCTAGTGTTACTATTCTCCTCCATCTAAGCCAATGATCTACTCTTATTTTCTGCGTAAAAGCAGCATTTGATTGATAAATAGCCTTAAACCTTACCATGACACCTCCGACACCATATGCTAACAAATCCCGAAGAGCCTCGGAGCACGGTTCAAGGACAGAGCAAGCTGGAAAGCTTGGCGATCACAGGCAGTTTCGGGACCTCTGGGTTTGGATAAATACCACTCTCGGCGCTCTTTACTGCAGCCGATCATGTCTAAGATTATACCGGTACGAGCGCTTGAGGCCGAGCTAGACCTAACTCAGTCTAGCTCCTTAACCTACCGGTGGGAGTGGAGTACAAAGCCCACCTAAGTGAAGCAAAGCTCGGAACAACGAATCCCAAGCTCTCTTATCTCAAATAGAGAATTTCGTACATGACAATCAAGAGCTACGATATCCCAGGATTCAACACAACAATGACGTCACCAAAATGTCAGACGGACGCACCCGAGAAGCCCGCACTAAATTAAGCAAATCGCATATAAGATGACATCGTACGGGTTTGAATCACAAGAACAGGGCTTACTCACCGCATCATTTCGGCTCTACTACAAGACCGAGCGATGCGCGCACAGGTTTTCGGAGTAGATGCTATGTCGGGAAGAGGCTCCACAAGGCGTGCAAGAACTTCAATATCTCGCTTTACTTACTCCAGGCCAGGTTTGACTATATAAGACTGATTTTTCATCCCAAAGCAGCAGCCGACTAAGTAGTGCAAGCCGCTTTCCGCGTTCATGGGCTGAAGCCTCTAAACACCAGGTAGTTACCTAAGGTGGAAAGAAGCGCGTTGCTGAAAGAATCTATAGAAGTTGGTAGAGGCACTTAGCTTCAAGGCAAGTGTAGCGAGGGAAGGCTACACGATACAGATGAACGAGCACTACTCCTCACAAATAATCTACACAAGCAGTGCTACTATTACATTCAGTAGTAGATAAATAGCGATATCACAAAAAAGACAAAACAAAGCCGGTATGGTTCTTAGCCAGTATCCACCGAATACGTAAAACTAGATAATAGAGCACGTACTTCTATACGGAGCAACAAGCGGTGTAGTAATGATCTATGTTCGATGGCAGCTGTATGCTTTCAGCAAACTCTTGACTTCCGTAGCTACTAACACATCCTTGGCGGTCTTTGCGTTGGCACTGTCTATAATACTAGCCATAGCGATGGCCTTCTGGAAATCATGTAGTCCTAATATACGTTGGGGCTTCATAGCGTAGTGCAAGGGCTTCCCATAGGAAAGAGTGCTCGGTATAGTAACAAAGATTGTATGAATATCATGTGTGCATGTAGTTGTCTTAGTGGTATTCGTTGATGAACTTCGTTGCGCTCCCTAACTATATCCTCTTCTGTCAAGCGCTCTTCGGCTCTATCCATCCCGATTCACTCCACCACAACTGTTTGGAGCCTAGCCATAGGTATGCGGCAAGCAAACTAGGAACAATGAGAGTAAAGTGCAGGGGCTCCCTCAAAGTTCTTGAGTGTTTCGACATTCTTTATGCAGCCGTTTTCTTGCTTACACCAATGTTCCTAAGTTATGAAAATGGTAAGTTTACTGTTCATTGTAAACAATTGTAAAATTTTAACAACATACGTAAGTACAGTCCTGGCATGCCGTAGGCGGACCGTGTTTTCTTCTAAACGAGCAACAGATGCCATTGCCACTGCCGGAATAGATACATCTCTAGATAAGTAGCCGACAGGTTAGTAACCAAAGGCTAAAAGAGTAAGCGAACGGGTAGAGCATACATCACGAGCGACGGCGCTGAAGCCTAAACTAAGCAGTAAAATGATAGTTCGTAGGCTGAACAACGTGTTGTTTTCAAAGGTAACAGCTGGTTACGCAATATGTAGGGTATCAGGCCAAGGATTCTCTTTGATCGTGAATTTGCTGCGTCGATGTGATCTCTTGACTTCCTTTGAATGCGATAGCTTTGGGTGTCTCGGGACTGTAACAGAGCTATATAGGGCATCTCCTTGGTCTTACATTGAACCATCCCGCGTTTAGACAAAATGGGCACTTGCTGACTACGGTAACTGCCGTAGTTCCAACACGTGAGCAACCGATAGACAGCCGATTGGTCTTCGAGTACCCGAATTTTGCTGATCCATCTGGAGAACGACCGAGGGGTTGAGTTAGGTTTAGTTGGTCTCACGTTAGACCCGATCTCTTGGTCATTTTTCAGACGGATCAACAGAGTCCGGGTGTTTTAAACCGGCTTATGGCCGCTATACAGAAGGGACGCAGGATATGAGATGGACGATACAGAAGAGGCACGGTATAAGCGAGGTGTTGGGTGAATTGAGTCTGATGAGGGATATAGGGTTGGGGAGTGAAGGGAAGGGCGGGTGATGTGAAGTGGGAGAACCTTTAGTTCTGCCAGTTCTCGTAAATATTGCTCGAGTGACTTAGATGAGCTCTAAGTAGAGGGGAGTTATGATGATTGTATATGTAAGTGATGTCTATGCTTAGCAGCAGATTTTCACAACGCAGTTTTGTTGTAACAACAACACAAGTAGAGGGGAGTTATGATATGAGTGGTCCGTCTAAGAGCTCCTTGACACGTACTAGGACGCGCTTGTTGTCGACTACTTTCTTCTTAATACCTTCGATGTCGCTGTTCGGGCCTTGCACGGCGATGGGGCACAAGGTAGCAGAGCGACATGATTCGGTTCGTGATCTATGAAACGGTAAAAAATGCTCATTCGATTCACCTAAAAGCTTTGAATGACCTCCATACAATAGAAGCAAGCACGCACTCCTGTCCGAGCAGTGGAAGAGGCGACCGAGTGCTCCAGAGTGTCCTAATAGTTGCAAGCGTGACGAGCGTACATGAAAACCTACGCTCTAGGATATCACTATTGTATAGGATTTATTCCAATATTGAGTATCAGAAGCTCGCTCACAGTGAAAAGGCGCGCACGTTAGCCAGAATGTTACAACCTACTGTGCATTAGTACACTGAACAAAAACTTAATACTAACCAAATCTAAGCACCAGCACAGACAGACTTACCTTCCTTGAGTACAAGTCAGTTATAGCGGGAAAGACACATATATCTCCGCTTACATTATCTGAATAATATCGTCACGACCATGAAGACCTCCTGACCTTTCTACGCTCTTTCAAGGACTGCGTTCAGATGCTTTACAGGTAATCCTGGATTTGCAAATATATAGAGCGCAAGATCAAGGATACTAGGGGAACCCTTCATTGGAGGGAAGAAGCATAGTATGGACGCGTTTAGAGCGTGGAAGTTGTTGAAGTGGCATTGATGGTGGTGCAGCAAGGCGCTGGGTATAACGGCGTTGTGTGTCATTGCCTACACTGAGATGTAATGCCCTGTAGTATTTTTCTGATTTGCACTCGTTTCTCTGTATATGTCGTAATCATAGTAGCGGTACCTTTGACATTGAGACCACGGGTACGTCCGAAGTCGAAAGCGCCAAGCAGCTTATCTAAACAAGCTAAGCTCCTTCCCTAGTTAAGTAACTTACCTCGCCTTTTCCGAAAACCCCATCTTTTTCCGCTCCAGCTTAACTAAAAGTCCTAGATCGACATGGGAAACCCCCATTTCCCTGCTTCTTCACATCTTCTGTCCTCCCACCCGCGCACGGAAACGGGCACACGCGCGTACGGTACGCAACCCACGACGTCATTTTCCCACGCCTATCATCCTCACATAAATAACGCGTCACAAGCCACCTGGGCAGGCTAGGTAGTCAGACTAGTCGCGCCCTACACAAATCGCGCATGGAGAATCACTAAGAAAAAAAATAGAACGCGATCAGATGTGTGTAATCCTTGATTTGATGTTTTGTTTGTTTGTTTGTTTGTGGGTATCTGTAGGCCTATCGCATCCTACCCATGCAAATCTTCGTATACATGGCTGCAATCGTACAAATCCCAAATCCTAAACTCCTGCGAACCCAACCGGGACTGGCTAATACAAGCCGTCAACCTTTTTTTTGATGTCGTGTCTAATCCCATGCTGGAAAAAAGAAACCCAGCTCCAAAAATGAAAAAAATGAAAAAACTCCGTCATAAAAATCGTTCCTGCTATCCGGCGCTGGTTCTGTTCGTGTGTGATGATGCTGCGTGCATGGGTCGTTGATGTGTGGAAGAACCTGCTCCTTTTGTTTTCGTGAGTGGTGTATGTACAATTTTGAGACGTTGTTGTTTGGCATCTTCCGGTTCGCACGAGCGAGTGGTGATGATGCGACAGCCGGTGTCGTGATTGCTAGCGTGGGGAGGAAGAGGCAACATTGTCCAGTATGTGTGTATGTATGTGTAATACCGTCGGGCATTTACTTTTTGTTCCCTGTCAGATGGTGGGGAGAAGAGAGCAGCTGAGTGTTGGCCGTGGGGGTTGAGGGTGGGGAAGTAGCCGCGTGGTGGTTGATCCGTGTCGATCTCTACATCGCTGCAGCTCTCTGGGTGAAAGATACAGGGAAGATGGGAAATCGACTCATAGATAGTCAATTGGTAGCTCTCCGTTGACCTTCGGTGCGGGTAGCACCCGGTCGCTGGCTCATAATCTGGGCCATGGTTTGGGATGGATTGCTGGAGGAGGCGGTGGTGTATCTTGGGCTTATGGGCGAAGTAAGAGTCGATCGTCGAGCTGTGGGCATTGTGGAGATGGGCGTTGGGATCGCAGCAGCGTTCTTGAGGAAGACGCGCGCAGGAGGGAATTGGCTGACGGGAGGCATAGTGAAGGTGTGGTGATGTTGTTGTTGTTGTTGTTGTTGTTGTTGTTAGTTGTAGTTGTTAGTTGTAGTGTGGTGTTGATGGTGTTGGTGTCGAAGTCGATGGTAGAAGGAATCAAGCTCAGCTGGATGTTCTGCAGACACCAAAGAAGCGCGGCTTCGAATGCTTAAGTATTCCCCAATCTGACTCACCTCGCTCGGTCGACTGGACCCACACCCCGTCTCTCCGCCGGGCGTCGCGTGAGCAGTCACAGGCAGGTTCCGCCCGCCCTACCGCCATGGCGCTGGTTTGAGGGCTTTACCGTTTCGAGACAACAGATCACCCTATGCAATGGTGTATGGATGCCGCTCCAAAACAGCCCGACATGTCGCCGCCTGTCCGCACCTGTCGTGCTGCGGATCCGGTCTACAATCGGCGCATAAACACACTCCCACTGGCTCGATGGCTGTAAAGAATGTTTACACATGGCCGTCGCGCATGCGTGGTATTACGCTGTGTGAGGCACATGCTGACTCGGCTCGCACATGTTACTGTACGCAGCCGCCGCCGTTGAGGCCGGATAACATATCCGCACCCTCGTTGCGAGCTAACGACGCTTCCATGTGAAAGAGATAATCTACCAAGAAGCGCCCAAGCGGTGCATTGCGTGCAAGTCACTAGCCAAGCTGCCGAGGCGTGTGATGCTGGTGGGTTTGTTCGAGAGTTCTGTTTCTAGAGGGCGTGCTTGTTTTGGACAACCTGCGACATGTCATGCGCTTGGTACTCTAAAATTAGGGGAATCCACCCCGCAAAGCACTAAGGCGCCGCCGCCTACAGGGCTCAAGCTTCGTCAAGCTTCCCTCCATCATGTTACATGCTGCCTTGTCGGGTAACAGAGAATGAACATCTTTGTTTGGGCTGAGCTGGAAACAATTCAGCCAGTTTAATGTAGGCTCGACAGAGGGTGGTGCCACGGTGGTGGGATCCATCTCGTACAGCGGGATATCAAGCGTCATATCGCTACCAAGACATCTCTAGCGTCGGACCCGACCGGTGTGTGGTATGTGCAGTGTGAATTGAGTATGTGCAGAGGGGCAGTATAGTATACTTACGCATTGCATGCTTGGATGGTGTAGTGGGACCCAACCACACCACCGACACAGATAGCTGGAGCAGGGAAACATTGGCTGAGTCGCAACCAGAGTTTTGCAAAATCTGTACTCTTGCTTATTCCTAACGACGCGGGGAAATCTCAACGCATTTTCTCCAAATCTTGCCCCATGCGCATGCACGCACTGTCCAATAGTAGAGTGTATCGTATTATATTGCTTTTCTAGTATAACTAGTATAACTACAACAAATTGCCCACCTTTTTAGTCGTTACAGTGATATTACATCTCATTCGCCGAAGCATATCGTCTATATGCGAGACAAGACTGCGCGCATCTTGGGGCGCAGTGGTGCTGCAAATCCTTCCAAGAGAACATTGCTCCCAAACCCAGGCCCAACCGATTCTAGTCCAAACCACAAATCTGACTATCCAATGCCTCATTAATCTCGAGTCATCATATTCAAGACGTCTAAGCCTTCGGCTTCACTTTGGGGGTACCGCTTCGGACGCGCTTGGCTTCCGGGCGCTGAAGGTGGGAGGCAGGGATCCAGCTTTCGTCGTATGCCTTGGCGCCTGAGGTGACGGCTGGGCCATCAGCACCCACGACGGCGACCTGGTCGGCGGGGTCGACAGTCTTGGATCCGCCAGAGGATTTCTTGGCGCGCTCACCACCCTTGCCGCGGCCCTTTTTCTGAGGGAAGAAGGTGCTAATCCAGGTGTTGTAAATAAAGTAGACGGTACCACTGAAAGCGCCGAGGACGACGAGGTAGAGGAATATACTGGAAACCATATGTCAGTTTGTGCGTCTTAAGGCAGGACAGAGCTCAGTAAGCAGAATAGCTGGAGCGCAAGATTTAAAGGATCGACCAAGTACATACATTTGGGGGTCAAAGAAGCTGGTAGGGGCCTCTACAACGCTGACCGTCTCGTTGTGAACGGTGACGGTGTAGAGTGAGTTCTTGTTGTCCTTCAAGATAGTGACGAGCTGCAAGCGCAGATCCTGGGGATGAAGCTCAGTCGTAAAGCTGTAGGGAACTGTCTCATTGGCGCCGGCAGGAACTTGGATCGAGTAGCGCTTCGCAGTAAGGTTGCGAACGACGTGCGACTCTCCGGCATTCTCCTTGAGTAGCGAGCCACCAACCAGAGTGACGCCAATAGGAGTTGGCTCGTTATTTACGACGGACAGGCGGGCCTCTGTAGCGAGGCCATTGACAAGCTTGACGCCAAAAATCTCGGCCTGTGGGAACGAGACAGAGATGGCGACATTGAGATTGGGGGTTTGCGGCTCTTCTGAGACCTCTTGAACCTTCTCAGCCTGAAGCAAAAGGGAATTAGCCATCTGATGTCATGCCTCGTCGGGCTCACTAAGCGTCACGAGCTCACCTCGGGTTTTGCGGAGACGCTGAGGGCGCGCAGAGATAGCAATAGCAGAGATGAGAGTTTCCAATTAACCATGATGACGACGGTACAAGACAATGCGAGGGGGAGAGGGGGAGAAGAAGTCGTGACGAAAGAGTTTGGGTAATTCGAACGTGGCTTCTGGGAAGTGACGTCCGGGCGCAGCTTCCACTTTCGCCTTGGCGGACGGAACCAGAGCCGCGGCAACGCGAACCGACCCGAACCACATTACATACGCGACGTCTTCAGCTTCATGTTCAAGTTAGCATTAGCCGTAAGACAATACCAGAACATGCTGCTATATCCTCTGTATGAACCGGCCATCTGATCTCAGGCGTCTTGCGGCGTCGCCAGTACCACCACGATTTGTCCAAATATAGTGCCTTTCACTCGTACGCGCCGTACCGGAATCTTGAAATACCCAGGCCATGCACGCCGCAAAGGTCTGCAACGAACCCTGGAGCAAACACATGCAGCCACTGACCCGCCGTTCTGCTTCTGCACCCATATTTGCTCTGATTGCATTTACACCGCCTCGTGCGCGCCTTCCCAGCGGCGGCGTCTTGCATTGCACCTGGTTACACTAGCCCTTGTTCGCTCTTCATTGCTACTGACCTATGTTACGATAACTCCCTTTCACCTGTAAATTGCCCGCCCAAGAACGCCAGTTTCTCGCTGAACCCTGAAATTGCCCCTCGGTTACACTTTCACTTTCCTCTCTTCTGCCCACAATTTCCTTCACTTCATCCACACCTTTAGCTACCAACACACTCGTTGCGACAACCCCACCCACCAACGCCCATCATTGCCAATTGGTGCACCAACCGATAAAAATGTGTCCTTCATTCAATGGCCCACCCTGCGGCGATGATTTGGCCAGCATACACACGCGCTACGAGCAATTTCAGCGGCACGACGAAGACAAGGCCAAATTCGTAGCCGAGCTCATCGCATATAGTGAGCAACTGGTGCAGAAGTGCCGGAATGTAACTGCTGAGCGTGATGAGTACCGCGCATGGTTCGAGAAATGGCAACTCGACAAGGACCATTATGAACTGTTACTCAGAAACGCACAGCAGATCATGGTAAGCCAACACCGACTAGATAAAACATGTTTGGAACTGACATATACGCACCCAGTCTGATAACCCATTCATCATGGTGCTGATCGACGGCGACGGTATGATCGTAAGTCACTTTGTGCTTACTTTTTCATGCTTGTGCTGATTATAGGACCAGTTCCGCGACGACTTTATCCGCGACGCTGAGGCTGGTGGTCGCCGGGCTGCCTCTTTCCTGCACGAAGCCATAAACGATTATATCGCGAATGATTGCAAAGATATCAAACCCCCGGTACGCATATACTGCCGCGTCTATGCGAACGTGAAAGGACTAGCCGAAGTGCTCGTTCGCGCTGGCGTCATTCAGAGTACCAAGCAGTTCGAGGATTTTGTGCGTGCATTCACTCAATCCAGACCTGATTTCGATTTCGTGGACGTGGGTGCGGGTAAAGACCGCGCTGACGAAAAGATTATCGGTAAGTGACTCTTCCTTCAAACCATGTATCCTAAAAACGGTACCGTGGCACCTTATAAACCATGGCTCTTACGATACTGGCTCCTTCAAACAATATGGCTCCTACTGACAGGCCGTAGATGCGTTCAAGGGATTCGCCCCGATCTTCCAATGTCGTCGCATTCTTTTCGGATGCTCACACGATAATGGATACGCAAGGACTTTAGAAAAGTGTTCCGATCGCACAGAGATGGTGAACAAGGTGGTGCTCCTCGAAGGTGTTCCGTTTGAGAAGGAGCTACTCCCGCTGCCATACAAGACCAAGAAGTTTCCGAAACTGTTTCGAGACAAGAAACTCTCGGTGATACCGTGGGGGGCGGCTCCCGTGGCGGCTACAGTAGGGACTACCGTGTTTGGTACTCCTTCTCTGACAGCCCCGGTATTTGTCCCAGGAAGTACATTCGACCCGAAAGCCGACTCAAAAGCTAGCTCGAACGGCTTGGCGGTTACTGGTCTCCCACCCCGTTTTCCTGCACCTGGGCCTGCAGCCGTACAGCAGCCACCTAGTACGCTCATGGATAGCCCTCTGCCCAGCAGAGCCCAGCTGAATACCTTGCCTCGTACACCGTCATGCTCGACTATAACTTCAGAAGAGTTTCCAGCCATCAAGCCGAGCATGACGACTTGGGCTAGCAAAGCCGCGGCCCCTCCTCCACCTCAGGCCGCCCCTGTACAGCCTGTATACAAGGTCGCAGACCGTGATGAACTGATTGCTCGCAACCGTGCCGGCCAGCGCGTTGATCCGCCCTGCAAGGACTATGACAAAGCCGAAGTGGATCGTATTAAGAGGATGAAACTTTGCAACGTCCACTTCCTTCGCGAGGAATGTCCGTACGATAACAAGTGCACGCATCTTCATGGCTACCATCTTACTTCTGACGAGAAGGCCACTCTCCGTCTTGTTGCTCGGATGGCTCCATGCATCTATGGCAGCGGCTGTGAGGACAACAAGTGTATCTATGGCCATCGATGTCCAGCACCTCCCAGCAAGACACATTACGTCAAGGGCACCAAGTCATGTATTTTCGGCGATTTATGCAAGTTTCCGCCCGAGCTCCATGATATCGACACCACCGTTGTGAAGACGCTGGTCATACGCCGCTAGAAGTCGGAATAAACGATAGCAGAGGGCGAACAGCCGAAAGGAACGGTATTAGTGGAAGTGGAAGAGCAGCCGACAGAAAACGTCTCATCGGGAGAGTAGCAAGAAGAAACGGTATCACTGAGAAATCCGCCGAGAGGTACGGTATCACTGCGAGAATACATGACCGAAACGTTACCAATGTACATAGAGATTCCTGCCACGATTAATAACCAAAGTTCACACTACTTGCAACGGCACTAGATTGTGATCCCCTGAGTGATATGCAATACGTGACACCCTAGTATCCAAAAGCTACTGTAGGCGCATATAACATATTAGGAATAGGCTAGAGGGATTTACCTATGCTGTCGCTGTCAGGTAGTTCGTGTCACCTAGGTGTGACTGTGATTGTAGATGAGCTTATGAATGGATGAGGGTGGACACTCCTTTAGCAAGCACGCAACGCTCGCTACTACTAACACAAACTCCGAAGAGTCTAATGACACAAGTTTCAATCAAGGATGCCGATTACCCAAACCCACCATCTTGAACATCCAAAACCCGACACGGACACACCTTCAACACTCTACTCCTTCTTCCACTCCTCAAACTCTTCATCAAGATGTTTTTTCAGCGCCGCAAACTTATTCTTGTAATTCTCCCCACACCGCCAGCACTTCATATCCCAGCTCGTCCAGCTACTCGGATGATATCTCGGACTGCTCTCTTCAAGCGGGAACTCATCCAATTTCACTAGGAAACTCGAGTTAAAACTAAGATAATGTTTCTTATGCTTCATCCACGGCGACTGCATGTCCCTACTAAAGATGTGAATGTGAAGATGGTTCATCGAAGGATGAGTATGTACACCGATAACGATGTCTTTTGTCCAGTCTCGACCGGGTGGTAAGCGTGCGGTTTGTTCTTCTGGGGATGGTGGCTCGGGTGCGGACATCATTTCTTCGAGGGCGGATTGGTAGGGATGGTCGGAGATGCTGGTGTCGCCGTACTGACGTCGTAGTTCCGAGGCAGCGAGAAGTTTGAGGCGCTCGGCGCGGGTGCGTACTTGGGCGAGGAAGGCGGGGTCTGTGGAGAGGGCAGAAAGGGGATGTTGGTTGTAGTAGGCGGGTTTGCGTGGCAGGAATAGGAGATGTACGCTGTGTAACTGTTAGTTCTGGTATTTCATCATCCCCGTGCTTGCTCGCTATCTAAATTACATTGCCTTTGGGTACTTGTCGTTGATCACGACAAAGTCGTCGTCGTATTCTACTACTCTTCCCTCGGGATTTGCCTCTGGCTTCTCGATGTAAACAATGAGGCCATCGCGTGGATCAATGCTCTTAAAAGTTTTCGCAGTCTTCCTTTTAAGGCCTGGTGAGTCGTCGGCGGTTATGTGAGACTTTCGTTTCTTAGATCGCGACAAGAGTTCTGTGACTGCCCCGTGAGTTATGGACTGTGTGGAGGTAAATTTGGCGCGTGGAAACAACGTACATGCGTTTGGTCTTTTCTGCGAAGCTGGATCTACGCCGGGTCGAGCCTGGTTTGGCGGCTCCGTTCCCGCTATCTCTTCTGCAGTCATTGTATCGTGAGTTTGCTCAGCCTGAGCATGTTTGTGGTTGCGTGTAGACATGTTTGCTCGAATGCCGCCTCGTGCTGAGTAAATTGGACGCGTAGTTATGTATGAGCCTCCCGTGACAAGAACACCAGGTACGCGACGAGTGCTGAGATGGGACGTGAGCCGGCGCATGTAGGAGTCTCCATTTGCTGCGGTTGACCGAACGATGACGATGCAGCCCGTGAACTCATGGCCCGAGCGTACCGAGGCATCCCTGTCACCATCGGAATTTCGGATTGCGCCCGACCTTTGAGTGAATCGCTCGGAACTCAAAATGGCTACACTACGCATTGCACCTTTTCACTCGTTACGCTGGTACGCAGGGGATCGGTGGGATAATTTCGGAGATTGAGCCCTGGATTTAGCGGGAAGGCGCCCTTCACCGCCTGCAACAAACGCAGACATCATTTGTCTGTCGACACCCCTTCCGAAGCAAGCAGCCCCTTCACGAAGATTCCCAGGTCCAGTGTTATTGTAGACTAGACTAGGAATATGCCGAAGAACGCCCACCCGCCGCGCGGGAAGCCTGCGAAGAAGACAGTGCCCCCCGAGGAAGACACTTCATTCATTGTATTCGGCGATGGCAAACCCAAAAAGAAAAAGGGCGAGAGCTCTGGCGGAGATGGCACACAGAGCGACAGTAAGGGGAAAGGGAAGACAGCGCCTGGTCAGTCCGAGGATGGGCCAAAGAAGCCGGATACCAGAACTTTGATAGCGGGGGCATCATGGACTGGTAAATTGCCCGTCAACCTACTATCAGAGCACTTCCAGAAGCAACAGTGGAGCAAGCCAGACTACCGCATTGTGAGTACCAACTTGACCCCAGAATTTGGACACAGCTGATGCCAAGTAGCGCAAAGATGGCGATAGACACTTTGCATATGCCGTGGTGCTCTCCAAGATGAACCAGAAGACACGAGAGACTACAACCCTACCACCCATCAAGATTCCCCCCGAACTCGAGGAGCAAGCACATCAGCCAACTGCCGTAGAAGCCCGAAACTTCGCCGCCGCCTATACCCTCTTCCGCGTCGCCAGCGCGAAGAACCTGCACATGATGCTTCCGCCAACATACAAGGACTTGTGGAAAGGCCAGTTCACAGAACTCAAGAAGAGAGACGAACAGGAAGGAAAGGGTTGGATGTACGAAGCAGATCCTTTCTTTGGGTTTGCAGAGCGAGAAAAGGCCAGGGAATCAGCAGCCAAGGCGCGCGAGAAGAGACAGAAACAGCAAGAAGAGGCACAGAAAGCCCACAATCAGCAGCCTGGCGCGGCTATGCCTAGCGCTTCGACGGGTGCCGCACCCAGAAACTTGATGAAAGGATGGGAACGCGTGCCGAAGATCGAGCTGGGCAAGAAGACAAGGAAAGAGGCTGAGCGTCTGATTCGTCGCGATGCGGTCTGGAATCCTAATGGCGTCGAGATTGACGCGGCGACGAAGCTGAAGTTGGTCGATGAAATCACCGACCTTGGCTTTCGGAGAAGTCACGTCGAAGAGGCTGCTGAGATCTGCAAAGATCGGGAAGAGATTATCGAGTGGCTCCTCATCCACGTTCCAGAGGACGATCTTCCGTCCTGGTCCCTACCAGAAGGTTACGTTGCTGGCGTCAGCATGGCTAGTTCAAATCTCAAGCGCGAGGGTGCTGTCAAGCGTCTTGCAGCAGCTGGGTACGCTTTGGATCTTTGTGAGGAGGCGTATGACAGCCAAGGTGGAGATGAGAGGAAAGCCGCCGCTTTGCTGCAAGCTCGCCTCCTCCGACCTGACGATGAAGACAATATTATCACCCAGGACCTTGTAGATCTTTCAATCGTGGATACCGATCCCGAAGATGATCCGTGGGAGGTGGAAATGTCATCACTCGAAGCAATATACGATCGCCTATTTACACGGCCTGCGCCCGAGTTGTGCCGCATTGAGCTGGACGTTAAACAGCAAGGCAAGAGGCTCATCTTACAGGTGAGGAAGCCGTTTGGGCCATATCCCGCTGTGGTTCCCATTATCACGTTTGAGGCAGCTATTCCGGCATATATCCGTCTCAGTATCATCAGACAGGCGCTACTTCACGCCGAAAGCAACTTCATTGGCATGCCTATGATATACGATATCGTAGATTGGATCCAAACGAATGCTGGTGATATCTTCCAGAACCCAGGAAGACTGACTGATGTTTCTGCTGGTCTCGCAGCGGCAGATCACTCATCCGAGCCACAGAGTCAAAAGCGTAGGGCGAAGGGTGGGCGAGCACGCAGGCCTATCGACTGGACACCTGCGACACCTCCCAGCCAACGGATACTAACTGAATGGCAGGCCAAACAAGGCTCTGCAGCACAGCAAAAGATGATGGCTGCTCGACAGTCGTTGCCTGCATGGAGACTGAGGGAGGAAATTGTCCACACAGTCAACAACTGCAAGGTCACCATCATCTCAGGTGAAACTGGTTCAGGAAAGTCGACCCAGTCGGTACAATTCGTCTTAGATGATCTGATCCAGCGACAACTCGGAGCTGTTGCAAACATCATTTGTACACAACCCCGTAGGATCTCAGCCCTGGGTCTCGCGGATCGTGTAGCAGACGAGCGCTGTTCCCAAGTTGGGGATGAAATCGGTTACACCATCCGTGGAGAGTCGAAGCAAAAGCCTGGCGTTACCAAAATCACTTTTGTTACCACTGGTGTCTTGCTCAGGAGACTTCAAACATCAGGCGGCAATGCCGATGATGTGGTCGCTGCACTGGCTGATGTCAGTCACGTTGTTGTCGATGAAGTGCACGAGCGCAGTCTGGATACCGACTTTTTGCTTGTTCTGCTTCGCCAGATTCTACGGACACGCAAGGATTTGAAAGTCATTCTCATGAGCGCAACCCTCGATGCCGCTGTTTTCGAAGCTTACTTCAAGGAAGTTGGGCCTGTAGGCCGTGTTGAGATTGAAGGCCGTACACACCCCGTCACAGACTACTATATCGACGACATACTGCATTTCACTGGGTTCAAGGGCTATGGCATGGGTGAGGACGATGCGACAGATGAGAAGTCCTTCTCTGCCAACCTCAGGAGTATCGGATTCGGAATCAACTACGACCTCATTGCAGAAACCGTCCGTTACATTGATCGCCAACTCGGAGAGAAGGACGGAGGTATTCTGATCTTCTTGCCCGGAACTATGGAGATCGATCGCACGCTCCAAGCACTAAGTCACTTTGTAAACCTCCACGCACTGCCGCTTCACGCGTCGCTTATGCCAGTGGAGCAGAAGCGTGTTTTCCCTCCTGCGCCGCACGGGAAACGCAAAGTCATTGCGTGTACCAATGTAGCTGAGACATCCATCACTATTGAAGATATCGTTGCGGTCATCGATACGGGCAGAGTCAAGGAGACGAGCTACGACCCGCAGAACAATATGGTACGGCTGGCTGAGACGTGGGCTTCGAGGGCTGCATGTAAGCAACGACGTGGTCGAGCAGGTCGTGTTCGGGCGGGCGACTGCTACAAGATGTACACACGCAACGCTGAGGCTAAGATGATGGAACGACCTGATCCAGAGATCCGGCGTGTGCCTCTTGAACAAATGTGTTTGTCTATCAAATCCATGGGTGTACAAGATGTATCAGGCTTCCTTGCGTCGGCCTTGGCACCCCCAGAAAGCACGGCAGTGGAAGGCGCCATACGGCTACTCTCTCAAATGGGCGCCATCACCGACAACGAGCTGACGGCTCTCGGCCGGCACATGTCCATGATACCGGCTGATCTCCGCCTTGGCAAGCTCCTCGTCTACGGCGCAACATTCGGATGTCTCGATGCCGCTCTAACAATCGCCTCCGTCCTCACAGCCCGCAGTCCGTTCCTCACGCCCCGCGAACGCGACCAGGAAACCCGCAACGAATTCGACCGGCTCCGAGCCTCCTTCTCCAACAACCAAGGTGATCTCCTAGTCGACCTACGCGCCTACGAACAATGGGCCGCCCAGCGCAGCAAAGGCGCCTCAACCCGCGACCTACGCTTCTGGTGCCAAGAAAACCGTCTCTCACCAAACACGCTCTTCGATATCGCATCCAATCGCACACAATACCTATCTTCCCTCAAGGAAATTTCCTTCATACCCACACACTACTCCTCCGCCAATCCTGCCACGCACAGCACCTACAACAAACACAATGCCAACGACGCCCTCCTCCGCGCCCTCATCGCCGGCGCATTCAACCCTCAAATTGCCCGCATCCAATTGCCCGACAAGAAGTTCGCAGCGGGCATAGCCGGCGCCGTTGAGCTCGACCCTTCCGCCCGCGAGATCAAATATTTCAACCAAGACAACGGCCGCGTATTTGTGCATCCTAGCTCCACGCTCTTCTCCAGCCAAACATTCCCGCATAATGCGTCTTTCGTGGCGTATTTCAACAAGATGGCGACGAGTAAGGTGTTTGTGAGGGATATCACGCCGTTTAATGCGTTTAGCTTGTTGTTGTTTGCGGGGCGCATTCAAGTGGATACGTTGGGGAGGGGACTGGTGGTGGATGAGTGGATTAGGTTGAGGGGGTGGGCGAGGATCGGGGTGCTGGTAAGTCGGTTGAGGGGTATGTTGGATAGTGTGCTGGAGGGTATGGTGAAGGAACCTGGGAAGGGTGTCGGGAAGAGGGAGGGTGAGGTGGTGGATGTGGTTAGATGGTTGGTTGAGAGGGATGGGCTGGATGCTTAAGGTGGTGGTGTGTTGTTCGAGTAGATGAAGAAGGATATAGATGGTGTTGGGATGATGGAAAGATGAGGCATTCTTCAATTCCCATTCGTACTTGATGTAGCCTTGGGTACGGATCTTGTGCAGCCATAGCAAATGGTCCTGTTGGCATGTGTGGATCCAAAGTCGTCGCCGTCTTGCTGATCACCACCCCACCCGTGTATGCCAAATCGTCCACCGGATACAGGCATGCTGCATAAACTGCATTTTGGCTCTGAAAGCGCATCGGGCTGTGCCTCTAGTCTACTGGCAGTACGTACGACGTTTGCAACGATACTTGGAAAGTTATCCTCAACCGACTCGAAATATTGCTTCATGAGGTCGTCGATGGTGGTGTTTTTTGAGCTTGTAGAAGCTTGCGTGGCGCCTATCGACGTTTCATGCACCAGAGTCTTGAGCCCTGTTTCGGCCATGTTCATGTAGGACACCAGCTCTTTCTTAAGAACATCGCGAAGCGGGTAATGGAAGTTTAGACCAAAAGGCGACGGGCCGTCGGAGACCTGCCATGGCAGGGAGAAACCGCGCCCCTTTGCGGTTTCGGAAAGAGTCTTTTGAGCGAGTCTGGTGGTGCTGTCGCCCCAGAGGATACTCTCGCACCCAGTCAATTTCGCATGCTCGACAATCAGCCTAGTCTTAAGTGTAGACAAAACATCCGCGCGGGCTGTGGCTGAAGTGAGCGAGTTGATCATGTGAACAAGTTTTTCCTCAGGTGTCGAGGCATACTGCGTTTCCGGGACCAGAGACCGGATTGAGGCATCATCTTGAACAAGGCGGAATACATCATGCAACGGCAACGAGGCATACTGATGCCCAGAGTACTGCTCTCGAACTTGGTCCAGAAGATCTTCAGCCATGATAGACTGTTCAGGGTCCTCAATGTACACAGCGCTAATGTTGAAGCCCGTGCGGCCCGTCTTGCTCTTTTGCGTGCGTTGGTGGAGATCCAAGACGTGCAGCAGAGTCACAGACGAGATGCCAAAGGACAGGGGCACCAGAACGCGGGGTTGCTGCTCCGCTGTGAAATTTACCCGGAACGTCTCTAGCCGCTTGATACATTTGGTGTGAATGTATCGTGCGAAGCAGTCACTGTAAAAAAAATTAGTCATTTTGCTTTCTTAAAGTGGCGGGCAGAGGACTGACTGGCAAAGGGGCTCAGAGCGGACTACCAGGACAGAAGATGCCTTACATCGTCTGCAAGGCTCATTTGAAGCGTCTACAATCTCTTTGCCCGGCATAATTGTGAAGTTTGGAAGAGAGTGGTGGGTGAGTGGGAGTTTCTGTAGGGCTGACTCATGCCCTGGTTTCGCCAGCCCCGTTGGGGGGAACGGGACTGCGCCACACTTTGAGATGGGCCGCGCTAAGATTGTGAGCTGCCGCGAAGACGGATCTGGAGGTTACGAACGCGCAATCCAAACATAGTGCACTACCAACACCACTAACTGCATCCATGCTCCGTATTTGAACCGCGGAGTGAAAAGGAGAATATCAGTCGCCAACTCGACTCGAAGCGCATACCTTTGGCTGAAAGCGCCCCAAACCATCAGCCGTCAGCTCCGCCAGCTGGCCTCACATCTCGCAAGATGAAGGCACGGCTGCGCAACATCGCTCTGCTGCTGTTGACCACCATAACAGCAGTCGCGGCGATAGATGTCACGTTGGTATGACCAATTCACATTCTTTGGACGTTCGACTTTTGCTAATACGTCAGCAGAACCAAGATGAACGCCAGAAATGCTCGGGCATGTACAGTAAGAAGTCGTGGGGAGGCAAGGTCGAACCCTTTATACTTGTCAAGTTTATAAAAGACCCTGAAAAGAACGCCGGCATTCAAGACCCGACGGTGAGCGTCGTGGTGTGGGAATGGAAAGACACGTTGCTGCTTGGAGCGCCGTCAGACTTGCCCGTGAACGATGTTGGTGTACACCCTTCTGCTAGGCACACGATCTGGGAGTCAGGCTGACATTGTTTCGAACAGGAAAACCGACATTACATCTGTGACGACGAATCTATCAAGTTGAACCTCTGCACCAAGGAACACAAGGGTGAATGGGTACTCGCCCAAGATGCTGACAACGTCTCGCAAATGCACATTCGAACCGCCGCAATCAACCTCAACGACCCCAAGCCCATCAATTACCCAGTCGCAAATGGAGACAAGAAAATGTCAATCAAGACAGGATACTACTGTGTGGCCGTGGCCGCGGAAGACAAGCGTCTGCAATACGAAGCCATCGTAACCTTCCGCAATGCATACGGCGAATTGCAAGCGGCCCAGATCGCCAAACTTCCGTTTTACGGCGGTATTACAATTGTCTACTTTGTAGTATTGGCCTTCTGGGGCTTCCTCTACTTCCAGAATAGGCACGATATCCTGGCTGTTCAGAACTACATCACGGCCATTCTGGTGTTTTTGGTCTTGGAGATGATGATGACCTGGGGTTACTACGATTACCAGAATCGCCATGGCAACAACGTCGGCGCAAAGGCACTTATGATTGTCGTTGCTGTGCTGAACGCTTTCCGAAACTCGTTCTCGTTCTTCCTGCTCCTGATTGTGTGCATGGGCTATGGTGTTGTCAAGCCTTCCCTTGGCAAGACTATGACGGTCGTCCGCTGGCTCGCTGTAGCGCATTTTGTCTTTGGCGTCATCTACGCTGTCGCATCGCTCACTGTTCGACCCGACGACGCCGGTCCTCTTGTGTTGCTGGTTATTCTACCGCTCTCTGCTACTCTGACAGCATTTTATATCTGGACGCTGAACTCGCTGAACCTCACCATGAAAGACCTCATGGAGCGCAAGCAGCACGTCAAAGCCACCATGTATAAGAGATTATGGTGGTGTATTTTGACCAGCATCATCGTCATCTTCGGCTTCTTCTTCATCAACAGCTTTACCTTTGCCGGCGCATCGACTCCGGACTTTGCACCGACCCACTGGCAGACACGATGGTTTGTGCTTGATGGGTGGCTGAACTTGGTGTATCTGGCAGACGTCTGCTTTGTTGCGTACATGTGGCGACCGACGGCTAACAACCGGAGGTTTGCAATGAGTGACGAGGTATGTTCATACAAAACACCTACATTTCCTACAGTATACTGACAAATTCCTAGATTGCACAGGATGACGAGGGGTTTGAGATTGCTTCGCTGAGGGAATCGCTGGACGAAGAGGAACGTGGTGCGGACCAGCCTCCCTCATACGACCCTGGGCAGAGGTCGAATAACATCAATGCGCGCGATGCATCGCCATTGCCTGCGCCACAAGCACAGAAGCCTATTGTGCCACCCAGGGAGAGCTTAGATGGCGATACCATCTTTGCTGTGGGCGAGGATGATAAGTGGAGTAGTGAAGATAGCGACGACGACGAAGAAGAAGATGACGACGAGGAGGATGATTCAGACGAAGACGAGTCAGGGCCGTCGAGCCCCAAAGGAACTAACGAGCGATCGCGATTAACGGGCAAGAAGGACGAATAAGTGTTGAGCTCGAGAGCATGATATTTTCGCTTTTCTGAGAGCTGCTGCTCTGTCGCGCTCTTGGCGTTTGATGTTGAGCGATCCAGTTTTCTCGCGTAGGGTAACTAGCGTCTTATCTTTGTATTGCCTGGAGGCTAGGCATATCTGGCGTTTTTTTCAAAATAATATGTCGTCTTGATATGCATGTTGCGTTTACGTGCTAGTGTGATTTTCGATGGCGCTGTGAAGTGCATTTTCTTAACCCCGTAATCGCCGAGGTAGGTATATCGAACATGCCGTCAGAGCTCTCGCCGCATTTTGTGATCTTGCCTACAAGCAACCAACACAATGGCAGCGCTTCCATTCAGCGCGCCTTTGCGCACTCCGAAATACATATGCGGAACATGCCGGACGCGTTTACGGTCCTTCCGTACTCCAGCTATCGTCACACATCAAACTTTTAGCAGTGCGTCATCGTCGAATCGCCAAATTATTCACCGGCCTACGTCGCAACAACACCTTCGCAAGCGGGTCGACACCCACCCAGCCAAGAATGGCTCTCTCTATCGATTTCATAGAACACGCGAGTATTCGACGACAGGTCCAGCACCCCTACCCGTTACCTCGGGCTTTGCACCACTCCCGCACCGCCGCCTGATATCTCTATCTGGTCCCGACGCGGCCAAGTTCCTCCAAGGTCTCATAACCAACAACGTCGACCTCAATCAACCGAAGCCGTTCTATGCGGCTTTTCTCAATGCGCAGGGCAGGGTCTTGTGGGACGTCTTCGTATGGGTATGGCCAGAGCTTTTGGCGGAGGAGAAACAGTGGACCTGCTACATCGAAGTGGATGAGCGCGAAGCCGAGGAACTGAAAAAGCACCTAAAGCGACACAAACTACGCAGCAAAGTGGAAATAGAGGATATAAGCGGGGACGAAGTGTGTGTATGGGCAGCTTGGGGTTCTGCGGCAGACGCGCGCGTCAACGCCAACGATACAATGGTGGATATGCAGGACCCACGAGCACCAAACTTCCACCGCTACCTCGCATACGCAGACGTAAAGGCACTAGTTCCAGGTACGGAGCCGCTGAGCGTTACCGAGTACCAGATCGAGCGCTACAGGTACGGCATAGCTGAAGGGCCAGACGAGATACCCAGAGAGGATGCGCTACCCATGGAATACAACTTTGACCTCTGGCACGGCATAGACTTCAAAAAAGGATGCTACGTTGGTCAAGAACTCACCATTCGTACTAAACACACTGGTGTCGTGCGCAAGCGCGTCTTGCCCATTACTCTTCAACTTCACCCCCTTGCTGAGCCAGTAGAGAAGATAATTGTAGAATCCGGCAGTGAAATCAAGACGATTGATGATACACAAATTGGACTCAAGAGGGGTCGTGCTCGAGGCAAGTTTATTGCAAATGTTGGGGATGTGGGGCTGGCGTTGTGTCGGTTGGAGCAGATGACCAGTATGGTGATTGATGGGAGCGTGCATGCGAGGACGCCGGAGATGCGCTTCGCATGTTATACCCATGATAGAGATGTTGTTGAGGTCCAGCCGGTGTTGCATGATTGGTTTTTGGAGCGGGAGAAGGAGTTGTGGGACAAGTATGGGCTGAGGGGTTTGTAGTATGATAGTACATTGTATAGTCAGTCATCTTGGAGATGTAGTGTTTGTCGTTGAAGACGTGCACCTAGGTGACGTAGAATACTTAAAAGCGACAATGTGGGCAAACCCCTATATTTCATTCCTAACAGGTATGTTTGGCGCCTACAATGAGTTTTGTATACTAGGGTGTAAAGTATTTTATGTCACCTAGGTGCGACTACTAATGGGCTCACCGGGTGGGGCTGTGTAATTGTGGCTTAGCTTTACTTTGTATCCATTGAACGTCACCTGGCAATCGCAGGGTCTATATTCCCTGTATTCGCACACCAACATTCCTACGCCTTCCCTTTCCCTTTTTTCCAGATCCCTAGGTATCTTCAATCTCTTCTAATCCGATCAATCGCATATCTCGCCACCATGGCCACCACACTACCTCCAAAGTCATCTGACCACCACTTCTCCATCTCAAACATCATCTCCAAGTTTCGCTCAAAGAAAAGACCAACACAGCCACAGCCAGAAAGATCACAAGACACACGACCACCCCTCATCCCATCACCACTCCCTCTGATCCTCCCCCAGCACCAACAAACCCTCTCAACCCTCGGTTGGACAACCCTCACCTTCCCCGACTCTCAATCACCTGGACCGCACCCCCTGCAAACCGCCTATCGCGATCTCTTCATAGCCAGCCAAGCCTTCTTCGCGCAACCCGCCAGCCAAAAAGCTGAATGGGCGCACAAGCTCGGCACAGAAGAAGGCTGGTCCCAAGTCCCCGGCGAAAAAGAATTCATAACCCTCCGCACCCTAGTCTACTGTCCCTCAATCCTACGCGGGCCCGCGAAAAGGTACTGGGATCTCATCGGCACTCACTGCTCCAGCACCCTGGGTAGGATGTCCACGGCGCTCGGTTTGCCAGCTAGTGAAGACGAGGGCTTGAGACGCTTTGTTGGGCCGTGCGCGAGTATGCCTGATGGAGAGGAGGGCAAGACGGCGACGATGTTACGGTTGTTTCGGTATGAAGGGTGGAAGGCCAAGGTTGTTGCTGAGCCGCACGCAGATCTGGGACTGTTGAGCGTGGTGGTAGGAGACGTTCCTGGTTTGGAGGTTTGGGACGGTGCGGCCTGGTTCGATGTAGAGAGGGAAGTTGAGAGGGCGGGCAGGAAAGGGGCGACGCTGTTATTAGGGAGGCAGGCGGAGAGTTTTAGTAATGGGAGTTTTAAGGCTGGGGGGCATCGGGTTGTTTCGTATGGGGATGCGTCTGGTTCTCGACCTACATCAAGAAACGCGGAGGTGGCAGAGTGGGAGGCGAGATACAGATACTCCATTGTTTTTGTGTTACGTGCGCATGAACCGGTTGTTATCAGGTCTGGGGAGCTGGAAACGCAGGTTACGGGTAAGTGGGAGGTGCCGATGGAGGGCGTTACGGCGGGGGAGTTTTATGAAAGTGTCAGGAAACAGCATTTTAATATCAATATCGATGTGGGGGAGAGGGAGAAGCAGAGGAGGAGACTTGATGCTATGAAGAAGGGTGGGGGTACTGGGTAGGTTGGTAGGCTGGTATGGGTTTGATCGGCTGTCCATGTTTGTGTTCTCAAAGTTTGATCCTGGCAGTTTTTATTGTTCTTGCTTCCTATAATACCTTAATATTGTCTTGTTCTATCATTATGCCTCTCGTTGTCTTCGAGTTTGCTGATTAAAGATCGGGGCGATTGCTAGAATAATACTGCACTGCAATATATCCGCTATCAACTATTAATCCCATCTTGTATTCTATCAATTCGTCATCAGCCATTACACTAACCCGTATGATGTAGTCCAAGGCGCCTGCAGCCCCATGATTTCACCGCATGGCACTATAGACCCATGGCAAACCAGGACCTCTCGCGCCATGTGCAGGCGCATTGTGCAGTCATATACAGCCACATGATTTCACTTAACCTGGTCCAAGACACGATCCTGGTCAACGACCATGAGCTCCTCAACCCCTCCGCTTGGGTCAAGACCACACCCCCACACGTACGGGTCTCTCGGGAGAGACCCGGAGTCTGGCTCATCCGTGTTGCGGATGACCAGGCCCAGATGCCTTCTCCTGAGTTCCTCCGCCGCAAGGCTTTGTAGTTGGGGCGCCTTCGCCGTTCTGGCAAAACTCGCGAGCAGGCTATAGAGAAAGCAATCGCTTTGCGCAAAGCTCAGGAGAAGACGCTGCGACGGGATTCTGGGCAGCAGTTCGCCGAGGCGAAGCGGCTGGAGGCCGAGTGGTGGAAAGCGAAGAAGTTGGCGGGGGAGAAGGAATGGCAGCTGCTGAAGCCTAAGCTGCTGAAAAAGTGGACTGTGAAGCGAAGAGCGCAGGCGGGCCAGAAGACGCAACCGCAGCCCCAGTCAGATCCGGAGCAGGCAACAGAGGCCAGTGGATCGTCTGCCTTTCTGCAGGGGTTTATGGCGACGATAGGGGACATCACCAAGGGCCGGGAGACGCCTTTTCGGTAATAAGTGTCTGCAGTAGGAGTTCTGTTTTTTGTTCATGGCACAGATTTTGGTGTCTTGATAACTGGCTACTGTTGTTTGTATCTTGATAATTTTGAGCATAGGAGAAACTTGGAGGTATGTCCATCGAATGGGCTGTCTGAGTTCGATGGACATACGGACATAAAGTAGACGTGCAATTGGAATAAGAAGATCCAATACCATTTTATGCATCTAGATAAAAAGAATTGTAAACTGTATCTTTGTAGATTCGATATCGATATCACGGGCCAGTGCGCCGAACTGTAGAAGTCACCTGTGTAAACTAGGGCTAGGTAGTAGTTCTCTCATCAGAGATGACGTATGTCGTGAGGTTGAAGACTTATTGAAGAGTGGTGATGTACGGAAAGTGCTGAGTACCTACCGCAGCATGGGAGGCAAGCTTGCTTGGTCCTCAGTCGCGCGTTGGGGGTGTCTGCCTTGTGCTTCCCTTTGTGAGAATGACGTGTCCGCGCCGAAAGTTAGCATCTGCGATAATGAACTGCGCTACATTTTTGTGTAACTCTCCTGGCCATCTCCAGACATGTTGATCGCCATTGTTGGCTAACCGGCTTGCATGGTGCAGGAAATGTGGCGGTTCAGCCTCATCGCAGGCAGAACTCCAGCCTCCTATATTTCTCGCCCCCATTGCTCATCTCCGTCAACAAGCTCTCTTCGCGATGCACCGTACCAAAGATCTTCCAAGGATTGACATTTGCTGAATCAAAGACATAAACACCAAAACCTTGACGTCGCGCTTGCCGTGGTAGACTCCTACTAGCTCCACGATGACCAGCGGACGACCCCCACTCCCCACTTTCGAACACGAGCCACTTCCCGACTCGACAACATACTTCCGTCTACTACGATCACTCGCGGCAAATTCGGACAGCATGTTGAATGCGAAATATCTGCATGGCCCATCGATGACGCACCGCCATACTATGCGATATCATATACCTGGGGCGACCCCACCAACGAGACTGAGATCACGATCAACGGCAAGCTGCTGGTGGTTCGACGAAACTGCGAATATGTCCTCCAACAAGCTTTCACGGCAAAGCCCAACAAGTACTATTGGGTAGATGCTATCTGTATTGCCCAAACGCAGACTTTCCAACAAGCAAGTAAAGCAAGTCACCGCTCTAAACTTGACTTGCTTGGTTCAAACATAGGCTTTACTTGACTTGCTTGGGGTGATTTTTTTACTTGCTTGACTTGCTTGTATTACTTGCAAGTACTTGGATTACTTGACTACTACAAAGAGATTAAGCTACATACAAATTACCAAAACTCAGTGTTCCACTCTAGTATGTTGTAATCTCCTACAAGCTGCTCATCTGAAAGCTTAGCCTCGCTACAGTTGTACGGTTTATAACCAGCTCGCACCCATGACCTTACTAATTGAAGAGCTGCGAGTAGCTCACTGCCCAGAGCACGTCGTTTAGGTTCAAGAAGGTCGCCAAGCTCACTGAAGAGGCGCTCACAGTCGCTGCTTGATGCTGGGATAGTCATGATATCGATTGCAAACTGCGCTAAATGCGGGTATTTCGGCAGTAGTTGTATCCAGTATTGGACAGGATTTCCATCTGCGTTGTACTGCTCCTGCGTCCACTGCGGCTCTTGTGTTTTCCAGCGCTCAAACTCGTCAAGTGGAGCCTCTCGGTCATTGTTGCGGCTAAGTATAGCAATAATTGCCTCGTCTATGTTGTTGCTACTCGGCGCAGTTGTATACCGCTGGCGTGCTCGTTGAGGTTTGTATGCCGCCCAAAGCTGTTGGAACGACGCGTTGGCACTAGTAAGCCAATCAGCTTTGTCTGCCCACGCCACATCGCAGTAGTTCTTGTAGTACGGGTGTAGGCAAACAGCGGCGTAGTAAGCGGGCGAGTCGTCGAGCTTGTTGTAGTAGTCGTTGGCTTTGCTCCACGCGGCGCGGAGGTTGACGTTGAGGTGATCCTCTGGAGCCTCGGCATGAGCGTTGAAGTCGACGTGCTCGAACGGGCGCGCCCGGGCCTCAAGCTTGCTGAGTACGTACTCAAAAACGGGTATAACCTCATAGATTGCGCCGTATTTGCCATCCTTAGAGCGTCCCTCGAGGCGTTTTGTGGCGTACTTGAGCGGCTCTAAGCAGTCCTGGTACTCTGCAATCACCGCCCAGTCAGCAGCTCGGAGCCCAGTTGATCTCATCCAGTTTGGGGCGTCGGGCCGCTTATTATTCCGCTGCGCAGCGTGCGCATCTTCAAGGATAACCCTATTGATATGATGCTCAGCGTACAAGTTATACGCGGCTTGAAGCTTGGTAGCGCGCTCAAAAGCAGCATAGTATGAGTTCCAGCGAGTGACGACAGGCTTGACTGGCTCGAGTACTTTGAGACGCCCTTCAGCAGGCAGGTTGTTGTTGGCAAGGCGCTGGTAGCCACGAAAAAGCTCGTACTGTTGCGGCGTTTTGATATAGTTGATGACGTCAACTAGCACTCCAATAGGGCCATCTTTCCGCCACTCTCGCATATACTGCTCCTCGGTATTGTACTGCTCTTGAGTGTTGCCGTAGGCGTCTTTGTTGGTGCCAAATATAATAGCCTGGCCGATGAGGTTAAGCGTGTGACAACTGCAGCGGAGGCGCCGGTGAGCGGACTCAAATTCGTACTCGCGCGCGAGCGCGGCGATCGCAGTGTCGTTGTTGGTAGCGTTGTCGAGTACAAAATAGCCTAATCGGTCGCTTGTTATTCCGTATGCTGAGAGCGTCGTCGAGATAGCTTTGGCAATAGCCTCACCGGTGTGGGCGCCAGCGAGCTCAGGCAGATCGATTGGTAAGTCTCGTATTATTCCAGCTGCGTCGGCAAAGTGAGCGACTACTCCAAAGAAGCCACGTTTACCACCCTTTGTTGTCCAGCCATCAAAGCTTACGTGTATTTTGCTTACTGAGCCTGACAGGGTGTCGATAACTTGCGGTCGTATAGACCGGAACAACCTCATCACAAAGGTAGAAACGCTGGTATTACTTACCCACAACGCTGCCTCTGCCTCTGGGTTGGCAAATCTCATCATCTCTCTAAAATCAGGCGTCGTAAGTTCGCTGAGCGGGTGGTTTCGGTTAACAAGCCACATGACAGTGGCTGTTCGAAAGCCCTCTACGTCGAAGTTTCCAAACGCGTTAGCAGTGTTTTGTTGTACGTCTAAACCAGCGTCAAAAGCTTGCCGCAACGACAGCTGGCCTCGAGCTCTCTGCGCTAACTTTGGGCCATCTTTCGTAAGGTTGTGGCCAGGCTTTGGTTGGCTGAGATGGGTGGCTGCTGAGGTTGTAGCCTGAGTAATGTTAAACAAACCACCACGGCCAGCGTCGATAGTTTTGTGTACATGGCAGTACTTGCACACAAACCAGATTCGAGATGTAGCATGGCGCTCAACAACGCGGTAGCCATACTGAAAGATCCAACTTTTTGGGCGCTTAGAACGCGCCAATGGCTTGATAAAATCAGGTAAACGTGCCCAGTCAATGCCGTCAAAGTTCTCAACTAGTGCGCTGTTTGTCTCATCCTGACCACCCTCTCCAGCCTCAGTTGTAGCCACCGTGCCAGCTCGGCTGCCCTCGGTGGGCGCGACAATCTCAGCCTCCGCCTGCGACTCTAAGAACTGCAACTCGAAGGTAGGTATTGGCGGCGAGGCGTTAGCCTGGCTTGCGGCAGCTAGGGTTTTGCGAGGTGATCGACGCTGAGGTCTAGGCTTAGATGCAGGCTTAGATGCAGGCTCAGGTGAAGCCTCAGGAGTTGAGGCGACGTTGTTGGTGGCAGCGGCTACTTTCGTACGTTTGCTCCGAGCAGAAGTTTGTGGTAGGCGACGTTTGGCCATATTGGGGGTATCAGGGCAGTATAAATCACTGGAAAACGCGTTGCTATAGGGGATACTGCATTGCGATAGGCTTCTAGACAGGCGTACGTCGAGATTGGAGCAATGCGCTAGACTAAGGCTAACGTTATTTGATAGCCGCTTAGCCTGTTTGGGACTCAACCGAGGCAACTGCAACACTTCAAAACCATCGCGACATCTACCGTACAGCAGTTTTAGCACCCTCATCACAGTAACGCTAAAACAACCAAGTAAACCAAGTCAACTTGCTTTTTGGAAAGTCTGCCCAAACGACGCAAGAGAAGAATCACCAGGTTGGCATCATGGGCCAGATCTACTCAGGAGCTAATCATGTTTTCGCTTGTGTTGGGCCGCATGCAGACGACAGCGAATACCTGTTTCAAGTACTTCGAAAACACCGTTTTCTATCCAATTCTATCGCTGAATATTTCGATCGGATATATTATTGTTCTTCCGCATCATGGTTGCACAAGCGGTATTCAGTAAAAATATGGGTTGGATCACGCTGCCTCATAATTACCTCAGACTATGAGAGGTTGTACAGCTCCTTCAGGTCCTTCGTAAATCGAGCCTACTTTCAGCGAGTATGGATACTGCAAGAGCTATATTTGACCAAAAAAAGTGTCGTATAATTGTGGAGACACGGTGCAGGAAGGGAAAACTCTGGCCGTGCTCAGTTTTGTGCTAGACAGATTGAGAGGAATACGGGTTAGCTATCGAAGACTACTGAGAAAACCCAACCGCGTGTTTCTAGATATGTACTGCTTCCTTAGAAGTACACAGGAAGGGGAGCTTCCGCAGATGCGCTGCTTAAGATTTGCGTACAAAGCAGAAAGACTGTGGCATCAAGATATCATGACAGATATTGATAGATTCCAGTGTGCCGATCCGCGAGATCGCTTGTATGGTGTTTTGAACCTCATGGACTGGAAAGACGGACAAAAGCCCACACCTGATTACAACAAGGACAATTTCGAGGTTGAACTCGATGCTCTCAATGTCATCTTGGAACTAAACCCACTAGAATCTTGTTGGCCTGAGAAATTGATCGAAATTTTTCATGTTACGTTGGCAGTCGATTCTCTTCAGCACGTCATCGCAGCGCGTTCCAACCTTATCCCGAGTCTCCCTGCTTCGACCCGCAGAACTTATGCGTATCGCAGTTCAAAATTCGATTACAGGGGTAGTTTGCAGATTGACAATGTTGAAGCATCGCCAAAAAAGTATGGGTTGTGGATACATGCGCGAGGTCATTATACGACGCTCACGATAGGCCGCAAGGATAATCATTCAAGCGATCAATTATGAGCACCGTTTGATACAAGAGTGGGTGATTGGTATCTTGAAGACAATTATGAAAGAGTCAAGGGAGTCGTGACGGGGTTGATACTCAGACCATCTGAAGATGGAAAGTACACTGTGGTAGGATCAACGTACGCAAATCAGTATTTTTATTCCAAGCAGTTAGCAGGGCATCAGGAATTTCGTTTTAAGGGACATCGGGATGTCGAGGATAGCCTGGTCGGAGGATGGTATTTACATCAACTTCATAAAAAAGATATCACAGTAGCTGAGTTTGTGAACGCATGTATTTGCGCTTGGGATGGGTCGACGTATTTTGAGCAGCGTGAACGATTATAGCGTAGCCACCTGCTGGAATGGTTAAACCGGTTTCTGAACAAGCTAGTATTTGCAATATAGATTTTTGGATTTCATCAACCTGGAGAATATTTGGCAGTCACAAGTCTGCGTCAGTACCTTGATAGCTACTTGATGCCCAGATTTTTCCCATAATATTATTTACTCAATCAAATAGCTCTATTAGGTGGCGCAGGAACGGTAAGCACTGCTTCAGAAGTTGATGATCATGAATATGGCCCCGAATACTGAAGAAGTCAACATTGGGCACTTGGATCGCAGAAAACAATCGATAGAAGGAAGGCAGAGCAACTGGGGCCTTACGTGTGGAATGCATGGCAGACAGCGACTCAATGTATAAATGTGCGGAAGAATAATGACAATTGGTGTTCATTTTGAAATACGATCGGGCAAGATAGAAACAGAATAATTACCTGAGGAGGTTCTGTAGGTCGATGGGAAGGTTCACACGATTTGACACGGAAGGACGATTTGACACATGAAGAGGATGAAGACGATGTAATGTAAGTTTTGTAAGTGAGTGTTGTGTTAGCTGTTAGAAAATCCGACATGTAGTATTATGTTCAAATTCCAGATGCTAGGGTTATTACCAAATGAGCGCAGGAGCTACAGAGGCTGCAGGGGTATCCGTGGATATGCTACGGGTAGACGTGATGTGTGCGCTTTGTTGTCAAATTGTGATGCTAGTAGCGCAGTCTGGACCTTCACTAAACATGCCCGATGATGAATTATGTGACAAACAAGGTAGATGTTGGAAGGTCTATAGCACTAGTGCTGAAAGGAAATAACGATAACTAGGAATGCATTCTGTTCGGTGATGGTGATTGATTGTCTACGAACATAGCTGCTACGAAGGTATACCTAAGCTCTGCGCAAGGTGGGCCGAAGTCGGGCCGAAGTGTCCAGCAGCCGACGTCTCTACCGATACTCACGATCCGACACTGGAAGTCTTTTCTTTCTGGGTAGCTAGTAACTCTGCTTGTATCGGTAGTGACAGTATGTGTTGATGGTAACTGTGTGTAGCATCAACCATCAAAGCTTGTCGGCCTCTGCACCCATCCCTCTACTCGGACTGTCAGCTTATTGCCGTCAATAAAGCGTTCAAGAGCGCGGTTTGGCGATGCCTTGGTGAAGGCGTCTGCAGGATTGTCTTCACCATTGATCCAGCGGATCTCCGTGATCTCGCGACGCTCATATGATTGGCGCAGCGCCATGATGTCGATCATGAGACGCTTTTCCTTCGTCGTCCCAAGCTTTACTAGGCACTCGTACAAGGAGTACGAGTCTGTACAGATAACCAAGGGAATTGCAGGTAGTCTAAGTCGTTCTGTAACTATCCTCAGCGTGGTTGCAACTGCAATGCCTATGTCAAAGCCGTTGACCATGCCGTAGATCTCTGAGGCCAGTACGCTCCGTGTGATGCGCTTGCATTTTGTAGAGCTGTAGTGGATCACGTTGCCCTGTATTGTGAAGGTGTTGACGTCAATAGACTCGTTGACGAGCATAAGGACAAAGCCTAGCTGTGAGCTGAGGTCCTTGTTGTTGGCAAAGGAGCCATCCACAAAGACCATCAACTTGGCCTCCATAAGATTGACAGTGACGTAGTGCAGGCCACGATCGAGATTCTCCATCTGCCATTTCAGGCGTTTGTTGAGTGCCTTGATGTCCTCGTCTGATGGTTGCTGAGCTTGAGCAGCGACGGACAGGTCAAATGACGCCTCTGGTTGGCATGTTGATGCGATGTACGCTCCGCGGGCGCGCTGCTCGGTGTACTGTTGCGCGCGGTCGGGTGCCCTGATATCCACAAGCCTGATCCTTCCTCCTTGTCCTTTCTGCCTAAGGGTCAAGACTCTGCTGGCGTCCATCGTGAGTGTACATCCATTGAAGTCTAACTGCACTTCTGGTGTCAGCCTTGCTTTTGGCTTTGACCTGAACTCTGCCTTCTGGATCTTCTTCTCTTCACGTGACGAGAACGCTGGTGTCCCGAGCATGAGAAGTGTCGTCTGTCTGCATGCCAACGATGCCGAAGATGCCTGCGTCGTCTCTGTTCGTGATCAATAGGCATGGGTCGTACGTCGATGTTGCCATGTCCAGTTCCTTGCAATGGTGTCCGTGATACGTTGTCCCACCAGTGGACTCCTGCCTCAGCGATTCCATACAGCGGCTTGATCACATGGAGTAGCGTGCCTTCTGGATATCGATGGACTAGCTCAGTAGGAAGATGTGCGAGTATCGTCCTCTTCAGGGTTGTCTGCGCCTGGGGATACGCCTGCGTAATGTCACGGAGCTCGATGTTCATTCCGCGTTGTACCATCTCGGGCGCCAGCGACATAATCAGGCGCTGGCTACATCGCTGTATGGTTGGAGATTGCGTCAGAATAGTCTCCTTGCCGTGGTCCTGGTAGCCTTGGATAACTAGGCGGGATTTCTCATAGGGCTTGGTTGTCTTTCCCTTGACCTCACGTACTAGGCGTGACTTGAAGATCCGGATCTTGCTGTGTAGCCTCTCGTCGTATTGCTCAAATTTAAAGACTCCACGACCTACGAGGTCGCTGATCTCTTGGTCATCAGACGCTTCAAAGGGGGCGCCTGAGGTTGTGATCACTCCATCGTTACGTAGTTTGATAGCTAGCTCAAGATCGTCCTGCTCCTTCTTGGTGATGTACGCGTGCGCCTTCCGCTTGTTCTTTGACCCTGGAGGGCGGCCTCTCCTGCGTGGTTGCACTGCCGGTGGTACTGCTACCGGCTCATGCGGCTCATTCGGCGCGTGTGGCGCATCGGGGTCGCTCCAAAGGTGGTCCGGTCTGTAGTATGGCTTGACGACAGTGGATCTGAATGTCGTTGGACCATTGACCATGTCAACAGTGACGTTGTGGCCATCTGTACTGGCGATCTTGTACGGGCCATTCCAGCCATCACTCTCTCTCCATACTAAGACTTCGCTCTGGAGTGGGAGCGCGAGCATGTCTGCAGTGGCTGGTCCATTGCGGGTGTTCAAGGCGTCTGCAACTTGGCGCTCTGCCGTGATCTTGCGTAGGGCTTTCGTCGCCTTTTGAATAGCCTCGCTGCGCTTAACCATTGACGGGGATGGCGGTGACTCTGCAGTCATTCGTGGGTACGCTCCAAAGACTAGTAGCGTCGGGACTAGTCCATCGGGGCCAGCAGTATCGTTGACAGCCTTCACAGCCATCTGGAGAATCGCGTCGTCGGACATAGTGTCAGTGAGTTCTGCATAGAGTATGTCCCATGCGCGGCGTAGAGGTGCATGGTACCTCTCAGTTTTGCCGATAGACCAGTGCGCCTCCGTAGGTACTTGCTTGCATGTGACTCCCATGATCTTTGCTTCTGCGCGGAACTCTGTGCTTGCAAAGTTAGTGCCTGCGTCATGCGTGATAATGTCTGGTGGTCCTTGATACGTGTCGATCCATAGTATCCGCAGTGCTTGCCATGTTTCTTTAGCTGAGATAGCGCTAAGGAACCTCGCGCCTTGAAACGCTGTTGAGGAATCGACCACATGCAGTACAGGTTTGTTGCTCAGGTACATCACATCCACCAGGATCTCATAGTTGAAGTGGTGATCATCCTTGAGAGTGAATTTGAATCGGCGCGGTGCGGAGCTGTGGAGCTGGCAGTGGTGGCAGAACTTAGTGACTTCTTCTAGGGTTCTTTCTTCGAAGTCGTTATAGCCAGCATCCTTTAAGAGCTTAACAAGTCGCGTGACAGCTGGGTGTCCAAATCGTCGATGGAGCCGTCGCAACTCTGTCTCTGTCAGGAACACAGTTGCTCTCTCTCTTTTGTTCAGATGGAACCAAGGATGTCCCCATTTGCGAATCACCGGGATGTGTACGTCACCCTGGACTAGCTCATCTGTGGTGTTGTTAAAGTAGACCTTTAACCTGTCCATGTCTGCAAGGCACAATAAGAATGGTGTAGGTGCGTCAAGCACCTCAAAGTTGATCGTCCCAATGTCTGTAGAGACCTGTGCAGTGCCAATAGATGATGTAGCCTCGCCCTTGCCGAATTTGATAGATGCCTTTCCTGCTGTAGACGTATCCATCCTAACTGTAGGATCTTCCCTTGTGAGTGCAAGGTACTGCTCCTTGCCAACTGTGGATACGTTGGCAGCGCCTGTATCCGGTAGGATCCCTTGGTACACAGATCTTGTGTAGCGGTCTTCAAGCAGGAACTGTGACGCTGGCGCTGATGGCGCGTCTTGGCGGTATACGTCGTCGCCAGAGATGTGGTGCAAGAACGCCTGATCTGCAAGGCATTGCTCCGTGAAAAACTGGTGTTCAAGGTATGCTTCCGCGACGTCGTCATCGTCGTCATCCTCGCAGTCTTCCTCCTCTCTCCAGCCTCTCTGATTGTACTGGCTAGTGTGCTCGATCCCTTCGTATTCTGCAAGATGTACGGAGAAGTCCTTGGGGGGCTGTGTACCTGTAAAGTATAGCGTAGAGAAGAACTGTGTACGGGCAGCCTTGCGCTCTTCGTCTGTGTGGTTGGTAGACCAGCATCCTTCCTTCTGGCAAACAAAGCATTTCTTCCTCCAGCGTGGCTTGAATCCTCGTCCGTTGTCGTCGCGCTGCTCGCCTCCTCGATATGCTCCTCTGGATCCGCCTCTGAATCCTCCTCCACCTCGAGATCCACCTCGGATTCTTCCATTGCCGTTGTATCGGCGATCTAAGTAATATTGGTCCTCTGTGACCATCTGGGCAGTGTGTTGCCGTGCAAGGTGTGTCTCAACTGCAGAACGTAGGTCTGAGAAGAGTCCTTCACAGATTGTGGCTGGTTTGAACAGTGCCATCTCAAGCTCTGGTACTCCTCGGCAGGCATTGATGACAGTGGTACGTAGGGCATCCTCGCCCTCAAAGTTCTTGCCAAGGGCACGCTGGCATAGCTGCAGCTTGTCAAGCAGGATCTGCAGAACCTCGTGTAGTCCCTTGTCGGGGTTCTCTGTGCGGGTGCGAGCGAAGGTTGTAGTCGTCCAGTCTGTGTAGTAGTGCTGGTGATGGACGTCATGGTCGAAGTGGTTTTTGATTGCCATGTACGCATCAGCAAAGCTGTCATCTCTCTCTACAACCTGTATGTAGAATGTCTCTGCACGTCCGGTAAGGATACGGGGAAACACTGCGTGAAACTGCTCTTCTTGGATATCTACCTGCCAGCAGATGCTGAAGAAGATCTTGATCTTATCGTCTAGTAGATCGTACGCATTCCCTGTATACTTGTTGCTATTGTCCCATAGCTTAGAGAACTGCGTGATCGTATTAGCGTCGAGTCGATCGTTGCGGGACCATCGCGGCGGTAGCGTCTTGTACGGGTCGTATGGTAGTTCGGGTGGTCTGTTAGGGACGCGGTTCGTTGGCTGTTGCGGAAATGGCGTGACTTCGCGATATGCAGTCGCTGGCGGCCGTGTCTGTAGTTGCGCACGCCCTTGTTGCGGCTGCGCGGCCTGCTCCCACAGTTGTCGATGCTGAGGCCCTTCTAGCGTACCGCTCATGTGTAGCGGCTGTTGTGGCTCTATTGTTTGGGAACGGCTCTGGACGCCTTGTCTCACTCTATACTGCTCTTGTTGCTCGCCCTGCGACGGTCGTTGTAATTGCGACGGCTGTGGTACTTGCGGTGGCTGTTGTAATTGCGGCGGTTGTTGTAATTGCGGCAGTTGTTGTACTTGCGGTGGTTGTTGTACAGCTGGATAGACTGTGTGCTGAGTGTCCTGTTGGCGTTTATTGCTCTGCTGGCGCTGGTACGCTTCGGACTGTTGGTCGAATTTCATGGCTCGAAACTCTGCTGGTTCCCATTCAAGAGTATTCTCTATACCTAGAATGTTGTAGAGAGAGTCCGCCACCCTGGCGTGATTGTTGCCAGTGTATACTCCCCGGTGTCGTAGCACACTCTTAAGAGACCTTAGTGTACCACGCTCAACCTTGCTAAATAGCTCCTTCGTCCATCCTTCAAAGTCCCATTTGTAGTCAATGAAGAGGTCATCGTCCCAGGCCATTGACACATTGTAGTCGTGGATAGCTTTAGCGACCCACGTTGTTGCGTGTGTCTCATTTGCGTCCGCCGGTGCGGGTACACCCCAGAGAGCTGTATTGATGACCTTGAGTGCAACTGTGTATGGACAGTTTTCCATAAGTTGTTCCGCGGTAAATTTGGCCCATGGTGAGTCTAAGAGGTGTTCTGATTGCTCATTCTGTAGTTGATTCTGAGCTTCAGCAGAGTCTGCAGAGCTTATTTCGCTTTGGTTATCCGCCATCTTGCTAGCGGGTGTTGACGCGTTGTCGGTGTTGTTGTCTCGCTGGTTGGTCGTGCCAGCGCTTGTTGTTGTACGTGATCGGATCGTCCGGAGACGCTCGTACGGTTGAGTTGTATTGCGTTGCTGACGCGCTCTGTGTTCGCGGATTAAGCTAAACCAGCAGCTGTAGAGGGAGGTTAAGAGTGCTTTGTGTTATCTCTGCCTCGCTCTGTTCTTAGCACAGAATCTTCTCCCGGGAGTATAACGTCGTGCGTCAGGGAGTTCGTCGAAGATGCGGTCTGTCTCTTCTACCTTGCTGTCTGTGATCGCCTTAAGCAATCACTGATCAGTGTTGGAAGGTCTATAGCACTAGTGCTGAAAGGAAATAACGATAACTAGGAATGCATTCTGTTCGGTGATGGTGATTGATTGTCTACGAACATAGCTGCTACGAAGGTATACCTAAGCTCTGCGCAAGGTGGGCCGAAGTCGGGCCGAAGTGTCCAGCAGCCGACGTCTCTACCGATACTCACGATCCGACAGTAGAAAAGCAAAGTTTGGTTGAGGCCGACTAATGTGTACTAAGCATGTCTGAAGTGTACCATATTCGCGCGGTGTGAAAGTCGGAGATGCGGGACGGAAGAGGCCGGGAGGTAGCGGAGTGAGGGACATGTCACGTTTCAATGTAACAAAAGAACGAGTGGTTGTGGCGGACCTTGTTTGTTTGAGGCCCAGGGGGGCAGAACAAGCACGTGGTGGCAGGTTGACAGGCAGATCTCAGGGATAGGCGCCGCATGAGACAGTCTTTGCCACGCAACCTGTTGTTGGTGTCGCAGGCTACCGAATTCGATGACGTTTGGTGATGTTCCAAGTTTGTGTTTCAACGCTTGCGGATGAGCCGAAGCCCCACCTGAAGATGACTATGAACATCACCACAGCCGATGCGCAATGCAAGCAGGTGAAGGAGTGCTTGTAGGGGTGGTTGCAAGAGCGGTCTTATAAAAGGACCGAGCCGCATCTCCTTTTCGACATGATGAAGGCCAGGAACAGGCTAGCGCTGAAGCTAGAGATGCACCAATCTGGTGTAATGTAAGGTGTTTCAGAATGGGGCAGGGGCATGGCGTTCGGGGAAAGAGCGACCAAGGAGGACCCCAAAATAATTCAAACTCCTGCCTGGCTCCCAGACGACATCTCATCCACGACGTGACCCCGCCCCGACGTACACGCGCATTGCTATTCACTTGTCCGTCTTGCCCGTCTCGGCCACATCACCGTGACTCGCATGTTCCCCATAGACCCGCGCCCGACCTCCGCACCGCCGCCGGTGCCTCAGCCGCTCCTTCGTCGACAAACGACCAGATAACGCATGCGACGCCTGTAATCCTCCGCTGGACGACACGCGCGATTCTCCATCTTTATTTCATCACCGCAGCAACACGTCTCACGCTTACCGCATCCCTACGACTTGAACTGGCCATCGATTGCGCAAACCTGCTTGGCCATTGTTTGACGACCGAAGAACGACAGACGGTGAAAGTGCGGAGGGGGATGAGCTAGGATGACGCGACCTCATATAATCAGAGCAGGTACGCACATGGGCAAAAAGGCGCGATTTGGCGTGCACTGGCTAATTGGGGAGGATAGACACGATCGATCTACAGGACAAGACGTCGCCCACCGCCCAGGACCATTCTCAGCAGCCACAGCACCCGGCACCTCTTGGAATAGGCCCAGCCGCGCCTCATCAACAGGCCGCTATTCGACATGTAGAGGAAGAGCGCCATTCCGAAGAGGCGCGTCTGCACGACGCCTGGAGCGATGCTGGCACGACGCTGCAAGACGACCCCGGCTCCGATGACGAGCGCACGGTTGTGAACAATTCCAATGGTCAGAGGGGCGCCGGTCAAGATGATCAGGCTGTCAAGCTAAACGGGGGTACTTCTGGCGACAGTGACGATGCGGACATGCAGGACGCCGATGAGGAGGACATGGACGATGACATGATGGACAAAATATCGAGCTCGCCCTCGATAGACGATGGTGGGTATCCCTTACCTTCCTACCCTGCCTTCTGGCCGGCAAGACAAGAGTCCTTGACTCCGCAGTCTTCGCCGATAACAGTCGCTTCTTCTTCTTCCCCCTTCACGAACACACCCCTTCATTTCCCTATTTCTGTCGCATACGCTCGAAGACCACTCAGCGTCCCAGCGTGCGAGACATCCCCCTTGCCCAAGAATCGGCCAACGTCGATTCCCATCCCATTTCGATTCACGCCAGCAAAGTACATAGAGTCAACGGAGCATCATCGTGGTGAGTATACCTGGACAAGGACCACCGATGGACCGGACAACGCGAATGTGGATATCACAGTGGGTGTGAGCCCAAGGACTGCACATTTGAGGGTGGTCGAACGCCGCATACAGGCGATGAGAGAGGACTCGCAAGCGTCCATACTCTCTGAACTTGATGAGGAGCACTTGAGGAGTGTGTTGAGACCGATCAGCCGTACCTTACTGGACAAATCGGACGATCCGTTTCTGGAGCCCATCTCGAGCCCCTCTCGAAGAGCGAATGATACCTCTTCACCAAAGGCAGCATGCTTCGAAGACGAAGAAGATGGTTGGACTACCGACACTGACGCCGATTCCTGGGACGAAGACCTAGACCAAGACAACGATGATGCACCCGATGACGTTTCCTTTTCTGAAGACTCCAGATTTATCGACTCAGGTTGGGGAGGCGAATGCTTACGAGAAACAGAGGATATCGACTTCGAATTCGTCTACGCCCTACACACTTTTGTCGCGACCGTCGAGGGTCAAGCAAACGCAACAAAAGGCGACACGATGGTATTACTTGATGACAGTAACAGCTACTGGTGGCTGGTACGAGTCGTCAAGGACAATAGCATTGGTGAGTATCTGTGGTCTATTTTTGAGCCTCGCTAACCAAATTTGTAGGTTACCTGCCCGCAGAACACATCGAAACGCCCACAGAACGGCTAGCGCGTCTCAACAAGCACAGAAACATCGATCTTTCAGCGACGATGCTCGGCGATACAGCAGAGAAATCCAAGAACCCACTTAAGAAGGCTATGCGACGGAGGAATGCGAAGACAGTACAGTTCGCACCGCCTACATATGTCGAAGCTTCAGACTACGACTATTCATCGGATGAGGGTGAAGGCGAGCTTTTTGGTGGCCCGGAGCCCAAGCAACAGCAAGCAGCCGCACAAAACGACGAAGCTGCCCAGGAAGGCGACCTACAGGTACAACCGCTCAAGGTTAACGGCGGAAAGAAGGATGCCAACGGCCAAATCGATGGCGATGTACGAAGCTCAAGCGAAGACTCTGCCAAACGAGGAGAAGACCAACAAAGAGGAAGTGAAGATGCGGTTGACCGGCCATTGGATCCCAAAGTATCACGTAATGGTACGGTTCGAAACACAGACTCGTTCTTTAAGGACGAAAATACCGAAACACGCAAAATCACACTCACCCCTAATATCCTCCGCGACGACTCGAATCCAGCAGCGGGAGGCAATCGCGAGCGCGGGGCCAGTCTTGAGAGTTTGGAGAAGAATGGATTTGCAGATAAAGTCAAAGATGATAAGAGGAAGAAAGAGAAGAAGTCGGGAATGCTCAGTGGGCTCTTCAAGCGCAAGGACAAGAAGGGCAAGGGTGCGCAGGGTTCCATAGATGATGACATTGAGAAGCCAGATGAGGCTGATCGTAGCTCGCCACAGTCGAAACCATCGGATGAGTCCTTGGAGCGGCCATCGGCTGAGCAGACGACAACTACGGCATCGGCGCCCGCCAGGCAATCAAGTAAGGGCAAGCTGCACAAGAATCAGCGTAGCCGGGACGATTCTCCACAAAAGACCAAGGGTATCTTGAAGACCGAAAGCCCGACCGAGATGACTGCAGAGTCGGAAATTCAGCCGGATGACAACCAGCCTGCTGCCCAACAAACCACATCGTCTGTGCGTCTGGTATCACCAGAGCAGGGTGACACAGTCAAACCATCCGTAGAAGAGCAGTCGGCAGTATCTAGTCCAGCATCCAATGCTGGGGCTTCGAGGAATCCGTTTACGAACATGATGAAGCCCCAACAAGAAGGGGAAGTCAAGCGGGAAAAAGTACACAAGGCAAAGCAGCGTATGCAGCTCGATGACTTCGACTCGGATGAGAGCAGCGATCCTTTTGCGGATCCTGACGCTCAGAGTAAGCCGGCCAAGACCGAGGCATCCGAAAAACCCGGGCGCCTTTCAGAATCGCCAGTCCATGTCTCTGCAGCAGATGCGCAACCATCGCAGAAAGAGAATACAACGGATAGAGACAAAGAGTCGGACGTTCACCATGTTCCCGGTCTGTCGACCGATAGCTCCAGCCAAGAGACAAGCTCGCCAATATCAACGCCAACACCCGACGACAGCCCTATGAAAACCATCCCAGAGGACACAACAATTTCCAAATTTTACTCTGAAACCCCTTCAACTACACATACTACCATGAATCCACCCGGCCCCCCACCTTCCGGACCCGCGCCCATGCCCTCAAAGGATCGCGAACCCTCACCACCCGTCTCCTCCGAAAGTACAATGCTACCCGCATGGTCTGACGCCTCCCTTCGCGCCTACCTGGACGACGGCAGCGAAATTCGGGACATGTTGGTTGTCATCAACGATACCACCGGCGTCGTACCCGTGGGTCCCGACCACCCTTGGATGAAGGACTACCTCGCCGAGGAAACGAAAACTATGCAAGGCTTGAGCGGTGAGCTGGACCGGTTGCTCAACGGGCTAATGGAAAAATCAATGAGGAGGGCGGGGAGCGGCGCGAGTAAAGCCAGTACGCGTAGTGCGAATGGTAACTTGACCGCAGGGAGGTTTTGATAAGAGTACCGGTTGCAGTTGCGAATACGGCTTTTATACTATTGGTTGGTGGTTTCGTTCGAGCATTGCTTTTTTCCTGTTTCTATTGTTCGTATACCCCTAGGGACCTTTTGTGCTCTTTTTATTTCCTCGTTGATGGGACAACCTTGAACTGGCGTCTTCTGGGATATCGTGTGGGATGTCATTATGTGGGATGAAATCTTGGGATGTTTGTTGTTTTCCCCTTCTTTTCGTAGCTGGGCTTTTTTATCTTCTGATCCCCTCCAGCTTCTGCTTTGTTATATTCGACTTCTAAGCCTTGTCGTTCTGCTGGTTCGAAGTTTCGTGCTGCTGCTGCTTTGCACGCTTGTTCAGTTGAACCATGTTGGCGTATCTTTCGATATCCCCAATAACTCTCGCTGTCGATCTCTCGCTCTCCTTTTTTCTTCCTCTCTCTTCATATCGTTTGCCTCGGCTGGGCTGGTAATAGACATTTTCATAAGCAAAATTGTCTCTAATACCCCTGTAAATTTTGAGTTCTCTCATCGCAGCTCTCTCGTTCGTTACCACAGCGCTCGCTAAACCTGCTCTCATTGTCGTTCGTGGTAGTGGTAGTATTTCTAGTCTCTGTACGGTGGGTGGCGGGCGTTTGTTTGTCTGTACTAGCTATGTAGCTGAAGTTTTATGGAGTTGTGCACCTCCCTGTGGGAGGCAGTATCGTGCTGTATGACTTGGTTGTGTGCTTGATGTGTGATTTGCGATACCACAGTACAGGTACGATGGTGTGCTGAAGTGCTAGACACGGGCGATGTAGACGTCCTGGTTTGTCGCGGGGCCATGCACTAGACCCGAATGGGATGGAGCGAGCCCATATATAAACCCCTTCTTTCTCGCTCATGCCTTCCCTCCTCTTCTTCCACATCTCCATCATATCACCAAAAACACCTTGTCCAAAACACATGTATTCATTCGCCATACCTATTCTTTCCAAACTTTACCGATCACGAGCTATGTCAGTTCCTCATCTTTACTCAAAACATTTCCTAAACTACCTTGTACGAGAATAAAATTCTACAATGTCATATCATGCTGCTGCCTTCCTGGCATCCCTTCTCCCAGAATTCCTCAAAACCCAATATGCCTAGATGATGGTTGGGGTGCGCTGCCTGCCTGCACTAAAGACTTAGAAATAAGAAACATGCTAACGCATGGCTCTTGTGTGGTTCCACTCTTGAATTGATAATTGCGGAAAAGATATGGCATTTGTGCGTGTTTGACTTGAGAACAAAATCATGCGCAGCGAATGATATGTTGGGGAGTCTTCTGGACTAACTGCGTTAGTGCCGACAGTGGAATGATGATATAAAAGATCTCTGCACCCAGCTGTTCTTCTTCACTTTCTTCCTCACTTGATTTCTGCAAGTATTAAAAATTCCTTCACAGCAGAAATATGTGTTCTTCCGCCTTTTCACTTTCTAAAAGCCTTCAACACTCACATGGATAATCTTTTCCCCTGCTACTCTTGCACATGAAAAGGTCAGAAGATGATACTTATGAGAGATATGGACGTTGCCTGGTTTCTTTAAAACAAAGAAGCGGGCGCTAATGAGCGGGATGTCTGCGTGAGAAGTCTTTGAAACTTATTATTTTGCGGCTTCTGCTGCGTTTGGAGTTGCACATTAAACATGAGTTTAAGAAGTGGATGTGTTTTTCCCCTGTTTTTTTTTTGGGTTGCAAACAGGCAAGTGTGTGCGAGTATCTAAACTTTTGTGGGAGGGGGTCTCATCTTCCCGCAAATGTTTGATACTGTTAACTACTGGATTTCTGGAAATTGGAAAGGTGGAGAAGGAAAAATAGTTCTTTTCGAAACGGTGACTCTTATGTTGGGAATCGAACCTGCGGTAGATAAGGCAGCGGGTTGCTGCATGCACGAGCTTGGATTACACAGCTGACTAAGCCGTGTGGTCCGAGCTCTATCTGCTGCCTTACTGCCGACCTCCCTCCACCTCTATAGACGAACAAGAACAATCATAATCATTTCAACTCGTTGCAACGAAGGTGATTCCGATACCTTAGCCGTATTAACATCTTAAGTTTATATGTATTTCTTCTCTCTCTGTGTGCTACCAAAATGCCCAGCAGTTCTCAGCTATGTCCGAATTTCCCAACGTTCCAAAAGGATGGTTGAAAGGACAATGCTTTGTTTTTTTCTTCTCTAGGTGTAAAAATCAGACGATGAATGCTATAGGTTTCCACACATCCAAAAAGTTGCGGGTTTCCGCGTCATACCTTATCCTTCCTCCGAGATGGTTGTTCTACTTATGCCAGAAATTTCCGTCTCCGTTTGACGTGTCTGCTGTTTCGCTAAGACATTCAAATTATGGATACATGGCCTTGGAATGAGTCAACAGGACTCATCATGTGTGATGCTTTGGGATTGCCAGAAAATGTATAAAGAGCAGCTTTTGCTAGAACCCGAAACAAACATGAACCATGTTATGCTGCTGCCGCTCGGTGCAGGGGGTTATCGCATTGTCCCAGCTTTTACTTTGAACTTGCCAAAATCCTACTAAAAATCTAAAGTCGTGATTCACATGTGTGCTGCTGCTTCTCGTTCCAGGGTGTTGGATTCTACTTTAAATATTTCCTCAGCTGTCTAGAGACTTGGACTCTACCACCAACTTCTACACTTCTACTCTTCAAAACTCAACACCGATGACTTGTGGACGAGCCCCGGTGGTGTGCCTTGGGGAGCATAATTCATCCTCTACTAAACGTCGACTGTCAGGCGCTATGTCGCTATGTTCTCGGCTGTAAAATGGAGATTAAAATAAAGCATTGCTATCTGCTAGGTTTCAAGACTAGTGTTTCTTTGGGGTTTTCCTATATGTAAGTCTTTTTCGAAGCAAACCCAGCATCTCTCCTACAACATTGAGAAAGCTACCAAAATGGCTATATCTCCAAAATTACGAATATTCCCTGCGCATATGTGGAGACCTTCTGTTGATACGGCTAAAGTATCGGAATCACCTTCGTTGCAACGAGTTGAAATGATTATGATTGTTCTTGTTTTTCTATGGAGGTGGAGGGAGGTCGGCAGTAAGGCAGCAGCTAGAGCTCGGACCACACGGCTTAGTCAGCCGTGTAATCCAAGCTCGTGCATGCAGCAACCCGCTGCCTTATCTACCGCAGGTTCGATTCCCAACACCTTCCCTCCCAATTACCTAAAAGTAGCACATTCAAAAACATCATCCTGTTCATTCACGTTTTATCGAAAACTTGAAATACTTGTGTGTACTTGAAAACATCGTCTCGCCAACCATGTAGTCTTGTTGGCACCTGGTCTCTCTTATTGGCTATTTAGACAAATCTTCCTTGTCCAGGTTTCTTCCCCTTTCTTTATTCCTTCCACTCAAATTGAAATCATGAAATACCTCCGGTATGACTGAATACTCAAAAAACAAACGGAACCGTCAGATGGCCGTCTGTTCTGTTGCTCTGGCAAGCATAAACATTATATCTAATATTTATCGTGGTGTGCCTTTCGCTGAACTTTTTATCGTTCCCTGAAATTTGAGAAAAAGGAAAAAAATTGTAAAAATTCCCTGCAAAATACGTGGATGTGGCTTCTGGTCGCTTCTACTAGGCCATACTTAGACTCGCCGATTCTTCCAACATCTTTAATCTCTTCTTCCTTACCATGTTTAAATTGCACAGGAGTCAATTCAAAAAAGCAGGAATCAGGAGTGGCATGGCGACTCTTTTTCTCTGCTTTCAAAACTACTGAAAATGCACTTCACTATAGTTACCCCTATAGCTTTCTATTCCCCTTTTCATCGAAATAAAAAGCATGTGGTTCTCTTTAATGACTGCTTCTGAAGTCCGTTTACAAGCCAGAAATGACGATACCTCTTCTCCGCTTCTCTAGCATATTTAAACTCGATGGTTCTATACCGGTATGCCTCTATCTCTCTTCCACTCTGTTATGGAACCTTAAACTAAAGAGATTGAATTCCAATGTATGTGGACTGTTCCCACATGTAATTGCATTTTATCTCAAAAAGTACCATAAAACCGACATGTTGCTGGACTTCCTCCTTATTATCTTTTACCAATCACAACCTCCTGCTCCCTCTGCTTTCAAACCCATGGATTGAAGTCAAAATATGACAGCGCTAGATATATCACTCTCGCTCTTCCACTCTTTCCTAAAACTCCAAACCAAAGATACTGAAGTCCGATACTATGTGGGCAGTTTCCCCACATACTTGCAGCATTCCTGAATCAGTCACTTCCGCATTGAATGTCGGTGGACCACCTTCTTCCTGCTTCTTCTTACCTTCTATCCTTCTACTGAAACTCTTCTCTGTATTTTCCAAAACCCCCGAGCCGGGAGGACATTTCTTCTGCTCTCCTTTTTAAAAATATGCAAGTCAAAAATAACATGTTCCGTACGTCTAGTAAAAACTTAAATACACCTATCTGTTCTATATGAACTTGTGAATCACCGAAAGAAGTATTTCAAAAGGCGGAGAAGCAGATCGAATGGGGGGGGGGGGGGGGGGGAACTTGTGCCAGCACTTCCACACTAAAAAAACCAATACAAACTGCATCATGCCGTCCCGTGTTCTCTTCCTCTTTTTCCTCCTATTGAAAATGCGATGCAATAAAAGCTCTAAATCCCAGACTTTCCAACAAGCAAGTAAAGCAAGTCACCGCTCTAAACTTGACTTGCTTGGTTCAAACATAGGCTTTACTTGACTTGCTTGGGGTGATTTTTTTACTTGCTTGACTTGCTTGTATTACTTGCAAGTACTTGGATTACTTGACTACTACAAAGAGATTAAGCTACATACAAATTACCAAAACTCAGTGTTCCACTCTAGTATGTTGTAATCTCCTACAAGCTGCTCATCTGAAAGCTTAGCCTCGCTACAGTTGTACGGTTTATAACCAGCTCGCACCCATGACCTTACTAATTGAAGAGCTGCGAGTAGCTCACTGCCCAGAGCACGTCGTTTAGGTTCAAGAAGGTCGCCAAGCTCACTGAAGAGGCGCTCACAGTCGCTGCTTGATGCTGGGATAGTCATGATATCGATTGCAAACTGCGCTAAATGCGGGTATTTCGGCAGTAGTTGTATCCAGTATTGGACAGGATTTCCATCTGCGTTGTACTGCTCCTGCGTCCACTGCGGCTCTTGTGTTTTCCAGCGCTCAAACTCGTCAAGTGGAGCCTCTCGGTCATTGTTGCGGCTAAGTATAGCAATAATTGCCTCGTCTATGTTGTTGCTACTCGGCGCAGTTGTATACCGCTGGCGTGCTCGTTGAGGTTTGTATGCCGCCCAAAGCTGTTGGAACGACGCGTTGGCACTAGTAAGCCAATCAGCTTTGTCTGCCCACGCCACATCGCAGTAGTTCTTGTAGTACGGGTGTAGGCAAACAGCGGCGTAGTAAGCGGGCGAGTCGTCGAGCTTGTTGTAGTAGTCGTTGGCTTTGCTCCACGCGGCGCGGAGGTTGACGTTGAGGTGATCCTCTGGAGCCTCGGCATGAGCGTTGAAGTCGACGTGCTCGAACGGGCGCGCCCGGGCCTCAAGCTTGCTGAGTACGTACTCAAAAACGGGTATAACCTCATAGATTGCGCCGTATTTGCCATCCTTAGAGCGTCCCTCGAGGCGTTTTGTGGCGTACTTGAGCGGCTCTAAGCAGTCCTGGTACTCTGCAATCACCGCCCAGTCAGCAGCTCGGAGCCCAGTTGATCTCATCCAGTTTGGGGCGTCGGGCCGCTTATTATTCCGCTGCGCAGCGTGCGCATCTTCAAGGATAACCCTATTGATATGATGCTCAGCGTACAAGTTATACGCGGCTTGAAGCTTGGTAGCGCGCTCAAAAGCAGCATAGTATGAGTTCCAGCGAGTGACGACAGGCTTGACTGGCTCGAGTACTTTGAGACGCCCTTCAGCAGGCAGGTTGTTGTTGGCAAGGCGCTGGTAGCCACGAAAAAGCTCGTACTGTTGCGGCGTTTTGATATAGTTGATGACGTCAACTAGCACTCCAATAGGGCCATCTTTCCGCCACTCTCGCATATACTGCTCCTCGGTATTGTACTGCTCTTGAGTGTTGCCGTAGGCGTCTTTGTTGGTGCCAAATATAATAGCCTGGCCGATGAGGTTAAGCGTGTGACAACTGCAGCGGAGGCGCCGGTGAGCGGACTCAAATTCGTACTCGCGCGCGAGCGCGGCGATCGCAGTGTCGTTGTTGGTAGCGTTGTCGAGTACAAAATAGCCTAATCGGTCGCTTGTTATTCCGTATGCTGAGAGCGTCGTCGAGATAGCTTTGGCAATAGCCTCACCGGTGTGGGCGCCAGCGAGCTCAGGCAGATCGATTGGTAAGTCTCGTATTATTCCAGCTGCGTCGGCAAAGTGAGCGACTACTCCAAAGAAGCCACGTTTACCACCCTTTGTTGTCCAGCCATCAAAGCTTACGTGTATTTTGCTTACTGAGCCTGACAGGGTGTCGATAACTTGCGGTCGTATAGACCGGAACAACCTCATCACAAAGGTAGAAACGCTGGTATTACTTACCCACAACGCTGCCTCTGCCTCTGGGTTGGCAAATCTCATCATCTCTCTAAAATCAGGCGTCGTAAGTTCGCTGAGCGGGTGGTTTCGGTTAACAAGCCACATGACAGTGGCTGTTCGAAAGCCCTCTACGTCGAAGTTTCCAAACGCGTTAGCAGTGTTTTGTTGTACGTCTAAACCAGCGTCAAAAGCTTGCCGCAACGACAGCTGGCCTCGAGCTCTCTGCGCTAACTTTGGGCCATCTTTCGTAAGGTTGTGGCCAGGCTTTGGTTGGCTGAGATGGGTGGCTGCTGAGGTTGTAGCCTGAGTAATGTTAAACAAACCACCACGGCCAGCGTCGATAGTTTTGTGTACATGGCAGTACTTGCACACAAACCAGATTCGAGATGTAGCATGGCGCTCAACAACGCGGTAGCCATACTGAAAGATCCAACTTTTTGGGCGCTTAGAACGCGCCAATGGCTTGATAAAATCAGGTAAACGTGCCCAGTCAATGCCGTCAAAGTTCTCAACTAGTGCGCTGTTTGTCTCATCCTGACCACCCTCTCCAGCCTCAGTTGTAGCCACCGTGCCAGCTCGGCTGCCCTCGGTGGGCGCGACAATCTCAGCCTCCGCCTGCGACTCTAAGAACTGCAACTCGAAGGTAGGTATTGGCGGCGAGGCGTTAGCCTGGCTTGCGGCAGCTAGGGTTTTGCGAGGTGATCGACGCTGAGGTCTAGGCTTAGATGCAGGCTTAGATGCAGGCTCAGGTGAAGCCTCAGGAGTTGAGGCGACGTTGTTGGTGGCAGCGGCTACTTTCGTACGTTTGCTCCGAGCAGAAGTTTGTGGTAGGCGACGTTTGGCCATATTGGGGGTATCAGGGCAGTATAAATCACTGGAAAACGCGTTGCTATAGGGGATACTGCATTGCGATAGGCTTCTAGACAGGCGTACGTCGAGATTGGAGCAATGCGCTAGACTAAGGCTAACGTTATTTGATAGCCGCTTAGCCTGTTTGGGACTCAACCGAGGCAACTGCACACTTCAAACCATCGCGACATCTACCGTACAGCAGTTTTAGCACCTCATCATTCAACGCTAAAACAACCAAGTAAACCAAGTAAGCCAAGCAAGCAAAGTATCTTGACTTGACTTGCTTGCTTAGCTGCCCAGCTCTTACTTGACTTGCTTGCTTGGTTTAAACCAAGCAAGTCAAGCAAGTAATCCAAGTCAACTTGCTTTTTGGAAAGTCTGCTAAATCCTAAACCATACTCTCCATGATCAGCGATCTTGTAGAAATGCCCATAACAACATCGTATGTCGCTGCTCTGCCTCCTCTCTCCCAACTTCAAAACTGTCAGTATCCCTCTGTGAATTCTCCGGAGAACCTCAAATCGATATATACTTTGTATGGCCTATAATCTAAAACATCAACACCAATGACGCATGCCTTCCCGGCACCGAGTGTCATTCACATTTTTTTCCACGCGCGCTGTTTTCCTGCTCAAAGTAAATACGCTGCATGTATATGTTCCGAGAATGGAACTTTGTGAAAGGGAAATAGCTTCTAAAAGCTTACAGAGAGCTATTGAATGTGCGGGTTTGGGAAGTTTTTGATGAAATATACATGCCTTGGCGCTATGTTTCTGAGGCTATGGGGGACGTCCGATCTTGGATCAGGGCCGAGCTGTAGCTGTAATTGTTTCTACTTTATTCTTCGTTTAGGAGCGAAAGTTCTTGGTCCCATGTGGGTGAGTACAATGGTACTCGAGAGCACAACGACTATGTTTTCGATTCACGAGAAAACTGAGTGTAAAACATGGCAACATGCCATTACCTCTATCTTTACAAACAAAAAATGCCACAACTCACGCTCCCGTCATCTCCATCTTCACGGCAACCTCCTTCTCCTCTACATCCTCATCCTCTACGCCCCCAATCCCTAAGCCCCTCGCAATTCCTGCCAGCCTTCTCTTCTCCTCCTGCGCCGTCGTATCCCCAAACACGGCATCCATCTCCTCGAGACTCCTGCCTCTTGTCTCCGGCACAAGAAACCACGTAAACACCGCCGCGATAGCAGCAAATCCCGCAAAGAAAATATACGTTCCAAACCCGATCTTTTCCAGCATATCCGGTGTAACCAAGCCGATGATAAAATTGCACATCCACGTCGATGAGGTAGTTAGGGACATTGCTTTTGAGCGGTTGCCGAGGTTGTAAATTTCAGATGGCAGCACCCAGCCGATGGGCGCCCAGGAGTAGGAGAAGTTGACGTCGTAGATGTAGATGAAAGCTATGCCGGTCCAGCCCGCGGAGGGGTGAGAGCGCAGTGTGTCGCCGTAGGCGCCGATTATGCCGCCGACAATTAAAAGAGAGATGCAGGTTCCGACGGCGCCGCTGAGCAGAAGGGGGCGCCGACCGATCTTGTCGATCAGGAAGAGGGCGGGGAGCGTAGAGAGGGTGTTCACTAGATCGAGATATTAGCAGATACTCTGACACAGATACTTTTCCAAGGCTCTGAGTATGCTGATTGAGGTTTCTAATGCATGAAAAATCTCAGGTTTGGTTTTGGGTTATACCATTGAGGTTTTACATACCGATCCCGTAGACACCTGTTGCAAGCAACCCCGTCGTCTTTCCTGATAGACCCAATTGAGCAAAGATCGTCGGAGCATAGTAGATAATCGCATTGCATCCGATAAATTGTTGCATAAACATGGTAATACAGCCGATGGCAGTACGTTTAAATGATGGCCATGTCGAGAAGAGTGTACCGTAACCAGCAATGTAGAGCGAGGCACCATTCTTTCCAGGGAACTTTTCTGCGTTGTACGAGGCCTCAAACATGACCTCTGCTTTGATAGCGAGGTACTCCTTCTGAACCAGCTCGTCGTCTGGGCTGGTGCGGCGGACACGCGCCAGTGCTCGGATGCCGTCTTCTTCGTTGTCGCGCATGCAGTAGTACCGAGGTGATTCGGGAAAGAACAGCATACCAATGCCAAGGACAAGGCCAGGAAATATCTGTAGTGCAAAGGGAACGCGCCAGGAAGCGTCGCTTTGGCCGGTGCAGCCGTTCGGACCGATATCTTTGTATGGGTCGAAAGTTGGTTCGGACGGTTTACCTCCGGTGTAAGGGATGTCGGGCGCACAACGTGTACCTCCGATATATTGCGTACCAAATTCGAGCCAGTAGGAAACCAGGATACCGAGGGTGATGGAAAGTTGTTGTAGAACGACTAGAGTGCCTCTGATACCGGCGGTGGATACTTCGCTCATGTACATGGGCACGATCATCGTTAGCATACCAACTGAGAAACCTGCGATTGCTCGGCCTGTTGAATTCTGTAGTCAGTATGATACAACCCACGAAATTGTGAGAATAACATACCAGCAAAAGCCATGCTGATATTGACGGCTCCAGCTTGGAGTGCGGAGCCAATGGTGAAGATAACAACAGCTATCATAATGGATCCTTTGCGACCAAAACGATCGGCTACTGGGCCGTTGACTAGAGAGCCAAACCAAGCAGCCAGTAGCAACGTTGAAACGAACCAACCCTTGAAGGAGCTGTCTAGGTAGATCCTAGGGAAGGCGGCGGCAAATGACTCCATGGTCAGCACGCCTGAGACTACTCCTTGATCATAACCGAAGAGGAAACCACCGAGTGATGCAAACTACACAATATTAGTCGAGAAAAATATGGCAAGAATTGAAGTTGACTTACAGCCGATAAACCGAGAAGATAAGGATTTTGACGCAGCTCTTTATAAACGCTCTTCTTCTCGCCAACCCCAAGGCCAGCAGCTTCTGTTACCGAAGCCATATTCGCAAGGCCGTTACTCAAAGTACAAAAAATCCAATACTAGCCAGAGACGAGATGAAGATCAAGCAAGTTACGAGACGAACATGTCAAGCTTTATACGATTATTCAGCCAAATACAACTGGAGAGATCATAAGTTATCTCGAGTCAGAAAAACTTCGGAGCGCTATCGGCCGACTCCACAACATTCCCCATACCTGCAACATTAGCCTGGTTCCTGTGTGGGTTACAACAACTTTTCCCCGCATGATGTATGGCAGAGTTGCCTGATTCAGATAGTAGAACGGGGGTAGTTGAACATGACTTATGCTCGGACCACTGTCGTCCGACCAACCCCACAATATCATTCTTGTTTCTACGTAAGGCTGCACGTAACGTGTGCGACGACATTTGTAGCCGTCCTGTGTTACTGCTCCTTTCCGTGCGGCTTGTATGCTTGTCGTGTCTTGTTCCATAGGAGCCCAATTCCATTGCCGTCCCGATATCATTGAAAATGGCCAACGACTCCGAAGTGGATACCATCCCGACAGCGATCCTTGATTTGGTCAGGCGCACGGAAAGGCTTCTCGTGCGCCAAGCATCTAACCCCAGTCAACGCATGCTCGTTGCGCTTGCAGGTGTGCCTGGTTCGGGAAAGTCTACAGTATCTGAAGCGCTCCTAGCCGAGCTCGCGAAACAAGGTGTACAAGATGTCGCTGTCGTGCCCATGGTAAGAGCTATCCGTGTCTAGAGTGCCATGTTCGCTAAAAGATGTACCAGGATGGCTTTCATTACACTCGGGAAGTTTTATCGACTTTTGAAAATTCCGAACTGGCCTTTAAAAGACGTGGCGCTCCGTTCACGTTCGATGCCGAGGGATGCGTAAAGCTTGTGAAATTGCTTAAATCAACGCCTGTCACTGTGCGGGGTGAAGATGATTTGTGTATTGCTGCGCCTAGCTTTGATCATGCACTCAAGGATCCAGTGCAGGAGGGTGTCCGTATCTCTTCTCGTATCCGACTTGTGATTATAGAAGGCAACTACACTCTTCTAAGACAGAGTCCGTGGGATCAAATTGCAGAGATCTGCGACGAAAGGTTGGTGACATGAACGCCCATTTCCATACAAGTGAACGCTAACACCGGCAGATGGTTTGTCGATGCGCCTCCGGAGAAGGTTCGTGTTCGCTTAGCGCAGCGTCACCTTGCTGCTGGGATCGAGACATCGATGCCGGCTGCCATTGCGAGGGCCGAAGAGAATGACATCCCGAATGGCGAGTTGATACGGTCGATGCTCATGAAGCCGGACGTCATCATTCAAAATTGAAGTTGAATGCTATGTTCATAGCGAAGTAGACATCTGCCTTTTGACTCTAGAAGCCGTTTCCAGTCAAGTCCCAATCAAAGGAATTGAATAGTTCACTAGATTCAAGCGACCACGGGAAAGCGCTTAGAGCATCTTTGTCTAGTTCCAAATCTTGAAATAGCCCTGAATTCATATCATCATTCGATACGACTTGGTCGAGGATGGCGACACAGCGTGCGGCAAGCGAATCTCCGACAAGACGTTCGCGAAATGTGGCCTTGGCCATTCGGACATCGTCAGACCACGTTGCCGTTTCTTCAGATTGCGGGAAGCTGATTATGCCGAGAGTGAGCACTAGAGCTGCGTGAAATAGAAAGTATCTACGCAATGATTTAGCGGATATAATCAGAAGGTTTCTTGCCGTATACTTACGTCGAATACCAGCCTTCCAGTCTACTCAGGTCCTGCATCGCGTACTGATGTATGGAAATAACAGTATTGTGTGCAGCGTCGAGACAAGTTCGTTTACAATCTTCCTGTGCCGACTGCGTTGCCTGATCCGGTATTTGACCTCGCTCAGATATCGCTTGACGTAGCAGAATTTGCCGGAAAACTATGATCTTGAGGTTCCAGAATCTCCACCACAGGCGAGACCGTGCAAATACATACCACCGGGTGGTAACATGACTCGTGTAAGAGAGCTGGAAGTATGGTGGCACGGTTTGTGCCCAGGCATCCATAGAGGTGTTGAGAGCGAGTGCTGCTTCAGCGGACAGCCCGGGTTCGGCTAGCAATCGGTTGGAGATGTAATTTGTATGTATGTGAAAACTACTTTGCGCCCTGAGCTGAGAGTAAATGGTTGGTCCTTCCTCTTCAGACGGTACCTGTGTCGTCTGAGGCGTGAGAGACTATTCTTGGTCAGTCTATCCAGAGTAGAGCTTGATTCAGTAGTGTTTACCTCGTCGGTTATGTTGAGGACACAATGAACGTTCATTGAGTCGCGATCAGGTAGCATGACTGCCCGTCCAAAGGTCATTGACGCTCCGCTATCGAAAATATACACCCCCCACCATACTCTACGTCTAATTTCGCGCTCGATCAGGCTGATGTTCCAATGAGGAAGCTCTCGGTGGAGCGCCAAGCTGAGAGCTGTGCGAACAGCGAGACCCAGGAGGTTCCATCCAGTATTTGGGCTGTTGCGCTTTTGACTGAGATTGCTCAAAAGTACAAGTGCTTGAACAGATGTTAGGCTGGCAGCTTCGAAAACCGACTCCTCCTGCCCAAGCGTCAAAGCTCTGCGATACAGGTAGTCTTCGAGCCCGACGTGATCGTTATTCAGGGTCCAAGCGCCAAGCGCAATAATCGCATGATAGAGCATACTCCATGATCGTTTGGATGGCCGCGGCACCACCTCATGGTACTGAGCGCGAAAGGTTGCCTCGTGAACAAAAGGGTAGACGACGTGGAAATTAGAGAAGTAGGCATCTACGAGGTCTGCCGATAGCTGCTTAGCAAGCGCAGCATGCGAGATGTGCGACGATGCAAGCACATTCCGGAAGGAAGCGGAAGGCTCCGGTGCACGTAGCTGAGGCGGAACAACCGATTGATGCAAGAATCCAGCCCAGTCTAATAGACAACGAAGGAAAACAACTCCTGAGGTCAAGCCTATGTTTGTTTAGTTGCAAACTTCAAATTGAAGGAGGATAACTTACCCAGATAGCCTACTCCGGTTGGCTCGACCGAGAGGGCGGCCATGCCATCCGTCAGCCCATCCACATTAACATTCTCTTCGTGCCAGTTGAAGCCATCGACATTGTTAGGTACGGCCTCTGGAAGCGCCGGCTCAGTTGAAATGGACTTGGTACTACCTTCAGGGCTCAAGGCTGCCTCTGGCGATCGTGGTTGAAGCTTAGGTGGAGATTTGGCAACGAGGCTTGGAGATGCCAGAAGATCGTCAACATCAACTCCGGGAACAAGCTGAGTAACCAGACTTTCCAGGCTGTGCAAGCGCTTTTCCACGCCAGTCAGGTAAGCCCGAGTCAAGGGCGATCTAGCAACTTTGCCGCTGTAGTGACATTGCGACCCGCTATGAGCACAGGAAGTGCATACGGGAATGTCTTTGGAACATTTGAGTTTCTTTGCTCGACAACGATCGCATGATAATGCATCTCTTGGCCTTCGGTGCTCCATGCATGTGATGTGTTTAGTGTGGCGGAAGGTGGAGACGGGATGGGATGCAAGATCGTCGGATTCAGATGCAGCTCCCGAGGTCGCGGTTCTATGCCGGTATCGGGCCGAGATATGACGCTATTGTGAGAGCTACTCTTACGAAGCTCTTCCGCCAATCCACAAGATTTTAAGGCATGGGCACACGATTGAGCCTTAAGCTTCGGCTGGGGCTGTAACTTCCGGCAAGGCTGGCATGCTTGTTTACATACATTGCCACGCGCCATACGAAGTTTGAGGTGATCAACCACACTCAGCTCGAGGTTGCCTTCACATATCTGTCACAGCATGCTGACGAAGATAAAATGAACAAATGACAAAAGGCTTGTGAGTTTATGTATTTTAAGATTCATCTGTTGAAACCATTTGTCGCAGCTGTAGGAACCATTCCAAGCAGCCTCCGAAGTCCCAGGAAACCTCACCTAGCAAACTATGTGTATGTACGCATACCTGCCGTACTTTTAGTGGCCGTCATCCGCCCCGCTCAAACCAATAACCTCAATCCAACCTCCAAAGCCACTTCTCAAAGTCTTCCTCGCTCAGACCCTTAGGCACAGCATCCTTACCAGACCTCCACTCCTTCGACAACCCATAATACTCGTGGGACGCCGGATAACTCATCAAGCGCTCCATACGTTGAGCGTTCTCCCCATCCTTGCCTGTACAGATGACTCTCAGCTTATGAGCTCTCTCAGCGAAAACAGTCGTACGGGCTTTGTCTCCATAGGAAATAGCCACCCGGGCCGCGTTATGGTAAACTTCTGAGACGGGGGCTTTGGAGGCACGTTTGTATTCCTGGGGATGTATTAGCGAAGAACTTGTGAAAAATTATGTTGGGCACTCACCTCTTCTATCAGCTGGACCATCTTGTAGAGCTTGTTTAATGCCACGCCTGGGCTAAACGATGAGAGATGGTCGCTGAAGATGTCTTCGTTCATACGCTCGATCTCGGTACGACGTATGTCACTCAGCGTCCGCTCCACTGGCGACAGTGAACAGATGCTGCAGGCGCAGTCGAAGCCGAAATGCTGTTTGAGATATACCTGTCGCTCTTGTGTAGTCACGGCGTTGGTGTAGCAGACTGTGATCTCCTCGCCGGCCTTGATGTCACACAAAGCGTGGATAGTCTGCATGTTTAAATGTCGGTTCCAGTTAGGGCTGCTATTCGGCATGCAGTCGTGGTTGATCAAGGAAACGGTGGCGTAGACGGCGTAGAGTTTCGTTTCTGAACCGCATGGTAGAGCGTTGGTCTGAAAGATGCCGCTGAATGGGTACTTGCCGGGAGAGTTGTTGTGGAGGGAGAGATACTGTCGCTGCTGTTCCTTGGGAAGACTTCTCAGTTTACTAGCGATATGGGTTTCTGCTTCGTGGCAAGGCATCTCCGGGGCTGTCAGCAATGGCCTTTCGACGATAATGCGGGTTCTCTCGGCGATGTCAACGCGGGCGAATACACCCCTCCCTTTGCCAGGTATCTTCTTGACCTCATAGACTGGGGTGCTCATGTCTTGGAACTGAGAGCGAAAAGGACTAAGTGGTTAGGTTGGGGCCTGGATAATACCGAGAGATCAATGGAGACAGTGAGGTGGACAACTACAAGTACCCTTGTGGCCAAAAGAATGACCTTATAACATTGTCAAGCCGCTCTTTTACTGTCCCAGAGCGGTAGTTTCCTCTCACCTGAGTCAAACGCCTGTTGATGCATTGCGCCTCGACTTCACAACCCGACTTCACTCTATGCAAAGCACTATCACTGTGAGTACTGGAAGAATACATCACCCTTCCTCTGAGAATACTTTCACTGGTGAGAGCCCCTTCACATGGCAGACGGAAGTCGCGTCACATGAAGCACAGCACATCTCTGCAAGTCGATGCAGACATCGAAACGGGTAAAAAGCTCTGTACTATACAAGAGCCTGAGTAGCAGTGATTGTGAATGCTCCAAATTTAGACACTGTCCCGAGGGTTTAGTTATCACGATGCTCGGCCCGAGATCAATACGGTAGTTACGATATCTCGGACCACTTTCTGAAAAGGCCGTATATAGGTCCCGACTGCTCGAGCGTTGTAATCAACCGATACCACTATTCCAGTTTCACTCTTAGTACATCTCACTCACCTCCATCTGCTTGTCTGCACGTTGTTTTCCCCCTTCTCCCAACACACGCTGCGAAAAAGATCTCTACACCCCGATTACACCATGAATTTAATCAACCTCATCGCCTTCGCAACGGCACTTCTTCCGTCCACCGTCTGCGTACTAGCTCAAGTCGTCCGCCCAGACTTCACCCCAGGCCGCTGCACCTTCTGGGGTACCGTGCATCGAGACTGTAACAGCAAGGGCAAGATGACGACATACCTCAATGTCTCTCCGTTCTACGACCATGACGGCAAGCAGTTTATGATGCAGACTGACGCTGTTCACCTGACTGACGGACTGACGTTGACGGGGCCGGTTGCTGGCCATCCGCTACATATCGCATACGTGGACGATGGCGTGACCTGTGAGTATTACTAGCAACGACAAGTTGTAACCCATGAAGTGGTGAATTAACACCATGCAGTCACCTACCGGGATTCCCACTGGCCTAATAACGACAAAGACGGCAGATTTTTTTGTACTACACAGCCATGGGTTGGCCAGCCCTTGCTGTGTAGCGCGCGAGACCGTATTCACCGAGTAAGTATTTGTTGCCCTGTTTCCCTTCAGAAACTAACCAATGCAGACACAAGTTCTGAGCTGCAACTTCGCGTGCGAAAAGCCCAGGGCAAACAAGCGCTCTGTCAGCAAGAGTTTCGAAGCCTAGGAGTGCAGCGAGAAGACAGCGACTGACGACGGGAGAGTAAGTCTAATCCGTGTCGGAACAAAGACTTGATACTAAGATGGATATGGGGTTGCTGGAACGATAGGTGTTATTCTTCGAGACGCCACATGCTCAATCCTGGCATGGCCTAATACACGTATAACTTGGATGACAAACGTAATCATGATGATTTGCCTGAGACGCAGAAGACAGGGAACATCACACCGCATTCTGGAAATGTGATATGTGATGACACACGATTTGCATCAACAGAGGCGCCATGTAGTCGTCTGCTAGTATGCAGCGCAAGGTTTGTGGCGGGCGCCCATTGACCGGATTAGTCTTGTGTGGCACATGCGGAGTGCACGATGGGGTCACATGTCGCTCGCGTCATGCACATGGTCATGTCGTCTCTGGCTTTTGGCGGGAATTGACCAATAAGACCAAAGGTAGGGTCATTGATACATACGCCGCTTTTAATGTGCTCGATGGTGAGGCACTCGAGCACGTTTCCAACGGTTTGTGGGGAGGGTTGTTGGTGTGAAGTACGCGTTCCCACACTGGTCCAAGCCCCGCGCTCGTGACTGCCGCGGCAGTTTGAACTCACGAGCCTCATCAGCTCGTCAGCCAACAGCCACGATAACAAGTTATCTTGCCATATTTGCGCGGCTCGTACTCGAAACACCTGCTTGTAGCCGTTACCGTACTTGATCCTTTGGGGCGCACTGCATGCAGGGACCGACAGCTCGGATTGACGTGGTCGGCCCAATTCAAGCCCATATCTGACCCAAAGTCGGCCAGCTTCCCTCTCAGCCGTCGCAAGCCGACCGCGGTAATCCACAACCACCATGTCGACAGCGGGCTCCAATGCTTCTCCACCGCCGCGCACACAAAACGCCCAGCACACGCGCACATACCAGGCTTGTATCCCATGTCGACGCCGCAAAGTGCGATGCGGTACGTGTATACGTGTAACCAAACCTTGACCACGGCCAATTGCTGATAATGCCTGTTCATCTCCAGATCTTGGTCCTGTAGATAATCCCCACGATCCGCCATGTGTGAGGTGCCGGCGCGAGAGTAAAGAATGCTTTTTCTCCGCCACGCGTCGGAAGAGGAAAGCAGATGGCGAGGACGACTATGAGGAGGTTGACGACTACGAGGTGCGCAATGGCAGGAAACGTCAGCGTTCCGATGGCCTCCCGGAACCTCTCATCACTACGGCGAACAATGCAGCCTACATCTCGCAGCCCTTGACCCCAGGCGGCTCCATCGGACGATACGAACCGCTGAGACGACCAAATACCTCGGGTGGTCTCCAGCCCCAGCCAAACGATGAGGAGGATCAAAAAAAGAGCAACGAGACGGTCGCGACACTGCAGGCGGGCGAGGTGTATAGTGGACACGATGCCCTTAACCTGCTGTTCGAGGCTGCCGGAATGGACGCGCATCACCGGTCGGGAAGCAGTTCAAGCCTTCAGCGACCGACGTTGGGAAGCACGCCCGGCTCCCAGACCAACTTCGCGAGCCCCCGTGCCAACGTGTCCCATGTGCGAAGTAACTCGCGAGCCACGGCCGAGGCATCTATAGACCCTGCTATCCAGCATCCCATTCTTCCAGATCCCCCCAACGAAGCTGCCTTTGCCGAAGCTGTCAAGGCCTGGTCCAAGTTTCGCTTTGTGCGCGCGGGCTGGCTTACAGCCAAAGAAGCCATCTCCTACATCGACTACTTCTACACCTTCCTGTCGCCTCTTACCCCCATCGTCGTGCCGGATTATCGCGATCATGCATTTCACGGAAAGCTGCTCAAGGAGGAACCCATGTTGGTCATCACCCTTCTAACTATCGCGGCGAGGTATTCGCAGCCCAGCGGCTCAAGCGGCGTTGGCGCAACGTCACGCTCTTATCTTATCCATGAGAAGCTATGGAAGTATCTTCAGGGCATGATAGATCGCATGATCTTCGGGCAAGAGCAGTTTGGTGGAGGCTTCTGCGGTGCGGGACAGCAGCCAGGATCCGACGTGAATCCCCTGTCGCGGAAAGGTCTTCGCACGCTTGGCACTGTCGAGAGTCTGATGCTACTGACTGAGTGGCATCCCCGTGCTCTTCACTTCCCACCAGGTGACGATGACGACGAGCTTGTTCTACCAGATGACCCATACGAGCCTGGTCCAAAGGCCGACATGTACAAAGGCGTCGGCGACAAGCGCATCGACAGCTGGCTGGAGCCCTGTTGGCGTAGTGATCGCATGTGTTGGATGCTGCTCGGCAACGCTATGACACTCGCCTTTGAGATTGGTGTTTTCGACGAGACCAACGAGACTGAGTTCGAGGAGGCAAATCAGCATCTCTCTCACGCCACTGTCAAGGCCTACTACCGACGGAAGAACCATCTTAGGGACCTGCTCATCATCTACGTGACTCAGACCAGTGGCAGACTTGGCCTCACATCCATGCTCCCTAAGATTGATCGCGATGAGAGTCTAGTCGGTGGTCCATCCCCCCTTGAACTGTACAAGGAGCGCATCAGTCGAATTAAGGCTCCCCCTGCTCAATTTGGCATGCGTTCAGATGGACAGCGTCTCCCACTGGAGTCCATTGCTACTCAGGAGCGCCATGCTGTCCAAGATCTCGTGCTGGACTTCTGGCAGCGCATCGCTAAGATTATGGAGATGGGTAATCTGAAGTTGTTCTCGAATCGCCGTAAGACGCGCGAGCTGCTGAAGTCTGGGACGTATGAAGAGATGCTCAAGTTTTTTCAGGGTCCCCTGATGGAGTGGAGAAAATGCTTCGATCGCACTCGAGAGGGCAAGTCCGCAGTTGCGTCTCTCTGTATCATTTCTAATAATATCTAGTCCCTCCGCAACTGCGTCATGTCCTCACTATCGAATTTGAGTACACTCGCGTGTATCTCAATTCCCTGGCTCTGCAAGCAGTCGTAGAACGCTGCACACACAACACCCCGTTGCAGTCGCACGCTCAGCCCAACGGTGTCAATGGACGCGCTAATAGTCATGACGACGGTGGCGCTATACCATTCAGTACACTGGTCAAGTGGTACGCCAACGATAGGCACTACATCAACGAAGTCATCGATGCGTCGCGCAATGTGCTCAAGGTTGTGGTCGAAGGTCTGCATCCTGGTGGTTATCTGCGGCATGCACCTGTCCGAACCTTCTTCCGTATTGTTAGCGTAGCTATCATCCTGCTGAAAACCTTTGCCTTAGGAGCGACCGAGGAAGATGTCGCTGTCAGTCTTGGCCTACTCAGCGACTCAGTGGATGCCTTGCGGACAAGCATCGTGGACGATGTCCACGTCGGTAACCGATTCGCCGACCTCGTTGAGACGCTCACCCACCGTATCCGCTCGCGTTTCGTGCGCCTTGCCGCCAACGGCTCAACCGGCATCTCCCGCGCAGGAAGCAAAAGCCCCATTTCAGCACCACTAATGCCTCCGCCCGCTCCACTCAACAACGTCAACCACCTCGCACCTCCTTACATGGGCGCTCAGCAAACAGGCTTCTCCGGTACCGGCAGCAGTGTCCCCAGCTCTCCCAGCATGGGCCTTGGAACCAATGGCCGCGGAACTCCTCTCTGGGGTATCTCAGCTGAGCCCTACGATCCAAACTCAAACAGCATATCCATCATGCCACCGCCGGGAAACTACACCAACTACAACGGCAATAGCAGTAACGGCTCGAACTCCAATGGTAACCACGGCGCAAACTGGGGCCAGTGGGCAAACGGCGGTTCGAGCTGGACTACAGGCCAGGATCAGGATTGGCTTGCGCTTCCGCTTGATCCGCTGCTGGATCAGTGGGGTGCGGAGATTAACCAGACGGCCATGGGTCCGGATATCGGGGGCATGGATATGTTGGACGTTTTGCTGCACATGGGTGGGCCACCGGGTAGTGCGTAGTCTTGATTGACTTTGCAATGCGCTGGTGGCCCAGGGCGGTACTCGCCTTTCCCACGCAGTATCGCGAAAGTTGAGGGCGATCAAGGGAGGTTCCCTTCGCAATCACTCTGCCGGTCACGTTCTCCGTCTCCTAGTTTTTCATTTTCTCCATTTGTTTGCCACACTGGCAACATCTAACTACATGTATATACGACAGTCACGATTAAGCGACGAAAAACGAAGAAAAAAGCACGGCGTTTGCTCTTTCTTCGGTCGTCGCTTTTCTATATAAGTTGATCATGGGAAATAGGGGGTCTTCGAGATATACGACTTATACTGGGAAATGGAAAGAATATGAATATGGAGAAGTTTAATCATGTCATGTACAAACTCACTTAGTGCGTGAGATGAACTAAAACGACTCCATCTATTCGGTCATTTATTTCCATCGTGAAACATCAACACATGAACACATAAGCACTTCAGCGAACTCTTCCCCTCAATTCCCAAACCCACATCTACCTCTTCAACGTCTTCTGCTTCTCCGCATCAACAACAACCTTCTCACCCTGCACCCTCAACCCCTTCCTCCTTCTCACCTTATCCACATACCTCTTCGCCACATTCTCCCTATCCGCCAACTCACCCAAATCCTCAAGCTGATCCTCCGTAAACGGGACCCAAAACGGATCCTCATCCAACATCTCAAAGCCCGCGAACCTCAACTGCGGACTCGCGCTACCGGAGCTCCTCTTCCTAATCTCATCGCTGAAGCCGAAACTCTCTGCTACAGGCAACAACGCGTTGATAGTGAAAGTCTGAGAACCCGTGGTACTAGCCGAAGAAGTAGAGGACAAAGTTTCCGAAAGAATAGTACCGCGGCGGCGTGTGAGAACGGCGTAGACGCGGCCGAGGACGTCGGTTGAGGCTTGGATTTCGCAGCTGTACATTGCGAGATGCATGCGTGGGGACCAGGAGAGGAAGCCTGAGTGGATTGCTGTGCGGACGGCTTTTATGACTTCGCCGGTTAGGCGGCCGCGGTCGTGGGCGGATGCGTCGGAGGAGTCGGAGGAAGAGGGGGGGAGGGAGAGGGTGACGTCTTCGAGGAAGACGGCGATGCCTTGGACGGGCTCGGCGCAGCAGGGGCCTTGAGCGGTGGCGAGTTGGAAGGCGTAAGCTATTGTGGAGGCGAAGACGTGGGGGGTTAGGGTTGTGGTTGACGTGGTTTCGGGCGTATCTTCGGGGGTGGGCGAGGTGGAGTCACGGAGGCTGGTGGAAGTGTTGTTAGTATGTTTAAGAGTGTGGAGAGGAAGAGGGGTGACATACGCTTTCCCACATATCCCATCTTTGGTCGCATCAACGAGGATATTGGGGCCAATACGACGCGGTCCAAATGCAGTAATTTTCTCAATCACATCGGTCCAAATCTCCTTTTGACCCTTGACCTCTGCAAAAGCTTGTTTGAGCTGTTTCTTAAACTCGTCGAAACTTAGACTCTGGCCGATTTCTCGTTGTTCTGCCTCTTGGATGCCGTCGTTTTCGGCGCCGTGAACACGGTGTGGTGCATGTTCGCCTTCGTCTTCAGCACGGCGTTCGGAATACAACTTCTTGATTGCACCAGCATTCTTGCTTAGGAACTCGGTTACGGGTTGTGGGAGCGGGCGGACTCGCAGCCTGACGGACACGTGCTTGCTTGCTGTTTCTCCGATGACAGTGCCTCGGGGAAGGTTTGGGTCTTTTAGCGGAGCCATCTCAGCGGCGGCGACAATGGACTCGCGGTACGGTACAATTGGTTCGCCAGCTTGTATCTCGCACTTTGCGAATCGCTCCTTGAGATCCTTCAGACATCTCTCGAGATGAAGCTCACCGGCTGTAAGAATAACGTGCTCTCCGCTAGGCAGCTGCTCATACTCCGCACATGGATCGCTCTGCACGAGAAGTTTCAATCCCTTGATCATCTTATCCAAATCGTAAGGGTTCTCGGGTTCTAGCGCAACACGCACAATAGGCTCACTACCCATCTGAATACCAGCGAGATTGAGCGATCCGGGAAGCTGCGAACAGAGTGTGCCAGACTTCAGAAGGTGGCCCTCGAGCCCACCGATACCAAAAACGACACCTGCGGGTACCGTCGTCAAAGGCTCGAGGCCACGTCCCATCATCAGATATAGAGCAGTAATTTTGACCTTTTGTGGCTCCGGAGCGGCGTGAGGATTTGCAGGAGTGAATTTCGGTCCAAGAACGTAAACCTCGTCGCCAACACTAAGGGTACCCGAAAACATACGGGCAAATCCAATCAAATGTTCTGCCTCTTCATCAGGCACAGGAGTCTCTTCAACAGGCGTCTCAGTCTCGCTGATAGTAGTGGAGCCCAGAGCGTCGGTGACGCTGCTGACATCTGCTTTCTCGCCGTTTGCAAGTGCCTGCTGCCGTGCTATCTCCGCTCTCTTCTTTCTACCCATCTCCCTTGCCTCTTCAGCCGTGAGTGCGCCGCCCCGCCGCTTGTTTTGTGGAAGTTCGCTAGACGGGACGGAAATCATCTTGCTGACATAAGCCACGACGGGGGCATCTTTGGAGGCGTTGAAGTTGACCATTGCATCGCGTACTTCTGGAGCTACGTAGTCGGCGCCAGGAGAGCTATCGATAATATCGGGCATGCGTTCGGTTTGCGCTTTGGAAGGCGGAGGAAGGTACTCAGTAACAGACACCAACAGGGCAGTGGACAAGGGCAGCCACGCTGCAAATAGTGCCATTAAGAGTGCTCTCGGATCGCGAGACCGCATAATGTGTGCTGGGACATTGAGATTGAGCGACTTGGTAATCTTCTCGACCATGGTAGGATCTCTGTGTTGAAAGGTATAAGTATATTGCTAAGATACACGCAGGAACATCAAGCAGGGAAAGGAAATCCACGCACCCCTTCCCGTTGCTACCTCCCGTAGTAGCCTCGTAGACGGCCCATACGTTGTCTAGGACGAGCTGTACGAACATGGGCTTCAGATGTCGGCCTTTAAGATGCTTGGAACTGAGCACTCGCTTGGTCTTGGGATCTAAGTAGAAGTCGCCCCAGAGTACCTTTTCGAGGATGGAACGTTTGATGCCTAATTTCTTTTCATACAGACTCGCAAACTGTCTTACCGTAAAGGCCCAGCCGTCAATGGCACTGCCAAAAATGACGTTGTTCTTCTCAGGGGCAAAGTAAATGTCTTCGTCGTCCTTTTCTTCGTATTCAGCGGGCGTGTTGGTCATGTCAATGCTATCAGCGGACTCTTGTATGGATGATGAACGTGTGTCAGTCTTTTCGGCTGCAGCGTTTAGTCGCTCTTCCATCTTCTCGCGCCACCGGAGATCGTCCTCCATGCGCTCGCCTTGATAGAAACTGCCCATGACGGCGTTTACCTGTTCGAGCAACTTGCTCAGATGTGTGTATGCCTCTCCTGGACTCATCTTCAGTTCTGTGATTAGCCGGTCCATCTTGTTAATGACGAGCAAAGGCTTGAGCTTCTCTATCCACGTCTGGCGCAACACGGTCACGGTCTGACTACACACGCCCTCTACGGCGTCTACGAGCACGACGGCGCCATCGCACAGACGTGATGCTGTAGAGACTTCGTAGCTGAAGTCTATATGACCGGGCGAGTCTATCAAGTTTATCAAAAACTCTTTTTGCTCGGGCTGGGCGTCGGGCGCAGACCGGCGGAGTAGTGAAAAGTATAGCGAAATGGCCGACGACTCCATGGTGATACCGCGCAGCTGCTCATCCGGCCTGGAGTCGAGGTAGCGGATCTTGCCGGCGAGCTTGGGCGAAATGATGCCATTGGTGGCGATGAGGGCGTCTGTGAGTGACGTCTTGCCATGGTCCTGTCGCAATTAGCACCAGCAAGCAAATCGCGCGGAGAAGCATGCGCGGACATACGACATGGGCGAGAATGCAGATGTTCCTAATTCCATCGGCCGCCTGTTGAAGTGACACCAGCTTGTCGCTGGGAACGACGGGCATCCTGGCGATGGGCGATAGTGTGTGCTAAAAAGTCGCGACCGTCTCAGATACGGATGCGGGTGCGGGTGCGGTTGTCTCGTCTCGCGTGTCGATGTAACCTGGTAGCAGGCAACGGCGGCGGTTTCACTGGCCGCTGATCAAAAGGCGCGGGGCTCAGTGGACGAAGTAGGAAATTGGAGGATAGATTGCTCTGCAGCAGAAGCCGACGTTGCAGCGACGACGTGTGGTTCTGGCTGGCCGCACTGGGATTTGTATGAAACTTAACCACCGTCGAGACCCCCGCCCTTACCCGCGTCATTCTGGCTCATGAAATTTGTGGGTGGCGGCTCTGCAAATCCCTGGGCGGGCTGGCGGCGGGCTTGCTGCAAGACGTCAGTTAGTGGCCGCCCCAGCTGAACGGCGTCTCTCCCCAGCATTTCTCTTGCGCTTGTTTCTCCAAGTCTCTCTCTCTCTCTCTCTGCTCCCTGGGGTCCACGGGTTGCTGCACGCAGCTTCTAGTCGCCCTCGCCCTCGTCACGCTTCTTTTGCCTAATGGCCCTAATCGCACTGCACGCGCGTTCCTTCCCGAACATGTATTTGTAGCCTGTGCGCGCCTTCCCTCGCTGGTGCGAGTCGCGCCCCAAGCATTGCCCCTGTCCTTCGCCTACCATCTTGCCATCAGCCATAACATTCCGAATATAACAACTCTTGCCAGCGCGCGCAGAAGCAGCGCCCCTAATAACCCACGGCGCCCATACCGCCTGACCCCGCCAACTGTGAATGTGACACCTCCCACCGCCAACATGGCAGCCACACTGGACCACCAGCCCACGCCCGCATACCCGACCGCCGTTCGCTCTGCTGGCATGAAGCTGGACACGCCCGGCTTCCACCACACAAAAACCGCCAGCGCCAGCGTCGACATCATGTCGCCCGTCAACCAGAACGGCTGCTTCGAGTTCGACCGCATCATCAAGGCCGGCACCGTGGTGAAGCGCACGCGCAAGACCAAGGCACGTACCTTTACTCTCTTGCCTGACGTATGCTGACATCCGGACAGTCATGGAAGCCCATCTACGCCGTCCTGCGCCCAAACTGCCTCTCAATCTACAAGGACAAAGATGAGACAAAACTGCGACACCAAATCAACCTCTCTGAGATCACTGCCGTTGCGCGTCAGCGAGACTCGAAAAAGAAAATGGAGCACGTGTTCGGCATCTTCTCGCCCGCACGCAACTACCACCTCGGCGCCATGACTGACAAGGACGCGCAGGAGTGGGTGGACCTCATACGGACAGAGGCAAGAATAGGTGCCGAAGAGGCTGAAATGTCCGTTATGGGCCCCACAGCCGGAAGGCCCAAGTTTGCCGGCTTCGGCAGGGCGGCTACGAGAGACAACATAGTCTCGAGCTCTTCAGAGGCCGAGCCCAGACCCTCGAGCTCCATAACCCCAGAGCAGATGCATAGTGCCCGACGGCCCTCGCAGGCTCTCAACTACTCGGGTGGCGAGCGCGGCTCCATCTCCGACTTTGACTTCTCCGATAGCAACTTCCAAGCTTCCGTCAACTCACTCCCCAGGGCCTCGCACCAAAAAGGCAACCTTAGCCAGCAGAGCAACATCGGCTCCACACCCGGCGACGAGCGCGTAGTCTACCACGGCTGGCTCTATGTCCTCAAGTCCAAAGGGGGCGTGCGCCAGTGGAAGAAGATCTGGGTCGTATTGCGGCCCAAGTGTCTTGCCTTTTACAAGACAAACGACGAGTACTCAGCAACGCACATAATCCCCTTTACGAGCATCATCGACGCCGTCGACATAGACCCTGTCTCCCGTAGCAAGCAATACTGCATGCAAGTGATATGCGAGGAGAAGAACTTCAAGTTCTGTGCATCCGACGAGAACTCGCTAGCAGAGTGGCTCGGCGCATTCAAAAGCTTGCTGGTCAAGAAGAAAGAGGCCCAGTCCAAGCGCACTCAACAGCCAGCCACCAACGCCGTAATCGTACACCCGCTGCAGAAGGCTTTGCTGCCCTCACCCATGTCTGCACAGCAGCCGCTTGCCATGAAATGACCCCTGCCCATCATGTCTTACGAGGCGCATCCCGATACCAAGACATGTATATATGCTCTCACCGTTGACAACGCCGCCAGCATCAAATGTCAGAATCAGACCAAGGCCTCGGCCATATCGCACACACTAATCGCGAATACTGCTTTTTCAGCAACCATCTCCTAACGATACCATTTACGACTTTTAACGATCTTCAAATCTTGCTTTTCTTACCCGCTGGTCGCTGTTCCTCCGTGACAGCTGTTTTGTTCGATACCATTGGATACTTTGTTTCTCTCTGCATTTCTTGCTTTCTGCTACACTGACAGCAAGAGAAGATCTTACCGTATACGTATCCTGTCCGCATAACCTCGAACTTTCCTTTTGTCCGACTCTGTTCCCGCTGTTATCGTTGTTTGGAATTGTAGGCGTGTTTCTTTTTGATAGTAGTGTTAGTTGTAATCATTTTTGGATGTCTGTTGCATCTTGAGCTGGGAGTGGAGCGCTTGAGTTTAGATCAGTCGATCAACCGATCAACCAATCAATCTCTTTGTTAATAAAACAAGACTTCTGTCATTGATATTGAATGTGGATGTGGATGTGCAGGGGTTTTTAGACGCGTGATGTCGTGATGTGATCCCATGTGGTACCATGTGGTACCATGTGGCTTCTTAGAACGCTGCAGTACTGTTCATGTGGTGTAATCTAACATGACCTGTACACAGCACACACATTCGCATGCTGACTCCACATCCGGCAATAAAGTCTGATAACGTCAGCACACATCAGGCCCCCAGGTTCATCTGCGACTTGAAGTCGCTGTCGAGGTATGTCTGATCGCACCTACCCTCCGACTCCACGTACCAACTAGCGCCTTGGCAACTGCCCAAACTCCGATCATAACCATCCATCCCTCAACGTCGTCCCCAATGTCTTACATATATCGGAGCTGAAATGCAGCTGATAGGCTTGCATCCCGGACGGGAAGAACACGAAGTTCGCCCAAACGCCTTTAATTAACTCTCTGTCCGATGCAGTGTGCGTTTTGGCGTTTTGGCCCCCAATTCCACTGCGCTAATGCTGCGCTAACTGCGGATGGATGGGCAGGCGTAGGGGAGCTGAGAAAGTTGGGGGAGAGGAGCTGACATGCAGATTTAAATAGTGAGGCAATCCCTTCCTTTTTGCTTTCTATATCTCGCGGTTCGCGCTTTTCGGCGTGTGTGATGCACTAGGATCGAGTTTTTGACATTGTGGTGTCGTTGGTGCGTGGGTGAAAAGTAAGACAGTGTATAAGGTGTTCCGCGAGGAAAATGGAGCGTGGACGCGGTGTACGACATATACCTGCTCGGTCGACGGTAGATGAGGAGATCAGGGAACTTAGGGAAGAGCTGAGAAGGGAACGGCGAGGAAGGCGTGATGCGGACGTGGGAAGTCGCGAGCGCGATCGCGAGGAAATGGTTGAACGTGCAGATCCAACACGTTTTCCCGATGAAAGACCAGACTTTTCTGTATGTGAAGAGCGTCCGCGCGGGCGTCGTGTAACGGTCGACGAAGATGACACCTGGGACAACAGCCCCGAGAATGAAAGTTCACACAACTCCCATGTATCAAGTTTGTATGGAAGACCACATATTACTGACGTTACTCCCGTCTATTTTATGGATGATCTTGGGGAGGAGAAGTACGTTTTTCCACTGAACAAGTGTGAGAGTAAGGAGGTATGTCCGATCCTACCCCACAAAACTCTATAAAAGACTGACTTCCTATACAGGCTACAGAACCGCTCTGGAGAGAAATATATGCCCAGAAATATGTCCAAGAGAACACAATACGCGATATATATCTGGATTACATCACCAAAGGGAAATATCGAGTACAGACTCTGGAAGGCGCCAATATTTTACCTAGTGCTTGGAGTACCTTTGTCAGACCAGAGTCGTACATTCAGATTGCGTTTGACTCAACTCTTCCAGACAGTGGCCGATCCCCAAAGCCACCTTTACGCCCAGGCCCTCGAGTTGCTTACACTAGTGGCGACACATACGAAACTATTAGCCCAAGGAGGTCACACAGTGCAGCAGACACAGACAACGAATCTACTGAAAGCGAGCTCGCAACTAGCGACACAGAAACTCCCCCTGACGTGGTTGTTGTACCAGAACTGGATCGAAAGGTTGTGCCTCCTGTCGACTGCGAAAAGAATAAGCTCTCTTTCCAGGTAAAGACTGCACAGAGACGAACACCCACCAGGCCAAACGGAGAGGAAGAAACCGATGGAACCAGCCCCAAAGCACTGGATGCAAGCAAAGGTCCTGATGTCGGGGAATGCCAGAGAAGTAGGATAACCAGAGTTATGCACACAGAGGCTAGAGGTCAAAACAGGATTAAGATTTATACTCTACCCGGTCCTGAGAACACTCAGTTGCTAGAGTCAGTGACGATGACTTGGTACCACCTTCCTCTGGCTCAGCTTGACTTTGGACGCTTCACAAATTTGTGTCTGAATATACCGCCTCTATCAGCTCGTCTACAAACACTCACTCACAAGTTACTCACAAAACTGTGGAAAGAAAAAGTCAATCACTTCTTGGGTGGTATGTTCGTCGAGCCTGGCACAGTTTTACGAGCCGATGAGAAAGAACAGTCAGACCCGCAATCTGTCATCTTCAGTTGCGTTCCCTACTTCAACATCCAGCCAGCAGCGAAGAAGTCCTCTTGGTCTGAAAGCATACTTTTCCCACCTCGGACTCTAATGCAATCCTACTATCCGTACGAATCTGTGCGCAACCGCGATGAAGAGCAGTCTTACAGGAAGTTTGGCAACAGCAGCGCGGACGGCATCATTCACGTTCCAAATCTTTGGATCATGAATATTGGCTCCGATGTCATCGTGACGTGTGGCCATAGCTCGATAAATGAAGAGACTGTCAAATCGATCATCGTAGCAACAGAGGATATCAAGCAACTAGCTAGCCAAGACGTGGATAACAACACCCTAAGAACGATCAGAGTTATCGACTTGCAGGGACGAGAATTTATCTTTCCTATTGGTGACTGCAGGTCGTACTTCCAGCTCGAGACAAGAATACGTGAGCTGAGGTACTGCAGTGGGTGGAGAGAGAGAGACGACGAAATCCGGTTGCAACACAAAACCAAAGATGGTAGCAAGGAACTCCGTCCTGGAGACTGGGGAAGCCTTATCAAACGAACCGATCTCATCTCTATCACTGTTTCGATGATAGATGACGGAAAAGGCGATGAACAAGCACTCACTGCTACTTCTTCCCCACATCAGGTCTCGGGTAGCTCATCCATCTTTGTACCACCGTTTTTCCACTGGCCACAGTCAACTCCCAAGGACACTGCGAGCGGTGAAAAGAAGGTGAAATTCTTGGGTACATCAGACGTACAACAGGCATCTATCCTCTTGGAACAAGCAGATAAGATCATGATGACTGAGTCTTTTACGGATTCATACAACAAAGTGGCCACTGTTTTCAGCTCGGCTGCATATTACAGATCTCTCCCTGAGTTGACATTCAAGGAAATTACCACCGACTTCACCAAACTTAGACTCCGATCAAAACGAACACAACCGATTGGGTCTGCCCTTACTTTTCATCAAAGCGCAATAGAGAACCAATGCACTCGTATCTCGGAGCAAACTACAAGCCTGTTCGGGATTGTTCGAATGACATTTGAGCTGTTTGTTAGCGATATTGACCAAAGTAGGATCCTTCGGAAAGGCTGGGGTGCTATGAAACAACTTCATGACAAGGTCACTGAAATTACATTGCGAGGGTCTCTGGGCCCTGATCCAAAGGAATATACCGATCCGGAATGGAAACACCCTGATATGGTAGACCGTACTTGGCATATCCGGACCCCTGCTAAACCAAGTCATCTAGCAGTTCTCGAAACGGATGCCCAGTTGAACAAGGTGATAAGACGATGCAAACGATGCAGCATTTTTCGATCATACGATAGCCCAGAAGCTGCACTCAAGCACTTACGAAAGCATGCAAAAAAAGCGGCAGATCTGGAAGAATCTAGCGCCATTATCAGTCCAGGTGTCTTGGACTCATCTGATGAAAAGCGGCCGGGCCACAGTCTGCCTCCCGATTCTGTGCTCAAGGAGTGGGTGTTGAACTCTGAACAGTTCAGGCGTGAAGAAACCAACGGAGACGCACTTGCAACACTTACCAAAGCCCAAGGAATCGCTCGAGAACTTTTCGTTGAAGCTAGTGAATTGGCCGAGGGGATTCAAAATGAGGATGGCGATATTTCAGGACTGTACAAAATGCCGCAACAGGAGTTGGTGAGAGCATTTCGAAACATAATGGTCTTCTTCATGGCAACCGAACGCGCTGTCCACTATGGCACAGAAGTATTGAGGGATCAGGAACTTATTGACTACATGGCCGAACGCTCCTATTTTCCAGGGTCCGAAAAGGAAATGGACGAGGGTGTGGTGAAAAGATTAGGCGAGGTCGCACGACGGTCGTTGCGCAGGGTGCGCTTCAAGCTGTGCGGAATGGTCAAGTCAGATCCTCCACTGGATATTTTCAGGAAAAAGTCTTTGGGACCAGAGTATGTATGTGCTTGGCTCATGAGGAGGTTGCTAGTGAAGCCGGTCAACAGGCCTGGGCCAGAACCCTCGACCGGAAGCTTGAAAGTCCTACAGCAACCACAGCAGCAACCACAAGAGACTATAGGCGACTTGTACCGTGGGTTCATCTCCAAACTTGTAAGTCATAAATCGCTCTTTTTCTGTACAAGAGATCGTGCAGGATCTATCCCAAACGTTTCAAATGTGAACGTAAGCAATGGAGATACAGAGTGTACTACTAGAGGACGCTAGGAGCTACATCTAACATCATCCAGCAATTCCAAGTCAATAGCCGTGCGAGTAAACGTCTTCTACGCGACATTAACCTACTTCAAGATGAGCTCCAAATACTCATCGCGGTCAACACGTGGCAAACCAATCTCATCCAAAATTATACACGCGTGCTTGACGACACTTCTTATGAGCAGGAACTCCCTTCTCGAAAGAGTATGTTTCCATATGAGCGGGATCTCCTCCGAACCTGCCTAAACAATCTCAAACTCGCTCGGGATGACTTTAGCGATCTACTGGACCTATGCCGCCCGCTATCCGATCGCACCAAACAGATACTCGAGATCAACGAAGAAGATCACGGCAAAGCTATCATGGTTTTCACAGTTGTCACGGTCATATTCTTACCCTTGTCGTTTGCGACAAGTTACTTTGGTATGAACACATCAGACATACGAGACATGGATCAGACCCAAACTCTCTTCTGGAGCGTTGCAATCCCACTGACCGTCCTGACTGTCGGCGGATGTATGCTCATCGGATACAACGGAGTTGAGTTACTAGACGGAATCTCGTCGTTTCTCCGCATGGTGTCAGGCAAGCAAAAGGAGAGTCCCGACGCCGGTGTAGGCGTCTCTCGCCGCAAACCTCCACCCAATCTCCAATTCGACACGACAAACACACAGGAGTTGACCAACCTTGACGAAGCCGAATTCGCGAACCCGCGGCCAAGTGGATGTGATGAGACTATGGAAGACATACAAGCTAACAAAGACTACGCCTCTATTCGCAAGAAGATACCGTACGTCACATATGGCGATGATGATGAATGGTTTCGCGAGGAGGAGGGGGCCCTAATAAAAGCTGGGGAACGGAGGGCTGCGAACTTCTCGCATGAACGCAATGGATTGCCACCATTGCCACCCCGAATTGACATTGTACCTGGCACTATGGGGGCTGGCTGGGATAAACAAGATGCCTGGTACGATATGAAGGAGAAGGAATTATGGCAGCGCAACAGAAGAAGTCATCGTAAGGTGGATAACAACTACTACGAAAATTACGGACGTTACTGAATGAGAGCATGATGCCTTTCTTGGAGGGCGGAAAAGGGTATATACCCTTCGGAGAAGTGCCAGGCAGATGAAGTACATGATCACACCTACAATTTTACAATTTGAATGAAGATGCAAAAAATTCGCTCGAATTACAAGGCACATGGTGTGTTGATGCACCCACTGAGTTGTCAAACCCTACACTGGAGTTTTGAGGTTGGAAGGGCTAGAAAAACAGCTACAGACAGGCGTAGCGCACGGATCGATGACACCCACGTAGCTCGCAGGCATATCCAAGCCACCTTTTGTGCACAGTATGATCGCCCCGTGTGGGCAGATATAGAGCGCGAGCGCCTCCAGGATGGGCCTTGTTGGGCGAATTTCCCGGTTTCTGTGCCTTGGGCGGTTTCGCGCAGAGCCGTCTGATGCGCTGTGTGGCGCTCAAGCCATCTGCCGTAAGGGAACATGACACGGATCACGCCAGCTGCCAACAAGATACCTACTGTGGTGGATGGCTACAGCGAATAAGCAACCGCTCCACGAGATGGAGGGAGAAAACGCGAAGATGGACGTCGTCATCGCGTGCGGTGTGGGAGGCGGCGCTTACGCTAGGGAAAGGCTAGAGGCTGCCAAGTAAAGCTTGTATTCCCCCTTGTGGCGCATTAGAGGTGCATGTGTGAGGGGAGCAAAACAAAGCTATGGGTAAGACAAGTTCATGGCGGGGCGTACGACACACAGGCGTGAGGGGGAACTGCGATGACTTTTTCCTCGCGTTCACGCAGTTGATGCAATTTCGCCACCACCACTGAGAAAAAAGCCCCAAGACCCGCCACAGTTCGCATAGAACGGCATCGAGATTGTGGCTGACGGCTCGAATGCCATGACGCAACTGGGACGCATCTTTCCGTCTCCATTGGGAAACCTGGCGCCGATCTATCCCGCAAACAACATCCGCACGCTCGTCATACAGACAAGGAAGGCCCTATCTGGCCTTGTCTTACCTTGCACCCCAAGCAGAGCGTGTACAATTGTGGATTTAGACGGCGTGTAGTCAAGGAATTGGGCAGCAGCGGCGTTGTGCTGTGTGTCCGCTGCTTTGGTTAATGCAGGCAAACCATGATCCGGGTCAATCAAGGTGGTGGAAGTGGAGGTAGCCCAGACCCTCCTAACAAGCGGGAGGCTACGACGGAGTGACGTAGTTGCTGCAATCACGCGTGTTACCCAGTCAGCCGTAATACAAATCTGCTTCTGCCCGCACCTGCCTCCTCCCTCATACCAACTCAGATACCCACTTCCTTCAATCACCTATACACCTCACACTCCCATTGTTTTTCCAGCTCTGCGTCTGCATTTTTGATACCCCACTTGATACCCCCGCAGCAGACCTACACCATGAGTTCCGCCGTAAATCGTATGCACCCCTACCCCGCTTGAGCGCGAGCTAGTATTAACTCAATGCAGGTCCGGTGGACTTGAAGCAGAAGGAGAAGGATGTCAACAACAAACTACAGCTATACGGCATTGTTGAAGGTATGCAGACATGCGCCATGGGCGCGACTACACGCGTTCGCGTTGCACGAACAATATAAACAGTCACTAACCAACAGCAGCCTTCTCCAATGGCAAAGTGCCCTCCAACAGCCAGATTGACGTCGCCCTAAACTCGGCACTTGCACACAGGGCGCTCAACTCACCGTCAAAGAAGCTGTCGAGCGATGGCCAAAAGCTCGTTGGCGACTTCAAGAATGTCATCGAGCAGGCCAAGATCCTGCTTCTCACCAAGAACGAGGGCAACCTCCTCCAGGACTTCATCTGGCAGGCGGAGCACCTCGGTGGCAACAACGCTAACCTACCCAATGCGCCCGTCGACAAGGAGACAGCAAAACAACATGGCAACGACGCCCTCCAGGGCCTGCGCACCCTCGGCACGCTACTCATCTCGAACGGCCAGTTCAGAAAGCTTCTCTCCGATGCTACTGTTCTCCTCCGCGACATGGCTGGCGATGCCGCGATGAACACTGCCAACAAGGTCAAGCCCTCAGAAGATCGTCTCAACCGCCTAGATGAGCCCGCCGAGGACAACACCTGGCACGACACCTCCAATCTGAACCGCGAGAACCTCCGTAACCAAGCTAAGAGCAGCCTGCCTTTTGGCAACAAGAACAGGGACGAGGCCAAGGGAGAGCTCAAGGAACATGCTATGGACATCAACCAGGCCGCTAACCCCCAGGGATCCCGCGACCCCCAGCACACTGCCGAGCTCGGCGCTCACGAGGGTCAGACTGGCCAGCCCACCGGTGTTGATGCCCGTGGCGGCCTCGAGGCTGCCAAGCAAAAGGTTGAGGAGAACACATCAGAGGAGGACAAGCAGAGGGTTCGCGCCCGCCGCGACCAGATGAACAACTACCTCAAGGGCAAGATGCCTGAGGAGCGTCGCGAGCAGACTATCTGGCGTCTCAAGAAGATGGTCGTGGAGATCCAGGGCCATCAAGACTATCAGCGCGCCATCGAGACCCTGCTTAGCCTCGCCGAGCAGTACTCTGGCCATGGAAGGAACTTGGGTACGCAGGGCAAAGGCTCTGTTCAAGGTGCGCATCAGAATGATGCTCTGCAAACCGCTGAAGCTGACCTCAAGGTGCGTATTTAGGGTTCTTAAACGAGAATCAATGGCTGACCAACATGAAGACTCTCCTCGAGCGTTTCGCAAACAACACCTCATTCGATGACCTCATTGAATCGATCAACCAAGTCTACAAGGATGCCGACCAGGACCCAGAGCTGAGGAATTGGTTCACTCGCATGAACCAATTCATCCGCAAGACTCTTCAGCAGCAGGGCTTCATCCTCGATGACCGTTGCAACGAAGAGTGGAACCAGCTCTACGATGACGGCCACCATCTCCTGCGCGGCCGCTACCGTGGTCACACTGACCGCATCGCCGATGAATTCAAGTTCATTGGTGAGCAGTTCGACTCTGACCCGCAGAACAAGCAGTTCGCCGATTCCGTCAACAAGCTTTTCCTTGACCTTGGCCAAGATGAAAACGGCCAGACCACCTTCAAGCCCCACCTTCTCAAGGACTTGAGCGATGTCATCCTTCCCGTCATCTTTGAGAACGTCCGCTACATTCCTGTTCCTCGTATCGAGTACAGTGACCCCATGGTCGACGCCGTCGTTGAGAACCTCGTTATCGAGGGTGACAACCTTGCACCCAACTCCTTGGAGTTTGGCTCCGACAACTACTGGCGCTGGGGCCGCAAGTCCATCTCGAGCAAGAATAAGAATAAGGTCATGCTCTCAGTATCGGGTGTACAGATGGATCTCCGTGATGTATCATACTACATCAAGCGCAAGCAGGGTTTCCCTTCCATCACCGACAAGGGTGTTATGGACATCTTCATGGGTGGCTCTGGCTTCAGCTTCAAGGTTGAGATGGAGACAGCCGACAAGGCCCGCGATCACGCGCAGACACACTTCTTCAAGGTCACCAAGGTTGAGTCTGACATTAAGAACCTTCAGATCAAGATGAAGAAGAGCAACCACAAGCTCCTTTTCAACATGTTCAAGCCTCTTCTCCTCAAGGTCATGCGTCCTGTCATACAGAGGGTGCTGGAGAAGCAGATCAAGGACAGTGCCAACCAGCTCGATGGTATCCTCTTTGACATCAAGACTGAGGCTGACCGTGCCGAGGCCGAGGCCAAGCGCAACCCCGACCCCCAGAACATCCAGAACATGTACCAGCGCTACGCCTCTGCTGTGCAGCACCGTCTCATGCAAGGCAAGCAAAAGAAGGAAGCTATTCAGGAGAGGGCCAAGGACACCCAAGTCAACATGGCTGTCACTCAGCACGACTCCATCTTCAAGAACATCTCCCTTCCCGGAGGTATCTCCTCCAAGGCTACGGAATACAAGGAGCTTGCAGCCAAGGGTGACAAGTGGGAGAGCCCCATTTTCTCCATCGGCTCAGCCAAGGAGACCTCCAGCCTTCCTCAGGTTGGCAAGGTTACCCGCAAGCCCCACGGTCGTGAGGGTGGCTACGGTGGACCCCATGACAACTCTCGTGGTCTTGGTGCCTCACAAGGCTTGAACCCTTCCGCAAACCAGTACGATAGCCAGTACAGCAACGCTGGCGGCCTCGGCGCTGGTCAGGGCCTTACTACAGCCAACCAGGGCTTGACTGGTGGCGTTCCTTCCTCCGCCTTGGCTGGTGGTGTTCCTGCCTCCGGTCTGTCTAGCGGCATCCCACCTACAACCGGCGGTACACATGGATTCGGTACTCAGGTCGACGACGCGTTTAACACCTCTGGTACTGGCGCGCCTGTTGGCTCATCGGGTCTCGGCAACACCGGTACCTCCACTGGTACTGCCACCCACGGCGAGTTCAACACTACTTTCGGTGACCAGAACCCCGTCTTCCAGGGCCGCGCTTAGATGCTTGTTTTCGACCAGACCAGTGATACCCGGTATGCTTTGGGGGTTGCAAGTCATGATTACGACTTTCCTATCTTTTGATCATGGATGATACCACGTTTGGGCTACGGCGCAAACGTACATGAGTAGTAGCGAATGGATTGTTTTTTGGTTCCTTGTCTTCGTCAGTCATGAGAAGAGTAGGAGGAATTAGTGCCCTGTAATGCAGAGGAATTTGTGGGCAAGCCTGCGCTTGCTAAGGCTGGGTCGTATAAAATTGGGGATTGAGCTAGCCATTTCCTGTAGTAATAGTTAATGCATTTGTGCTACAAACATGTTGCTGTTTTGTTGGTTTGTTGGAATGTGGTGTCACGTGATCAATTAGTATATATAGGGGTCATGTAAAGCACAGGGCTAAATGAGATAATTTCCTCTTTCTATTGCTAGTATTTGATCTCTTGAATGAAAACTATCACACTATGCCACAACTTGACGCTAGAAAATAGCAATAGCCCCCGGCGGACTTCCAATCCCACCTCTCACATGCAATGGCGCACTCGTCAGGAAGAAGGTATACCGACCCATATCCTTGCACCTCTCACTAAGCTTCTCAAGGTCCCACATCTCGCCAATAGCGGTGCCCCAGTGAACAAGTAGCCACTCGTGCAGACACCAACCGTCAGTGAATTTCGGTGGCCAGGCTTCAAAGGCGACGTTATCGCCTACCAGCGCCGCGAAATGGCGGTCGTAGAGCCAGCGGACTGTTTTCTCGCTGGCTTGAAGACCGATGGCTACGGAGTTGTCGCGGGTTCCTGATTTACGTTCTGCTTCGTTCGCGTTGCTGTGCGTGTTAGCAGCAGACTATCCGAGATTCTGAGGTACTCACTTGTGCCATCGCACATATCCTAGAAACAAGTCAACACGCATTCTCGCGTATGGTTTCTGCGTAGGATAACTCACCCATCCTGATCATCAAAATATCCCCCTGCCTAACCTCTGTCCCTTGCCACCTCAACGTCTCCTCAATCTCTTCAATCGGAATCTCGTGCCTCGACACCGCACTCGGCGCTTTCCCCCCCTTCTCCTCCTCATACCACCGCAACCAATCACACAAGACCCCCCTCCCAACAATACCGCCTCTCTCACACCACTTGTGCGTACCATTCGTCACGCTCTTCGCTGCTTCAGCGTGGGAGAGGCCATTGTAGTACATACCGCTTGCCTGATGAGCAAAATGTTTCAAACTATCCCACTGGGAGCCAGCTTGCGTGTTGATGTGTAATTCATCATCATTTGCGCAAAAGGCAGAGAAGTCGGCAAAGTCAATTTGCTTTTGTTCCATGTGTTTGCGGTTGAAACCGGGGAATTGCACATTGTGGAGTTCCCAATCTAGTTGGATGTGCTCGCCGGTTTTTATCTCGTGCGAGGCGGCGAGGACGACGGTGGGGGTGAGGAGGTTTATTGCTGGGAAAATTTCTTCAGAACCCGGCTTCTTTGAAAGAAGGAGGATATGGGAGTGATGGTGAGGAGGAGGAGGATCTTACTGCCTACTTCATCTTTCTCGCCGTTTTTGTCGAAGAAACCCCAGGTACTGCCCTGGGGCATATCTTTCACCTTTGGTAGGTCATCGAAGGCGGGGAATTTATACTCTTTGTCCGCCATATTTCAAGTTCCAAACAAGTAGTTTTGTAATCTACAGTAGATAACAGTCACAGTGTATGTATGATAGCTTGAAATGCGGGGTGAGGTCTTCAAGTAGAACGGGAAAGGCCCTTATTTGAACCTCCCCGCACCGCGGCCATACTCCAAGACCCCGCTTTGAGCGGCCGTCCGCATAATGCCGAAGAGTGAATCCTACGTAACGTATATGACGTCGGAAGCCATGATTTAGTGTGGTTGTGGAGATGCTAGCCGATAGCCGGATGTAGATCAGACGTGATTTGGAGATGGTTCCGCGTTTGTCAGGTGGAGGGAACGGCGTTAGCGCGAGTTATGTAATCCGGTCCGCCGGAGGGTCGCAGTACAACGTCTTTACTCACCACTGAAAGATAAAACGCAGTATGAGCGTTATTATTCGTATTAATATGCTTGGGGCTATTGAACATATCCTGGCCTCGAAAATTGGCCTCAAGGATCGGAGCCGCTCCCCCGAGACGTTCCGCAGAACGATAGCCGGTTGACTTGTATGAGATAGGTACACTTCAAAGCCTTGGGCAATCTTGAGAATTTTTAACGTAGTTCCAATAGTCTATCTATGGTACAAAGATCTTAGCTAAACGATGTCCGATGGCAAAGTAAAGATCAATAGTCCCAAATAGGTATCACTTCAGCCTGTATGGATATGTCTTACAAACTCTAATTTCAATTCTACATCAGGATTTTACACAGGAACCTGGTTATATAGTATTTGTTCGTCCGCTTTCCAAAGATAATAGTTTATATCCTCGTATGGTATGGTGTGAATTTCACGAAACGGAATTTGCAGCAGGTAGAGTGAATCCCGCTTCTGATGTGGCCGTCCACAGAACCTTGTCAGAAATCCCCGGAACGTAGGTAGCTGGACTGGACGAGTGGACTTCTTTAGAAGCAAATTACGCACCTACGACCACTGCCTGATAAAGGTCTTATGTAAGGCTTCGGCAGTTTTGCGGCCAAACTCAGGGAGTCGGCGAGACAAGGGTCAGTACCAGAACAAGGCGGCCGCAAGGACGAGGAGTCAGAGTATCGATCCAATCGGCACATTTAGCTTCATCACGGTATGAACGTTTACGTCTCACTATTCATTTAGTATGTTCCCATGTACGGTTATGATGGTTGACTGAAGTTACACATATTTATCCACACCTCTCTGGCCGTCTTCTCCCTAAGATCCCGCTGACATTAGTGATCAAATTAAGTTTAATAAGATACTGTTTCTACGCACTTCTATTGGAGTAAACTGGTGGATTTATAAAGAAGTATTTGTAAGTAGAGTTACAATTCAAGGGCTTGTTGTTTAACTCCGTTGCTAATACCGCACTGCTCCGACGCTAGCGGCGTCGCTTCCCTCGTACAAAAAGGGTTGCGCTCAACCCGATGTATAGACATCTAAAACGCGAACATTCCCATCGCCTTTCCGTTCAGACATATTTAAGCCTCCTGTTTCACAGCCCTTATCCTCTTTGACACCGGTGCTTCATTTTCTCACTTTCCAATCTCACCCTCTAATATCATCCACCGACGCAAGCCACTAACGCCCACTGTATCCGATATGTCTTCTGCTCGATACAGTAGTATGCTCGCGAAGTGTCGAGTACTCGTGCTGGGTGGCTCTTCGGGAATTGGCTTCTCCGTAGCTGAACATGCCCTGTCTCTAGGCGCGATTGTCACCATTTCCTCTTCGCGCCAAGCCAAGCTGGACAAGGCCCTGGAGCGACTGAGGGCTTCGGTACCGGAATCATCGGCTTCTGTGGACGGAATAGTATGCGACCTGTCCGATCTTGACTCTATGCGGCCGAATCTCGAACAGCTGCTGAAGAGCGTTACGGCCACACAGCTACTGGATCACATCGTCTATACTGCTGGCGACGGCATCAAGATCCGACCAGTTTCCGAGCTCGAGGTGCCAGAAATTCAACGCATGGGCCATGTCCGCTTCTTCGGCCCCATGTTACTCGGCGGACTTGCAAAGGCTTACATGAAACCTTCCAAGGCGTCTTCGATTACTCTGACCAGTGGCGTCAATATCCAGAAGCCGGGAAAGGGATGGACTGCGGTTGCGGGCTACGGCGGTGGTACCGAAGGCATTGCAAAAGGTTTGGCCGTCGATCTGGCTCCTATCCGTGTCAACACTGTCAGCCCAGGAGCGGTACACACGGAATTGTTCGACGGCATTCCCCAAGACAGACTACCCGCGGTTCTATCCAGCTTCCGGAAATCGAGCTTGACTGACAGTGTTGGCACTCCAGAAGAGCTATCGGAGGCTTATATTTACTTGATGAGGTGCTCGTTCGCGAGCGGCTCAATAGTTGAAGTGAATGGCGGATCATTGCTAGCAGGGTCTGATGGTGCCTCCATATAGTCTTGATAATTCAGAAAAATTGAAAAGGCTTGAGTTTAAGTTCGATGGACTTCCCGCCAGGGAACGCTTTATGCATATTCATTACAGTGATGTTTGTTCGAAGCGAGCGATAAAACTACTTAGATGTAAATTCTTACGATAGAGACCGTCATACTAAGATGTTCTGACCGAACGGCGTTTTAAACCCATTCAGCAGGTACCAAGTCTACAACGCGCCCGCCGCAGTTGAACCTACGGCTTTGTTCTCTGAGAATACCGCCTGCGCGATAGATACAGCAGTGATCGGAATGGTCTGGTCTGGTCTGGTCTGAGGGTACAGACCAGACCAGACCAGGTGCTTACATAAGGACCGGTCCGACCAGACCGGTCCGACCAACAAGACCGCCAAGAATGAGGCTGAAGCAAAGAAGGAAGCCGAGGAAATGTGTTTTACTACTGACTGTCAATCTAGTCGTCTTCGTTCTCACTATCCTCGATATCGCTGTTCCCCTCAGCTTGGGGCTTTCCATACCAGGCCCGGAGACACTCGCACGCTTCTATAATATCTGCCTTCAGCCTACCACGGCGATCGACGATAGTAAGCTTCGCGCTACTAAAAAGACGTTCGCATTCATCCGACATAGGCGAGATCGCAAACATGTCTAGAGCGAAGCGAGCGAGATCTCGTTGGGAGTCGTAGCGAGATAGCCAGTACGCAATAGCCTCATTGCAACCTGCCTCTTCGTTATGAAGCCGGTCAGTAGAGATGTATTGTTCATACAAATCAGTTGTAGAAACTGGAGCGTCTATTCGAATGCGCTTATGTTCCCGCTGGCGATCAAATGCTGGGTCAGGATCTCTCTCCTTCCTGGCTGGTGGTGGCAGCATCTCGACAGGGTACCTTCCCTTATACTCTGTCTCCCAGAGATGCTTCACCGCTAATTGTGCGTTTTCAAACCACCTCTTCTTCTCTTCGTCGCCATGAAGAACCCACTCTTGCCTGAACCATCCCCACTTGCGATATGGATCAAGGATTTGAGCCGCATAATATGCCGGTGGAAGGTCAGTATCTTCAGGGAATCGATTTTGCCAATTCAGCTGCTGATTGTTATAGTACTCAACGCACTTTAACCAAGCAGCATCAGCGCAGCCTTGAAGGTACTTCCATGTAAAGTTGTTATCGTCCTCAGTGTGGATGTCGTGGTAGTGATCCTTCGTCTCGCTTATCTCCCGGAGAAGGCAGTCCAAAGTTGAAAACCAGTCCGCAAGTGACGTCTTCTTACCTTCAGAAAGCAAAGTTGCAGCATAGAAGTCTTTGAGAGCGAGTTCAATCTTTTCAAGCTCAAACCAGTGCTGTCCATCAAGCTTAAAGTTCGCGATCCCTACGGAGCCCTTTCCAGGTACATGACGAGCCGAGAAGAGCTCTAAACGTTCTCGAACATTTAATGCACGTGTAATCGAATAAAACCATGAGTTCCAGCGGGTCGAGTTGTTCTGGATAAGCTCAAGCCCGTCGAATTGCGAAAGATCTCCGCCGATAATAATTGTAGCAAACTCCTCACGCCGTTGTGGAGTAAGCCTGATGTATCGCACCAGGTTGTGAAGACGACCCAAACATCCGAACTTCTTCCAGAGCTCTTCCACCTTCGTATAGTCGCCACGTTGATGATGCTTCTCCAGCTTCGCAAGATACTTCTCACAGTTTCGCCCCATAAGGAACAGAGATGTCAACAAGCAAGTCAAGCTGGCTTGATTCTTATCGATTGCAGATCACAGACCATTCTCTGGGACGTGCCACTGTGCACGAGCCTCTATATTGTCTGTGATCTGCAATCGATAAGAATCAAGCCAGCTTGACTTGCTTGTTGACATCTCTGATAAGGAACGCCTGGCAACAGAGGTTGATGACATGGCCCAAGCAACGCAGCCGGCGATGACGACGTTGTTTTGACTTCATCCATGGGCAGAGATCCTTGAGTATAAACTCAACAGCGGTATCATTTGCCGAGGCATTATCCAGCATAAAGTATCCAATCTGATCTCCGCTAATGTCGTATTCTTCCAGCAATTCAAGGACCACCGATCCAAGATTCTCTCCAGTATGTTCGCCGTATATACGTCGCATACCTAAAGCGGTAACACGTCGCATGCCGGTAGTATCAATCCACATAGCGACGACGCCTAGGATAGCGTAAGGGTTTGGTGAAGTCCAGAGATCAAAGGAGATAGAGATCCTACTCCGTGAATGGTGTAGGTCCTCCCTAAGCTGTTGCTTCTTCGATATGAATGCATTCATTACCCAGCTTCGGATAGTCTTCGCAGCCTTCGGGAGGTGGTTGAGTAGTGCCGGATTTAAAAAGAGGAGTAGTTCACGAAAGTACTGGTTCTCTAATTGAAAGAAGGCGATATGGCAGTACACAATCCAACGAATTAGAAGCTCTTTAAACTTCTCTACTGACTCCTTCCAGAAAAAGATGCTGGAAGCAGCCCCATCCTTTTGCTGGTCGATTATAGACTTCCGTACAGAACCCTTTCGCTTGATGCCACTCTGGGGATCAATCTGGTGCTTCTGTTCCAGGTGATTCCGGATCCTAGAAGTGCCATTGATGACAAACAACTCTTGCTTGCTCTTCCCAACCCTGCACTCATGGCAGTAATACACCTCTTTCTTATCGCTATCTCGAATGTATTGGAGTCCGTACTTCCAGATGTGTGATGTACCTTGACGGAAATCCTTCCTTGCAATTATTGCACGTTTCACGTACGTGATACCGCCCTGCACGAACTCATCTGGAGATTCGTGATATTGAATAGGAGTGGGTGATAGTATAGGGGTGGGTGATGACGTGGGGATAGGAGATGGAGTAAGAGACGTTAAATCTAGTCTTATAATATTCGATGGGGACGGTGAGGTTGGTGTTGAAGGCTCCATAACAATAGTATATAAGTAGGTTGTTAAGGACTTGATTGTTCTATGTAAGTAGAAGACTTACCTTGATCTTAATGACTCATATTGTGCTAAATTTTCTGGCTAGATTAGTCTAAGATCTAGTCACGTGGACCTATTTATAGCCGGACCGGTCCGATCATCTAGACCGGTCCGACCACGGTCTCAAAAAATCGCCAGACCAGACCAAGTCTTGGCGGTCTAGACCAGACCAAGACCAAGTCAGACCAGACCATTCCGATCACTGAGATACAGTGATATCGCGTTGATTGGGTGGAGTGGCTAACGTGAGCTATGTTAGAAACAATCAACAATTTGTATCTTTTGAGCTTGGGAACTTTCACTGTCAATAAAGCTCTGAACATGGACTGATTATGATGAACTGGCTGTCTAGAAACATTGCTGATGCGGGCCATAAGCTCATTTCTTCACTCGGACAGATACCCTACAGTGTCAAGCAGTGTCTCGTCCAAGGAGTCTAGCACAAGAAATCAGATTGCTCGTTTCGATTTATGTTAATCTCAATGAAAACTCGCACTTCCCGAGTCGTGCGATAGCCACACTGCAAACAGCTGTGAGGAGGTCTACACGAGAACACGGACGTTACTCATGGTGGCTTGCGGAAGGCTGGTACGAGTCCGTTTTTGTCTTTCTGCATAACATGTTTCTTGTTTTGATAAAGTTGATGCGCTATTTATGTGTCCGTCATCCATCTCTACTCTCAACTTCACATTCAACTTTTAGGACGTCCGCATAAACTTCTACTACAAGATAAAATTTCATTGACACTTGAAACCCTTTGATTGCTACTATTACCACAATGTTTATTAAAAAGCATCTCTAATCAGTGTACTTGTGTACCGGTTAGCAAGTTAACCATTGACTCAAGTCCACTCTCGTGCGCTAGCTTGATCAAAAGCGCTCTTACGTCTTCATCAAGCGTAGCTCCAAGCTCTCCCAAAAATTTGAACATACCGGTATCCTCACGATCGACCGCCATTAAAAAAGCTCCCTGTACAGCAGCGTTTTTACTCTCGCCATATTCCCAAAGTAGCCTAACCAGTGTTTTTGACCCACCCGCTGCCGCGCATTCGATCGCATGACCGAGCTGGGCTCCAGAATCAAGCAAGACCTTGACAATATCCACTTCTCCAGTTCTGACAGCACACGTAAGTGAGTTCCAATACCGGCTCGGGTACCTGCTACTCTTTAATAACTCTGCTGGGTAGCGACGCTGGAATACCGATGCATCAAAACCATGAGAACCTATGCCCTCTCTCTCTATCAGATGCTTGACGATAGCCAGCTTGCCCTGTGCTGCTGCATTCAACAACAGGCCACTCTTATCGTATTGGGTCATGGGCGGATCTGCATCCTGTAAAAGCCGTGTAAACGTTTCTGAATCACTTGTTACCCGGAGCGCACTGTGCATCGCGTTCCGGATACATGTTAGTTCCACTTCGCCCCTGTGCCACGAGTTGTCCAAAGCAATTTCGATCAGTTCGGTATGGTTGTGATGCGCGGCGGAACTCATGATCAACAGAGGGCGATCGCGCAAGGCTGGAGCATCACCGGAGTTGTCGACCATCAGGAATTTGACGATGTCGATGTGACCGCGATAGGATGCGGCGCGGAGTGGCGTTAGGAACATGGAGCTAAAGTTTCATTTATTAGCACAAATATCAATATGAGAATCAGAAAAAGAAGCTTACGGGTTGTCATTATGGTTGCAACCTTCTTCAACAAGCTTAACAACGAGGCTTTTATCTCCGATCCATGCTGCTACGCTGAGAAGATGACGCCGAAATTCGAGAGACGATTCGTCTATCTCTGACTCTGGTAGGTCTGTAATCCCGGCTGTGATCCAGTGTTTCAGTCTGAATGCTGATGTATGTGGGCCCGCCACCATCTTGCAAAGTTCGATTACACATTTTCTGAGTTCATCGTTGAAAACCGTTTTCGAGGTACAACTATATTGTCCGACTGCGGAAATACAGCGATCACGGCAGAGACGGTGCGCAATGAGAAGTAGTATTCTTAACCCCCGACTCTTAGGATGAGTATGCGTCAGCGTTCGGTAGGCGAGGTACTCTACCCAGAGATCTGGGTCCTTGTAGAGGAGAACTTGAGGTTCTTCGCATTCGAGAATGCCAGAATGGAATATGGCAGTGATTGTGATTTCAGCAAAGCGTTCTAATGGCTAAGGTCAAAAGCCGAAACTACCGGATGTAGGCGGATCATCGTGGGAACTAACTGCAAACCAGTCTTAATCGCAGTGAGCGCCTGACACTGCGCATGTAACGGGCTGAGCCCTAAGTCACATGACTAGGCTGCGAGCCTAGTCGCTTCCCCGGCAACGAGAGGGCCGTGCGCCAACCCAAACAAAGCGGGCTCCGCCGCTCGCGTCTTACCTTCTTTCTTCATCTTGACTGTAAATAGCATCTGGACTAGGTAGCTGGAATACAGTTCCTACAGACCGTTCACATACAGTCAAGATCAAGAAGAACACGCAGAACACGCAGAACACGCAGAACACGCAGAACACGCAGAACACGCAGAACACGCAGAACACGCAGAACACGCAGAACACGCAGCAACCAAGGCACCGTTATAATGAGCTCCCCCGGGGATACTAACATGACGACGAACGATTCGAACCAGCTGTTACAGTCGCTACTACAGAGACTTGAAGACATGAGCACTAGGATGGAGAGGCTGGAAGCATCATCGCACGAGCCACCTCAAACGCCTGGTCACAATACAGACGCCACCACTGATCCGACGCCAACCTCCGAGACTTCGAACACATCTGTGCCTATAATCCCAAAGCCGCGGCACAGCTTACCCCACCCGCCTACGTTTGGTGGAAACAAATCACAATGGCGAGGATGGAAGCTAGAGATGGAGGGCAAGATCGAAGAAGACGCGCAAGCTATTGGAAGCCTAAAAGCTCAGCTACGCTACGTCTACATGCGTCTTGATGGGGCAGCGAAAACCAACGTTACAACATACTACGAGATACAAGTTAAAGAAGAATCGCCAAACCCTTTCAAGCTGCTTGACCGCCTTGAACTCCTCTACGGCGAACGAAATCGGAAGGAGAAAGCCATTCAGAACCTC